GGTGCTTGGATATCACATTCAACGGCCGCCAGCAGATACCCACTTCCAAACAAAAATTGGAGACCATTTTCCATTTCGGAGAAACCCTGCATTCTCACGCAATCGGAACGCATGGCATTACCTAGTGCCCATGCAAAGGAGTGTCAAGTGGAGCTCTTCGTCATGTCTATCCGAAGAGAAGCCATACGCGAGGTCTTACCTGGGTCTATGTGATACTGATGAGCATGCCGTCCCCTTCTCGGTATGCCAAAGGAGAAGAGAGACGCCCGTCACGTCATCTCATGGGAGGGTGTTCGCACAATGATGTCGCCGAAGACGAGCGTGAGCAGCTCCGGGACGAAAGTCTCGTCAGGTCTCTGATATTACCAGTGACAGCAGCCACAACAAGCAGCACGGTCCACGGAATTGTTGTCCGGTCTGCCAATGAACGGTGTTATAATATTGAGAATAAAGGCTCTGTTCTTCTGAGCCGCATGGAACCGAGTCATTGCCGTACTGGCGACGAGGGTCACTTGCCAGCGGCGCCTGGAATCATTCCATTACCGGCGATTTTCGCCAGACCTCAGGCTTCAGCTCCAAGGCAGACAGACGTATGGCTATTGGCACCTGCCGACGAAGTTGCCGAGTAATGACCTTGCGTCCAGACGGCTATTGATCTCGATGGAAGTTTTCCATCCCAAAAGCCGGATGGGACGACTGGGGAAGCATAGCTCGATGCGACCTCACTAGGCCACGACCGCTCCGCATGTACATCGTCTGCTTAGGCATGTCAGCGAGGGTATCTACCGGATCTCTGGAATCGAGTGAAACACTGCTCGCATCGCTGACAAGAATGTCAGATAGATTAGAAAGAGAAAACTGGCTGACGCCTCCGTTCCAGAAACCGACGCTGACAGACAGCGTCGGCTAGGCCACCGGATTTTCGACGTAATCTAGTGAACAGAAAAGTCTAGCTGGTCTGGCAGCGCGGAAACGCTGCATATTTCGGGTATGGGAGAGAAGTACCGGCACCCGTATAAGCTGAAAAGCAATACGAGACCCGATCAGCTGCATTCAGCTTCCTCGGCATGCCTTTAGAGTTTCAACGGTCAACTACATTGCATGGGAGTATCGCCGTGGCACGATACACCCAAGACATTTCTCAGACCGCTGGAAAGGGCTTCATCAGCCAATGGAAGGTCCTTGATTCCATACAGCGATTGGTTCGCTACTTCGGGAATCAACTGCCAGGGAACTAAAACCAAATGACTTTTTTCTCTGAAGAGGTAATTAGGTTGTGGACGATGCGAGGAAGAGGGATGCTAAAAATGGTTGAAGGCGTCCGAGTGCCAATAGAAGAGCGGCCTACGAGTAGAACCACCACCATCAAAATCGAAGACATCTTACCTGCAGCCACCGCCTCAATCGTCGCTCAATTGCCTTATATCAACGAAACAACATGTGAATCTTGCCCCCTTTTTCAGTGCGAAACTAGCATTTGCATTTCAGCCACCACCATCAGCAAATCCTGCCTGCACCTCGACCGTACTCTAACAAAAACTCTCCCACACCCACAAGCGCTTCCGCATCCGCATCCGCGTAACTCCCCAGTCGTATAATATAGCCTACCTACCTTACCTTGACTCACCTCACACCGCTAATCGACCAAAACCAAGCCAAGCCAAGCCAAGTCAACAGACGGCAACGTCCACACCTCGGAAAATGGCAGGCAAAAAAAAAAACATCAGGACCCCGAAGCCGGAACCGGGGTGAATTGAATTCATTGTTGAGTCAGTGAGTGAGGGGAGACAAGAGGAGGGGGTGCACGGTACCTGCCATGCGTGTCGCAATTTATATACTATTATACCATGTGCCTCTACTGCGTCCGCCACGAGATGGGCTACCGACGACACAGTAAATGGGTGAAGGAGGAAGATATCGCATGGGAAGCACAACATGTGTATCTATTGAGTGAATGGCTGCAAAATACGCAACCGACCGTGAACCTTTCTGTTGCTCTTGCTCTTGCTCTTGCTTCACATTTGCGTCACAATCAAGGGACCTTTTTTGCTTCCCTCCCCCCAGCCTACCTCGACCTCGAGGTGCCTCAAGGTGCCCTAGGGTAGGTAGAGTCACGTTTCACCGCCTACCGCCACCGGCGCACGCACGCCGAGTCATCCATTGAGAATCTCATCGTGACGCGGCAGCCTGTCAGTCATCGCCATATGCCACCCCCCAACGAGACCTTCCTCTTCAATGTTGTCTCTCGCAAACAGCAGGCGAGTCAAGTAAATACATCGGGATATACACCATCCCCAGTCAAATGCAGAGGAGAGAATCCAGAGGTACGAAAATAAAAAGCAAGGCTCATACTTTGGGAATCTATGTGTATGGGAGCACAAACAGGACGGATACAACATTACACATCATTCGAGCTTTTTTGGGAAGGAAAAAAGTGCCTGCCCCGAAGCCCCCCTCCATACGAAAAGGTGTCGGTCCAAGGATTCTCCTCCCTCCCCTGTACTCCCCCTCCGAGGAGCGGCTTCGCCCATTCACCCGCATCTCGCAAACAAAGGTCGGCGCGATCAGAAGGTGCTGGTCGCCAATCGGCTCGCCGCGTTTCTCGCATCCACTCGGTCCTCGTCGTCCTCCTCTGCCACACCGGACAGGCTTGCCCGGCCGCCCGCTGCGCCGAGGCCCTTGTTCTGCCCCGCACCCTGGCCATCGTCGCCCTCACCATCCTCGGGGACGCCCATAAGACTGCCAGACACGCTGCGATTGAGAGTGTCGGTGCGTCGTGGAACACCACTCCATGCATCACCCTTGGGACCTTGGCTGGCTGCCACGCTGGCCCTTCTGACGGGAGGGTGAGCCTCGCGTCCGAGTCGACTCAGACCGCCAGATGCGTCAATGGCACGGATGTCTGGTCTCACGCTTTCGAGGACGGCGAGGGCACGTCGCTCCGCCTCAATCTCGCGAATGACATATTCTCTGATGCTGAGCCGAAGATCTGCTGCAGTCCTTGCAAACCACTTTCGACGCTCCTGTACGAGATTTTGCGTGACACGGGTCGTCTTTTGGTAGAGGTAGGTCTCGTTTTGGCGGGCGTCATCTAGGGCCGTAATGGCCTCATCGACCTTCTCGCGTCTTACGTTGGAGCTCGCTTTCAGACGATCGGCAGCATTGAGCTTGCTACGTGTGTTCTCCTGTGCCTGGAGAAATTCGCGAATGAGGATTTGGCGGTTTGTGAGGGACTCCTTGACCACAAATGAGTCCTGGGAGTGATACTGGAAAGGATCACCAATGGTGGTGGCTTCCGCAGTAGCTTGCGCAGCGTGATAATCACCGACGGTTTGTACGATCTTGCCCAACTTACGATAGGCATTGGCGAGGCCCTGATGGGGCTCTTGGATATGCATGGAGCCGAGTTTAACGCCAAAGTCGGATTCAGCCAATCCCAGACCTAGATGATATCAGACCTGCAAATGTCCGCGCGTTGTTGGGATTGACGTGGACTTACCTCGACGAGACTTGACGAGCTTATCGACCTTGTGCCCAGCATCCATAGTTCCAAGGTAGAAGAGCTTGACAATCGGACGAGCCTCCTGGAGCTCCGGAGTGTCGTCCGGCGGGGGAGCGAACTGCTTCAGAATCTTTCTGCGCACACCCGTCGCCGGCTGCTTCATCTTTACCATGGGGCTATAACCGAAATCGCTCTCAACGAAGAGGACCATCTCATCGTCCCTCATCAGGACTTCGTTGCTGCAAACGTAGTTGAACCACCTTTGTAATAAGGCCTTGACGCGGGCTTCGTCCTCGTCCGTGCCAGCGCCGGCCGAGGTCACGGCGGGCGGTACGGTAGGTACCAGGCATTCCGGGTTCGCAGAAATCAGGTGCTCCGCAAGCTTGACGAATTCGGAATGGAAGCGGCGTACGTCGCGGTACTGCGTGGTGCGGAACCTCGGGAGGTTGGTCTACGGCGTGTTAGACAATGATCTTCTACCACATGGCAGTAGCCAAAGGAGAGGGGGTTGCTCCTTACATGAACATCGAACCGCAAGATGGGGTCCTTCTTCCCGGTGCGCTCGAGACCGGTGATCTTAGCCTGTAGCCTAAACTGGGGCTGCTGAGGCTTGCGCGGCTGTTGTTGAGCCTGACCGCCCGCGACCGCAGGACCACCTTGTTCTTGCGACTTTTGAGGCAGCTCAGGTCCCGGACCATCGCCGCTGGAGCGGGCTTCTGAGCCTATTTCGGTCCTCGACTCCTGTGTTTCCACCTCGGTGGTCGACTGGGTGCTGCTTGCGGTGTCTGGTCGCCTGTATTGCTGCTCGCCGCCAAAGCCCTCCTGATGGTCCTGCGGGGTTGCGTTGCCGGGGCTCGGTGAGTAGTTGAAGGGGGATCCGGCCGGGTCGCCGCCTAGGTCAGCACCAAGAGACGAGAAGTTGGTCTGGTTGGCCCGGGGTGAGGAGCCTGGGGAGTTTCCCCAAGGCGATGCGCCGCTCTCTTCGTGGATAGAGGCGCTGTAGTCCATGGTTGCGGTGAATGTCCTTGTCGTCGTTGTTCGTCGTCGTCTGCGAAGGAGTGCGATCGATGATGTCGTCCGGTTGCGTGGACGGATCACGAGTGGCCGACAAAGCCGATGCGGGGAAGAGGGAACGGGTGTAGATGGTTATTTGGGGATTCGGCACATGAGCCCATCCATTGACCAGTGTCGAAAGGCAACAGTGATTGTCGTGGGCCGGAGGATGGTGGTCCGGGTGTGTAGATGATGGTCCGTACAATCGCTGTCGTGTCGTTCGCAAGCTGAGGCGGGATGCGAGCGTGATGTCCCAGAGCACCTTTTCTCCACGCAGCTGCCTTGAATTGGTTCGTAACCACCTCCGTTCAAAGCCTCAGGTACGCTGGAGAGCCTACCCAAAGCCCGCGAAGCAGCGCAGCCCCACCCATCCTCCGCTTCGGCTTAGCGTCCCCACGTCCTCTGGTCGCAACCTGGAAGAAGAAGCTCGGGCCAGCCTACCTAAGCACCGAAGTAAGGTGCGCCTTCAGTTGTTTCCGACCGGGTTCTGTCTCGCCTTGGGAAAAGTGACGACACACGCGCGGCAGACATCGCGCCTAACTTACCCTGACAGCTCTCAGCTTTGACCAATAGGGACACTGGAAACGCAGCGACCTCGAAAGTTCAACCCTCTTTTCCAACATTGCGACGACGATTATTTGACGATTGCTACTTTTACAAGGTGAAGAGACTGCTAAGACGACGGCATATCGAGGGCGCAAACCATGGCGCATATGACCAACACCCTGGCCACGGCCGAGCAGCTCTACAAGCGCAATTCCTTCAGCTCACTACCCGCCGACCTCCAAGATGTCATATTCTATGCGACGCAGTGCCTAACACAGGCTGCCGGTGTCCTACTCGACCTGCCGCAATCGACAACGGCACAGGCAAATGTCTTACTGGCGCGATACTGGCTCGTCGAGTCGCCAATGGCAGGAGAATTCAGCGTGAGTCGCAAGCAACGAATTCCAACCAACATCTCAACTTCCACTAACAAGATTTCCAGGACGTCTCCGCCGCAGTCCTCTACCTAGTCGCCAAAATGGGACCCGTTCCACGCTCAACTCGAGACGTCTCAAACGTATACGCCTACCTCCTCTCCCCAGCCTCCACCCTCTTCCGCGGCGAGCCACCAGACGACGACCTGAAGAAGCGGCCCCGCCCGGACCCGACGACGTACTACCAGACGGAAGGCGAGTACGCCGCCTTCCAGACGCGGATGCTGGCAGCCGAGGCGCGGATTCTCTGGGCCCTGGGCTTCGACACGGCCGTCGCGCTGCCGCACGCGCTGGCCGTGACGTATCTCCAGGCGCTCGACTTCCTTGGGAAGCCGAGGGCGCAGGTGGCGGGGCGGGTGGTTGCGCACCTCAACACGGCGCTGCTGAGCCCGCAGATGCTGTATCTGACGCACCAGCCCAACGCGCTCGCGACGGCGGCGGTGTATATCGCCGCCCGGGAGGCTGGGGCTAAGATGCCCGAGGTGGCGTGGTGGGAGGTTTTCGATGTCGAGAGGGAAGAGCTCGGGTTCCTTGTCGTGGGGATGAGGAGTCTTGAGGGGTGGGTTAGAGGGGTGAAAGAGACTGGGATGCTTGCTGGTGGTATGATTACCAGAGTTGGGATCGAGAGGGAGGCTAGGAGGAGGGCTGGTGAAGGGGATGAGGAAGATGAGATTATGGCGCTTATGGATCAGAAGGCGGCATAGGATGGCGTCGAACTGCTGGCGGCTTCGAGGAGAGTAGATTGATACCCAAACAAAAGCTCTGACTTACTACGTCTTTCCTTGATCAACGAGATTCTTGCCTCGTCTTCGGTGCGTCTTTGCAGTAACTGAGGGAGCAAAATATCGCTACACGACGGTAGTAACTGTCCCTCTACAACCTGGTCAGGGGGGGGATTGAGGGTGCTAGCTGATGTCATGCTTATCTTGAGAAGCCTGACAAGAGAACAATGCAAAGGGGCAACTTGATCTACTTCAGTAACAAAATAACCGTAAATCATGTAGCTCTAATGGTGTCTACAAGATTACCAGCTGTGTACATTCCGATCATATAATGCGAACACATACTGCTCGAATGGCAGCAACTTAGGGGTTGAGGGACGTAGTCCTGTGTCCACACGTATATTCATTCTAGTCAGCACAATACACTGCGTAAGCGGGGAGCGTATTTAGGTCTATCCCCATCTCTACTCATCATCAATACAAGTGAATTGGGACCCTTGGTCGAGGGGCTAAGGGGGCGCCAGTGGAACCCGTTCTTCCAGAGCCGAGTCGAACAATCGCTTAATCTTTTGTTCGATTCCCTATGATGGAGTCTTTCTTTCCTTTCTCCCCCCCCCCCCCCTTTCCAGTACCTCAACAGAAGGCGCACTCCCAGGTAGGTCGGCTAGATTGTAGGACGTTCTTCGGCCACCAACAATCGCCTCCTTACAGCCTGCGTCGATAGGCTACGAATTCGAGGTCGTGCCGATCACCTGTGGTGCAATGTCTTTATTGTGTTCTCTCATCTTCTTTTCTCTGCTTCATCCTCTTCCAGATGGAATTTCCTTCTTTCACTTGGAACATCTATACATCACTTACGCAGCCTGCAGGCTCCCAAACAAATGAGCCTACTGAAGATTCTCGGACCTCTAAACCATCAGAAAACATATACAAATGGCTTATTTAGAGAATAGGGACCACGGTATGAGGAAGTCGACGCGGCAATTTCCCACTTGCCCGCCTGCCTGCCTACCACTCAAAGACCCTTTGTGTCCAGGATGCTGTCACAACAAAGACATCTCTCATTCAGCCAAGGCAAGGTACCTAAGATTATATTACTCAGAAGCAATCAGTATAAAACCCTACCTATTTCTGCGAGTTTGAAACTCAGAGGTCTACTTCAAAGCATTGTAAGGAATACCCAGGCGTGTCAGACAAACAGAAAAGCACCCGCCACAGAGTTCCCCCAAATCAACATCAGTCTCCTACCTCCCCGTCCTCTCAGTCTTCACACCTCCTTCTTCCATCTCATCTACCTAAATCTTCCCTCATTGAGCCCTTCTCATCAATAACTCCCCTCGACCCCCCAGTTCCTCAACCAACATGACAACTTAGGACAAATCCCCAACTTCACCACGACATTCTTCAAAATGACCATCATCACCAACCTCACCCAATCCCCAACCCAACTCAGGGCCAACCTCGTCACCGCCGGTCTCATCGACGGAGGCAAACAGATCTTTACCGACCCGTATAGTTTCAGAAGTCTACTGCATCTGGTCCTCGCGCATCGTCCTACTCGTCTGTCTCTACACGATTCTCGCATCCCAGGTCAACGAAACCACCCTCTTGCGCAAGCCACACAGATCCAATGCCGATGATGAGACTACGGAGAAGGGTATCAAGAAGATTGAACAGATGGGCAGTAAGTCTCCTCTCACCTCTTCCCTTTTTAGTTCTTCCCTTTCGTATCTCGCTTTGGATTTCGTTCGCCTGTATTATTTTTCTTATTTGAGGAAATCATCAACCACCTTTTGTTTTGGTTCATGGTCTTATTTACATCTTGTCTTTGATGAATTAGGTCAACGTCTTCCATCCCCATAACTTATCTACACCATCGTCGCATCATAAGCATATCCAATCCCATGAGAAGTCAAACAGATATACAAAATGAAAACGAAACTAACATCCAAATCCTCGAAACAGGAACCTACAGCAAAACCACACTCACAACCCTCGACGACTCAGACACCCTCCTCCCAGCCTGGGAAACCACGCTCGCCCTCGCGCAAACAGGCCCCCACAACCACCCGCCACCTCTCCTCCTTCTCCCCTATCTGCACCTCCTCCCCCTACACGCCCTCCCCAACCCCGAATGCCCGCCACCCCCTCCACGCCTCCAACCTGACAACCTCCCTCGGCGACGAAGCCTGCAACTACCAGTGGGATACCCCCTACCTCCTCAGCCAAAACAAGGTCGACGCCCGCGACGTCTGCAAGCGCAAACGACGAGCTGAGACGCGCCGTCGTGAGGCTAAAAGAGGCGATTGATCAGGCGCATCCGACCGACAATTCCGGGCTCTGCCAGAGGAGCATGATGTGTTTGTGCCGGGGCTGTCGTACTGGGATTGATGAGCATTGTTCGGGCGGGCATGGGAGGAGCTCGACTTTTGATACTGAAGTGAGAAAGGGGGGTCTGGAGAGACGGTCTTGACGTAATGAGAGAGCGCCTGGATCCAAATGAATGGATGGACGGGGGATCGCGGTAGAAGACCGATATGTCATCACAAACTCTACACACATCTCACAATCGACTGGTCTATAATATGAACATGGCAAGGGGGTAATATAAGCCCGCCCAATGATGCTAAAAAAAAAAAAAAAAGGTCGCTACTTTACGCCATGGGTAGATTGGAACGACCTGAAGATATGTCTTCCTTGCCCCCTAATACCCCGTTTCCGTACCATGTTGCGCCAGGCCTTGATTCCCTTTAGTGCCGGGTATTGCCCAGATGAACCCCATCCAAGTAAGTGGAACCAATTAACGCCGTTTCGTCTGCTACATATTCTTTCCAAGCCCATGGTTTTTCCACCGCTTTTTTTCAACCCCATGTCTCTCTCCTGCTCTTCGTTGACAGCTTCTTCTTCAACGTTCGGGGCCTTCGTTCACAGCCTTCCGGCCATAACTTCCTTCTTGAAGATACGGACGTCCCAAACATCATAAAAGTGGACGCCTTCAACGGTTTCCAGCTTGGTGTTGGCAACTATATCGGTATCTTCATCGTCGCTGTCGCTATCCGTTTCCCATCCCGGCATAGGCAGCGGTGGGAAGCTACCCGGGGCACCTGAGCCAGTGGAGGTGCCCGGGCCACCAAAGGCGCCAAAAGCAGAGCCAGCAGGCTTACTCTTGCCCTTCTTGTTTCTCTTCTCTTCGGCTTTGGCAGCCGGGGTCTGTGGTGGTGGGCGGATGATGCGCTCAACCCGGTCATCGTCGATTGAGATCCATTCGAGCTTCATGTGGGGGTGGTGGCTAAGGTTATCGACGAGGAACTTGCGGGTCTCGCGCATCACCCAAACACAGGTATCATCGTTTCTGAACGAGATTACGTTCAAAGCTCGAAGGTTTACCAGTCCTCCGAGGTGCTGCATGAATGTGTGCTAAGAGATTGATTAGTTTGGAACACGCACAACATCTCAGATGACGTACCATGGCACGAATGCCAAGCGAGGCCGCAAGCTCTTCGAGTTGCTTCCCGCGGTTGCAAATGAGCAGCATGGCCTTCTCATCCAGATCCCAGCTCATTTGAGAATCGTTCTTGATCATCAGTCGAGTAAGTGTCGGCATGTGCTTCTTGAGAACAAGACGGCGGATCTGGTCCATGATGACATTTGTCTTGGGCGCGAAGCTCTCGGGCTTGTATTTGGACGACCTCTCAAGCATGAACAATTCGGTGATCTGCTCCAATTGCGATGCAAATGTCAGGAAAGCCATGGACACGTTATCCGTGAAGATCTTGCGTAAGGGGAGCGGCTGTGCCTTGTTTTCCTTGGTCAACATGGTCCAAATGGGAGCTTGATTGCCGACATTTAGCAACGTCAGCCTCTTCAGCACTCTCACGTCAATGGCTGCCTTGAAGACAGAGGCCTTGACTGGGATGAGGTGAACGCTGAAGGATCGCAGGGCGACGCCTCTGGTCGACCGGATATACTCGCTGATTCTTTCGTCCTCGCCATGTGCCGTCGTAGCTATGCCGTTGACTTGCTTCTCCACTTCACGAATTTCGGCTTCAGTCGCATTCAGCTCGGACCGAACGTTCTCAATATCGCGGTAGAAGCCCTGCAACTGATTCTCGGCATATCGAATGTGGTCCCGGTCAAAAGCGCTCGTCGTGTTTCGCAAGTCCTCAAGTTTCTCCTGGAGACTTGTAGCTTCGGATAACAGGTGCTGTAGACGAGCAACCAGTGTTTCAAAGTTCGCCTTTTGAGCTTCCAACGCGGCTCTTGCTCGCACCGTGGTGGGCGATGCAGATTCTTGAATTGACGAGCTCGTCTCGGGAGCGACAGCCTGAACCCGTTCGATCGCCTCAGCCTCGTCAGCAGCAATGGGCTCTTCCACGTTGATATCATCGGGGTTAGAATCGGCTGCCGGCGTGGTCTTGGTTTTGGCGCTGATATCTGCACCGGTAGTAGAAGCACTCGAAGCCTCGACAGTTGTAGCCGGCTGAAGGCTTATTGTCGCGGCGGACGACGATCCTGCACCAGTTGAAGGCCCCGCTTCAGCTGATGTCGTCTTTTCTTTCTCTTTCGCTGCCTCCGTCGCCGCTTTCGCCTCTTCTGCTTCCAAATACTTCCGACTGGCTTTCTCGATCATCTCTAGGATTTCTTGCTTTGACCCGTCATCCGTATCGCCCTCCGCCACGCTTGCCATCAGTTTACCCGAGACCTCTCGCAATCTGTTCATAAAGGCTTCGGCAGGTGAGCCAGCCTCGTGCGTGTTAGCCGGAGTATCGATTTTGGCCTTCCCTTTCAGACTCTTGCGATGCTGTGACTTCTTTGCCAGGAATGGCTCCACGTCAAAGATCCTGCCCAAAACCGACTCCTGACTTTTCCTCTCCTCTTGCGCGCGAAATGCTTTTGCCGGTCCACTCGCTTCATCCCAACCGGGCGCTGATGGAAGAGGAACAACTTGAAACTCGTCATCCTGGTCCGAGTCGTCAGGATCGGTGTCTGGAGGCGGCTTTCGCGATTGCAAAGCAAGATACGTCGAGAAGGACAATTTCAGTTTCGTCAAGGTAGACGCCGAATTGCGCACACATGACTTGATCTCTGTTACAGTATCCAAGGTATCGATGTCGAGAACCACCAAAGAATTCAATTTGCGGAACCCGCCCAGCGTTGCGGGCTCGTTGGCGGACATCCTACGCCTACTCCGAGGCGTCGGCTTCAAAGCGGGCGGTAAGGGAGGGTGAGAACCGAGAGAAGATGGGTTGTACGGCGGCGGGACGTTCAATGACATGCTTGCGAAAGGAGGGGGCGGGGGCGGTATCGAGGAAAAGGCCGGCAACGGGTCCCAATGACCTTGAGTGGATGTAGGCGGCGGTAAATTCGTCGAATACGGTAGTGGAGGGGGGATCTCGAAGAGGGACGGCCCGGCTTGCATTCGGATGTGGAGGTTCTTAAGGGTCGCAATCTGGTGTAACGCCTTGTACACAGGCCGGCTTAGCTCGACTCGGATGTTCCACCTGGTGTCCGAGCTGTCAGCGGTGACGATGCGCAAATGGAGGCCAACTCTACGTACCTGAAGGTCTCGAGGGACTTTGCATTCTTGAGGGTCAGAAATAGCAATGTGTTCATGAACTTGCCGCAGCTGGCGCTGTACAAGTATGGCTTATATGCAGCTTCGGCCTTGTCGCCAGCGCTGAGGGTATCGAGGGAAACATCGCGAAGATGCTGGGCATAATCGTATTCGCTGGATACGAAGGTGTCGAGGCCACCAGCCAGGCTGTCGATGGGTGAATCGAAGGATGGATCATCTTCATCGGGAAAGACGATGTGAAAGTTGCGGTATAGCTGGGCGGCAGCGAGTTCGCGAAAGTGTCTGGAGACGAGGGAGAGGCAAATCAGGTCGCTTTGGCAGCACTAGAAGGGGTCAGTGGCATTGCGACATGGGCTGTAGGCGGAACAGGAGGGCATACATGGCTGAAGATGTCCTTTTGGGTCTCGGGAGGAAGGTCAAGAAAGCCGAAAGGTTTGAGTGCGGGCTCAGAGGCGGTAGTGGTAGCCTTGTCGCAAGACTGGGGTGAATCCATCGTGGGCGAAGTGTGGCGCATAGGTAGGAAGGGGAGTACGGATACGCCAACTCGATGCGCGATGGGTGGAACTTGGAATGGTCGTCGGAGGCGCAGTGGAAAGGAAGCCAGAGACGGAATTAAAAGTAGACTGCAACGAAAAGCAAGCAAGTTTGTGGGAATGGACAGAAGACGGCGACGGGTCTACGTCTGTCCTTGTCCTCTTGTTGCGTGAGAAAATGTAAAGGTAAAGGTATTGGCTTGGCCTGCCTTATGTTGGGGAGGGTGAAGAGACAGACACCCTTGGAGACATGGAGACAACGAACAACGGACAGCGGACAGCGGACAGCGGACAATGGCAAGCTGCAAGTGGACGGGAAGGAACTTGGGAATGGAATGGAAGGCGAGGCTAGGCGCGGGTAGGCGAGCAGGGGTAGAACAGAAGAATAGTTGCGACTTGCAGAAGACTGACTGACTGGGAATGGAGGAGGGGCGTCTTCGGAGGCGGAGGGTGCAGCGTCACGGTGGGAAGTGGTGGTGGTGGTGGTGGTCGGCGTTGGAGGGGAGAGATGACGGGGCGGGCCAGCCAGACAGCGAACGATGCGCCCGCCCTCGGCCCACCGACAGCGCAAACCTAAGGAAGGTACTTAGGGAGCCCAGGGATGGGTGGCCCATGAGCTCCAGCCTCCAGCCTAAGGGCCTTGCTGCGTAGGTCACTGGCAGAAAAGATGCATGGAACCTGCAGGTAAATAGGTGGTCAATGATCTCCCCGGGGTACCTTCCCTGTGCACGGGGCTGTAGGTCGCAGCCACACTCCACTGGCGGGCGAGCAGCTTCCCTAGAATCTCCATCACTATGGAGCACCTACAGGCACTACCATCCACCTCAGTGATGACTAAGCATACAGTGACAGGTTCACTGTCTTCTTGGGCGCTTCCATTTGCTGGTTCCAGAGGGAGACATAATGGCTTAGCGTCTCGCCCAAGGTATCATCTTGACGTTCAAGAGCCACCGTATCGTGGGACTCAAGGATGGCTCGCAGCAACACCCGCAGCTCGCAGCACTCTCATCCGGCCGGCTCCACCTCCCTGCCGTTGCAACTCCTGTCTAAGGTAGGTACTGTACGGAGCAGAGTCACCGTCGTCTCCTTCTTTCACTTGTCATGTCAGGCCTTTGTGGAATCCCCATTGATTGTATTTAAATGGACGGATATAAACACATACCCTTTATAGACATGTCTCGTCCCTCTCTTTACCAACGTGTCGCGGTTCCGGTTCCGGTTCAACTGTCACAGCTCTGGTCTTCTATCTCTAAGCCCTTTGCTGTGCGACTACCAAGTGAAAGAAAACCACACACTATTGTCGCATACATTGTTAAATGCTCTGCGCATACCAATCTCATAACCAGGCCTCATCTTCTCAAAAGAGTAGTTGCTCTGCAGCTTCCCGGCATGATAACATTGGCAAATGAGACGGCCATTGAAAAATGCTCTCACGATCTCACCCCAGACAAGAGCCTTGGCGAACATGCAGGATCTCACATAGATACATACCTTCGGGGAACCAAATCATTGCCATAATGTCGAGTCTCAGGGGAAGACCAAGATATCATGTAATTTGGAGGCATCTTTGGTGTTCAGGTTCTGCTTATCGTCCACCCGAATAACTAGCATAAGATACAGAGGCTGAGAGAAGCATGAGAGATGTACTCTGTAGTCTTGGCTACAGTAAGTTTTACGGCAGCTTACGTTTGCCGTCTGCTAGTGTCGCATCTCCGCGGTAGACATGGTTCTTTACGGGGCGAAATGACGCCCATGTGGAGAAGGGGCAGCATCAGGAAGTCTCACTTCGCTGGATAGGTACTCACTTTGGTTCAGTCACTGCTTGCAGACACCCGGTATTGGGCTTTGAAACGGCCTCTTCAACGGCGTAGCTATTCGTAGCAACCGTAGGAAACGCCCTATTCCAATACAATGTATTCATACGGACGGGCTGCTCACGATAGAAGCAGAGAATCCAATACCAGGCAGCCGCCATTCAAGACATGTCCAGCGCTAGACTTGGCGCAAGCGTGAGGCGACGATCGGCCTTAGCGCATCCGCTCCAAGGGGAAATCCCCACAATCCCCCACTAGCAAGGCTGGGCTGTGCCGACTGATCCAGCCCAGCCCAGCCCACCTTCTTAGCACTAATACTGCGTACTCTCCAATCTCAGGTACCATTCTCCTCACGAGATACTTGTAGCCGTATCTCTAGCTCGTACATAGCAGCAGAGGCCAGACCTTCAAGGCGAAGTACTGGGCTGAGCAGGGTGTCAGCCATGTACAAATGGGATCACGTTTCTTAGTGCACTCTGTACTGGTATCCGTTCCTTGGAGTCTTGGACAAGAACTGCAAATTCAGACGGGGCGAGCCATGGATATGGGTGCCGTACCTGGCCCTGGCGTTTCCATGTCTACCATGTCTATGGCCCCATGCTCCTTTGTCTTTCCCATCTCTTCTATTTTAAATAAAGCAGATACCCCGTCCCTCTCCCTCAAAGCTCATCCCACCCCTTGCTGCTTGCTGTTTCCTGATCTGTGTTTGCGCGCTTGTGCTGCTTTTGCGAACCTGGAAAAGAGGGACATACCCTACCAGTACCTTTTTACGGATACCTCGTACAGCTGCGTGCAATCAACCTTTGGGTCGAATCCGAGTTTGGCCCCGGTTCCTGCAAAACCTTGTTGGGCTTCTCACGCCTCTCCTTTCCCCATTGCCCCTCTTCCTCCTTCTCATCGATTCGTACTTTGTACGGACACTGTACGCAGTATCTCGCTCGCTCCCGTCATCCTTCTCTTGTCCACTATCGTTCCCATCCCCGTCCCTGTCACGGCTAAGCTTCTCGCGTCCCGCGCCTGCCAGCCTCCGACCTCCGACCCGGTGGGCCTACCAGACGGCCCCGTTCCTGTTGCCTGCCTGGCCTGACCAACAGTGTCACTGCCTGAGGCGAGCTTGCGTTCCCATCCTCGCCGTGTTTGCACCGGCAATCAACCAGAAGGCTGAGAGCTTCGCCACAATCCAACATCTCTCATCTCCCCACATCCATCTCTGTACGTATCGACATCAGCGCGGTACAGAGATACAGAAACGCTGTACGATTACACTTGTCCGTGGCCGAGCCATCTTCTAGCCAATCCTTCGCTAGGCTAGCATTCGTTTCCGCTCCAGGGCCACATCGATAGCCACACAGTTAGCTTACTCTCTTTCGTACATCGACTACTATTACCGTGACAGCAGGCACATTTACACAAAGCTGTCTGCAGTGCCCCTCCAACTTATTTATCTGTTTCGTCCGACCCTTGATCGATTGCTCGACACACTCGCCCGTTTTCTACAGACCTGGCTCGGCAGCGATATCATCACTTTGCTCTTGCTAACCCCGCCGCGCAAAAGTCCCAATCGACTCTAGGGCTCCGTGACTCAGTCACAAAAGCCTGCCTGCTGCCTATTGCTCAATTGGGACATCGCGCCGCGATCAACACGAACTGGATTGGTGGGGTAAACACCAATAATCGACAGTCGTTTGTTTCATCCATCGTTTATACAAACCACCTGTTCGTACTTCTCCTCCCCGTGAGCTGCGGCACACCACCAACTATCGCCTTTCACTCGATCCCCCACACTCAAGTCCCGAGACTCAATCATGGCCGACGTCGAGGAGCCCAAGTTCAACTCCTTGGCTGAAAGAATTGCCGCCCTCAACCAGCAAAAGAACTTCCAAGCACCAGAAGCGAAGGCTAAGAGGCCACCTCCTCCACCGCCGCCAACAAATCGTCCTGTTCCACGCAGTCAGACGCTCCCCGTCACCCAGACGAATGGGCTTCCCACGCCGCAGAAAAGTCCTTCGATTCCTCCTCGACCGAACAAGGCCACCGCACCGGCAAAGCCCGCCCCACCACCGCTGCCGCGACGAACCACCGATTCATCCCAAGTCGAAACGTCAACTTCACCTGCCCCCAGGGACCGCATTGCACCTCCACCCCTGCCAACTCGCTCTTCTACCCAGCAAATCTCACCAGCTCTACCCCCTCGGAGGCCATCCACACAACAACTGACAGTCCGCCGTAATTCGAACGCTTCCGAGATTTCTACTCTGTCGTCCCTCTCTCTGAACCAAACCGTATCGTCGGCAACCAGCGTTCACTCGATTGATGGCCCAACACGAAAGCTGCCTCCCACCCTAGATCAGGCAAAGCTACCACCCTTGCCACCGACCAAGAGAGAGCGAGAAGCTGCTCAAGCAAAGGAAGCTGCCGCTCAGCAGCCCAAGTTTCCCCTGGTTTCGGTCAAGTCATCTCCCGCAATCCGACAGATTGAGCCTCCTCAGAGACCAGTACTGCCACCACGATTAACCTCAAGATCAACCACCCAGCAAGTTCACCGACAGACGCTGGAGGAGGAAGAACCAGCAAAGCCACGAAGATTACCACCACCGCCAGCGGCTTATATTAAGCCACCGCCCCCGACGACAAACCAGGATCAACAAGCCAACGACCGGCCGCCACTACCAGGAAGACGACCAACCCCGAATGATGACGCACCTCCTCCTGTTCCTCTCAGCTCCCGGCCAAGCGCTGCGCAAATCGAGGCGGTCTCGGCCAGAGTGGTTGAGCGTGCAAACGACTGTCTGATTTGTCGCGACTTCTCCGGGCCGGATGGTGTCGCTGCCCAATATCCCATACACGTACTCCCTCGGAACGATCCTGTGGGCTACTTGGCTCAAGTGCTCTGCGGACCCTTCGCGTCACTTACAGACAAGGCGCGGGCAATTTTCACCTGGTTTCACCATAATATTGCTTATGACTGCGCAGCATTCTTCGGGAATAACATCAGGGGTCGCTCGGGAGCTGAAACGATTCTTATGGGCAAAGCGGTCTGCTCAGGGTATGCGGACACATACAGGGAAATCGCCACTCACGCGGGTCTTGAGTGTATCACGGTGGTGGGCCACGGGAAAGGGTACGGATATACTGCGCTGAAGAAGGGGGAGCGTCCACCGCCGAAGAAGGCTGATGGCCACGCTTGGAATGCGGTACGAATCGACGGCGGGGAGTGGAAGTTGCTCGACGCCTGCTGGGGTGCCGGTAACGTTTCTGATGTGACAAAAGAGTACACCAAGTCTTTCAAGCCGCACGAGTTTACACGGAGGAACGACATTTTTGGACTCTCGCATTACCCAAGCGACGACAGACACTTTTTCCGGCCCGACGGCAGGGTACCCTCCTGGGAAGAATACTACATTGGCCCAGTCCACGGCGACAAACCCATTGTCTACACGCACGCATACGAAGAAGGTGTATGGGACCACACCGTCGAACCCAAGGAGCTCCAGATCCCCGTGCACAGCGGCCAGGTCGTGCGCTTCCAGTGGTCCAATAAATGCGAGCACTGGACCTCGGAGAAGCACGGCAAGGGGAAGCCCCCGCTGCTGTTCCTCAGCATCAAGGGGCGGGACGGCCGCAAGGACGACATGGTGCCCATCCAGACGGACGGGTTTTGGCACTGGGCCGACGTCAACGCGATCGATCTCGGTGCGCCGGGCCAGAGTGTTAGCATAGCCATGATCACCACGATTGACGGGCAGGATGCTAGGGGCATGACGGCCGACTACTACTTTTCCAAGAAGGGGAGGTGCGGTATGGCTTGGACGTTCCTCATGAAGTGGGAGCTCATCTGAGGGCAAAGGGGTGACCGACGCATGAGAAATGAGGAGGCGAGATTTCTATTGACGACTGTGACGGCCGAACATTATATCGTTTATAAATAATGATAATGGGACTCTTTTGGATCACCACCCGTGCCTTAAAACTTTGGCTTTCTGGGGTTGTAATCTCCAACTCATTTACGTTGGTGCTTCCCTGCAATGTAGGCCGACTCCATTCAGGGGTCAGGCACGGGGATTATTATGTCTTCGGCTCAGCACTGTTAAGATATGAGACGAAGCACGGCCAAAGTGACACAACCCGATGACTTAATCGATTGATTAGAAACTCTACATCTAATGGGTATCTTGCAATTTTATCACACTCTCCTTTACAAAGCCCAGTCTATCTAACAAACCATCCACCCCAACACACACACTCTCCCTCTCCAACATCAAAGTTCCAGTTTTTGCCACTTGCGCAAACGGCCCCCGTACCGATAAATCAGCGCCGGCACGGGGATGAGCGCAACGGCAATGAAACCCAGCAGACTGTTGCCCCACCCGAGGCCGAGGGCGTCGTACATGGACGGGCCCGCCATGGGCAAAAAGGCGGCGACGACGCTGCGGAAGACGGTAAAGGCCGCCATGCCGGAGGCGGCGTAGGCCGGGTAAGCGTCAATGACGTAGGCCTGGATGGGCTGCCAGATGCCGAGGATGGCGATGCCGAACGGCAGCAGGCCGACGACGGGGGCTGCCCAGTGGGTGTGGAACTGGGCGGTCCAACCGTACCAGAAAAAGGTCACGGGGAGGAGGGCGGCGAAGTAGATGCAGTCCGGCAAGCGCATCTCGGGCTCGTAGACGCCGTTGTTGGCCTTTGTCATGCGGACGACGGTGCGGTCTGAGAGGAGGGTGAAGCAGGCCATGCCGATGAGGTAGCCTAGGCCGAGGGGGATGTAGACGAGCCCCGTGGTGCCGACGGAGAAGCCGTAGGTGGAGGAGAAGACGAGAGGGATGGTGCTGAAGAGGAGGTAGAGGACGCCGTAGGCGAAGGCGCAGTAGAGGCTCACGCTGAAGAGGATGGGGGAGAGGAAGAGCATCTTGATTGGGCGGACGAGGCCGCGGAGGAGGACCTGCGACGTGGATTTCGGCGCGGTACCAGGGGCGGTGTCGTCGTAGACGCTACGGAGCTCGGGGCGGTTCAGTTCTTTCCGGAGGCGGGCGACCTTGCGGTCGATGAGGACGCGGGGGTTGGTCTCCTGGTTGAAGACGGCGATGACGAGGGCCATGGGCGTGGCGGCGATGAAGGCGATCCACGAGCACCAGCGCCAGCCGACGTCCTGGGCGACGAAGGCGCCGACGATGGGAGCGATTGTCGGGCCGATGAGGGGTCCAACCATCCAGATGGAGATTGCGGTGCCGCGCTCGGCGATGGGGATCATGTCTGCGATGACGCCGCCGCCGATGGCGAGACAGCCGGAGCCGCCCATGCCCGTGAGGAAGCGAAACACGATGAGCGAGTTGAGCGTGGGCGCGAGGGCGCAGCCTATGAGCCAGGCGCAGAAGAAGAAGTTTGCTGCCGTGAGGACGGGGCGGCGGCCGTACATTTCGGAGAGGGGCGCGAGGATCAGGGGGCCGACGGCGTAGCCCAGGAGGTAGATGCTCACGGGCAGCGTTCCGAGGGTGAGGTCGGCGTTGCCGTAGTCCTCGTTGAGGTACTCGATGGCGGGCGCGAGGATGGACGAGGCAAAGGGGGTCATGAAGGTGATACCGGCCAGGAACCAGATGATGATCCACTTGCGGCGGCGGGGGAAATTCATGGGCATGGCCGGGTCATCTTGGGAGTCCCAGCCGACGAGGCCATTGTCGAGGTCGGAGACCGGGTGGATCGTGGGAGGGAGCTGCTCCTTTTCCTTTCTGCGGCGTGAGGAAGCTAGACTTGCTATGCGTGAGAGACGACTTTTTGCGCTGGCGTGAGAGTGTCCTGTATGTATGCGTTCGACGACGATGTCCTGGTTATGGAGTTAGTACGGAACAAGTGTGTCTTGAGTTGACCAGGAAAATAAACTGTAACAGAGCTGAATACTCCCAGAGAAGTCACAGAAAAAGGCAAATAAAGTGTCAATGGCCATTCAGCCTTGGCAAACTCTTAACCAGGCGCAAAAGTCTTGCCAAGGAACATCTGCAGAGAAGATTGAAACTCACCTCCTGGTACGGCTCGCTGTCGGGCGTATTCTCAACATCGTCGAAGCTCTTTCTCTCTTCCATTTCAGTCTTTTCACCCTTTTCCAAATCGCTTGATGCGTTGAAGTTTTGTCGAGTGTCCCGTTCCGTCAGGGTGCCCTGCTCCGAAGAGGATCCTCGGTGCCCGTGGGCGCCGGCCGGCGTCTCCACGTCCTTCTCGGACGTCATTCTTGGCTAACAAAAGTGGATGATGCCTATGAATGATCAATCAATGAACGGGTTGAGTATAGTAGTTGGGAGTGATGTCCCCTTGAAATTCAAAAGTAGGAAGGAAGGGGTTTTGTAGGTGAAAGGGAATGAATGGAAAATTGAAAAGGAGGATGGGAAAGAGCAATGGGCCCGGAAGTAGTAGCCGGCGGGAGGAGCAAGACCGTATCCGCGTACCTGGCGTTTCTATCCACCTAGCAATAATACCTACTCAGTCGCGCAGCCGTGACTCTACGGCGTGAGCAGTGAGGAAAACTGCTTTAGTAATTCTAACCCGAGACCCCCCTCCTCCTCTCCTTTCCTTTTCCCCCCCAGTTGCCGCATCTGCCCTTGTGTACTATGTGTAGGGAAGGGCGCGAGGGCGAGGCAAGGGCGACGATCAGTTGAGGTGAATGGTGTAACGTTATTCGACCAGTACTCTCCAAAGTCCCCATTTCCATCATCTTTCGGCCGACCCCCCCCCCTTGCTACTTGCAGGCTAAACCTGCAGGAAGCTGCGTTTTAGCCTCTCTTCCGCCGCCGGGGTTTTCGCTCCCCTCTGCGTCCTCAGAGTCGGGGCTAATAACTCCATAATTTATCTCCGTACCCGCTTCGAGGCGGGCATAGTTGGGGGTCTGGGGATCGGGGATTGGAGGGGCACATAGTATGGACACACACAAAGAATGAAAAGAATGCAGGTTGAGTCTAGGTAGGGTGTGGTGGACCTCTGAGACTATGGTACACACTAAGAACATCCAACCTCGGATCTTGTTTCTCAATGATAGGCGGTGACGGCGACGGGAGAGTCTAGGACGCGGGGTTCGTTGGAGACGGAGCCGTGGATTATCCATGGAGATCCGCAAAGGGTCAATAGGATTGGGGCTGACCACCAGTACGGCAAATCGGCAGTGTCGGGCATTCCGTCATCTCTTTGCCGTGGCATGCTTCATTCCGCGTTTTCTGCTTTAGTTTCCGCAGCTGGTGGTCATTGGTTGCAAGCTGGAATGGTGTTTGTAAGCTTCATGTACTTATCTAAGGTAGGAAGCTTACACGGCGGAACTGTAAGTTGTATCAAATACATATACAGCTGTAGTGTAAATACCTGTAAGCAAGAAGACTACTGGAAAATAAAGGATGAAGTTCCAATTACCAATGCAACAAGAGTCTTAGAGTTTGTAATCAATCAACTTTAGAGATAGAGTTTATCTGCAACTGCCAGACTACGGATACTACAGACTCATCCATCCACTGGTCAATGCGCCGCCTTTCCAGTTCTCAAGAGCCAAGTCTCGCACAGACCAGAAGCTGCAACAGCTGCAACAGCCTGCAAGTGCAATGAGGTGGAAGGTTGTAACCGTTCCCCGGCTCCACTTCGGCTGCCAATTCCTCGCCTTCCATCCTGACGCTTCCTGAACCTCCACAGCCCACTGCCGCCTGCGTATCTGCCCCGCAGCCTCCCGGAGAGCCCAGTGCCCACATGGGAAAGTTCAGCGTGGTTTCCACACTCTATCCGTCTGCATACCCCCAAAAAGAAGACTGGAAAAGGGAAAGCCACCATCGATAACGCGGCCCCCTGGAAGTGAGTGGGGACCTCTTTCTCCAAACTGACGAAGCCCTCCTCCACCTTCTGCAACTGTGTCCCGTCGCAAAACCTTTGACGTTGCGATCTTTTCCTTCTTTCCATTGTCGCAGCTTCGACCACTCTTTCTCAAAAACAAAATCACCTGCGCACCTGTCTATTCGCCTTGCGCACAGGAGTACAATGCAATCGCACCACAGCCAAGCATAGGCTCCTACAAGAAGTAAAGGAACCGACACCGGAAGTGAACAGAGCTTCTGGTACCACAACCACCACGGTGGGCGCGTTCTTGCCTGCAAAAAACCACGATACCACAGCCCACGATGGCCTCCTCTTCAACCTCCTCCCCGACCCTCACCCGAACCGAGACCCTGAGCCTGGGAGCCCTCTCCTTTGCCGCAGTCGCAGTCCTCCTCAATGCCTTCCAGGGCGAAGGCGAGCCCCTCATAGCGTCACTGGCCCTCTCGGTCCTGGCCTTTGCGCTGGCCTACTCCATGATCCGATGGCTTGGCCCAGTCTTCAAGCAGGCCGGCTTCAAGGGTCGCGACCTCTCAAAGCACCACCGCCCCGAGCTGCCCGAGTGCATGGGTGCCGTCTGCGCTGCCGTCTACCTACTCGTCGTCATCGTCTTCATCCCCTTCCCCTTCTACAAGGACATTGTTGCTGCCACTAGCGGTGGTGGAAACAGGGATGTTGTATTCCAGGTCGAGCATGTACAGCAGGGACGATTCCTTCATCGTTTCCCCCATAGCAAGGTCAGTCTACATCGTCTCTCCTTGGGCGCACTACCACCACGAGAAGCTGTTTACTAACCGATCCCAAACTACCAGCTCGCCTCCTACCTTTCCGCAATCATCTCCCTCCAGACAACCGCCCTTCTGGGCATTGGCGACGACCTCTTCGACATCCGATGGCGACACAAGTGGTGGATCCCAGGCCTGGCATCGGTCCCCATCCTCGTAATCTACTTTGTCGACTTTGGCGTCACCTCCATCGTCATTCCGATCCCCCTTCAGCCCTACCTCGGCGAGCTCTTCGACCTCGGCGTCCTCTATTACATCTACATGTCCTGCATCGCAATGTTCTGCCCTCAGTCTATCAACATGCTTGCGGGCATCAACGGCATCGAAGTCTCTCAGTGCATCGTCGTCTCCCTCCTCCTCGTCCTGAACGACTGCCTCTACCTCTTCACGCCCTACCCTCATCCGGCTACCGACTCCCACCTCTTCTCCCTCTACCTCCTCCTCCCGTGGCTCGGCGTCTCCTTCGCTCTCGTCCTGCACAACTGGTACCCCGCCAAGGTCTTCGTCGGCGACACGTACTGCTACTTCTCCGGCATGGTCTTCGCGACCGTCGGCATCCTCGGCCACTTCTCAAAGACGCTCGGCCTCCTCCTCGTCCCCCAGCTCTTCAACTTCCTCTACTCGACGCCCCAAATCTTTGGCCTCATCCCCTGCCCCCGTCACCGCTTGCCCCGATTCAACGCTCGCACCGGCCTCCTGGAAACGAGTAAGACTCCCTGGAGCCCCGAACGCCAACCCCGACCCCTTGTCGCGCAAGGACTGCACCTGCTCGCCAAGTTGCGCCTTCTGGAAGTGACGGTGGATGAAAAGGGCCGTTTCGTGGAGACGAGCAACTTCACCCTGCTCAACCTGTGGCTCGTCTGGAGAGGCCCCCTGAGAGAGGACCGCCTCGCGTGGGAGGTCACCTTCCTCCAGCTCTTCATCGGCCTGTTTGGCCTCTTTGTTCGCCATCGCCTCGCTCTGCTCATCTTTAAGGAGGATAACTGGGGTATGACGACCAAGAGATACTAAGCAAACCGTGCTACGGGCCTCAGAGAAAAGACGTCTGGACCTCGCACGCTTATCAATGTTCACCAATCCCGGAATGGCATTCCGTCCGGGGATTTTCTCGTTACTTCATTTTCTTCTGTCTGGATCTCGCATCGCAATGGGGAACGGCACGGCTAGGAGAGTCGTCTGTTTGTACTATACCAAAAGAATTGGTTGGAGGTTTGAAATTGAGATACCCTGTAAGAGTACCTAGCGGGTATGTATGCCCCGAGACCGACACTCTTGGAAGATGGTCGATGAAATCAAGATAGAATAAAAAAGTCACATCACAATTATGGTCCAAGGTGAACAAAATTACGTGAGCGAAAACTTAGGCAGCCTGTTTCCAGCCGCAAAAAAAAGCCATCCATTTGTCATGGGAGGGGTGTAGCAGTCCCGCACCGACGCAACTTCCACGTCGCTCGGCACAGCTAATAAAGCCTAGAAATACACACGAAAACATGCCGTTCGTGGCAAGAGTAGTTGGAACCTCCTTTCCCGGTCTTTTCATCTCGTATCGGTCGATACCAGGCTCTTCACTACGTCTGTCCGTTTCCCCGTTACGTTACGCCATGGAATCCCCCATTGAAGAAAAGATTCAGCTTTCCTGCCAGACGACGAAAACAAGACAGTGTCGAAATGGGCTTGTGTGTTTTTCGTAAGACGTGCATTTTCTCTTTTGCAGCTCCTCCCAAAAAAAACAACAGTAAAACGCAGTTCATCTGAAGACATTCCCGAAAAAGCGCTGACCAGAACCCGAGGAACCCCCTCCCCTTTCCCATTCCTATTGTCCGTCGCTGCCCAAACGCCAAAGTCAATCACCAGACTGTCGCCGCCCCGAAACGTTTTTGATAATATTTAGAGAGGAAATAAAAGTCGCCGTGTCATCTTCGGAACTCGTAAACTCCATTCTATGTTACAGCGTGTTGGCGGCCGTAGCCGCAGGATTCGAGTTGATCGTGTTGCCCGTAACGGGTGTAAGAACATCCGCACTCTTCTCAACCACTGGAGAATCGACAATAGCATCGAGCGTTGGCTTCGTCTCCTCGGTGCCAGACAATGAGGTCTTCAGAGCGCCAGCAGGCTTGGCCTTGTTCATCCTGCTCTTGGTATAATCGCTAAGGCTCAACTTCTTCTTAACCGGACTTGGATGTGCCGCAACACCATTGACTGCAGTCGGAGCAAAAGGACTCGGTAGACTGCTTGCGGAGAACGGCGACTGGATTGTCGATGGCGTTGTGGCACTGGGTGTCGCCGATGTGGGTCCATTGAAGGCGGGAACCGGCGGCATCGTGACTCGTAACTCCGGTGATCTCATCTTCAACGGGCTGCTTGAGCCATTCGCGGGTGCATCTGAAACACTGTCGGCCTGCAGGGGCGATTTTACCGTGCTTGGCGAACTTGTAGCAGCATCCGACATCACGACGTCGCCAGCAGGGGGGGCGGCTGGCGATGTGTCGCGAGCTTGGTTGCCAATAGTCTTGGAGGGCGGGGAAGATTCAGCACTAGGCTTGATCTCAGCTGGTTGATCCACGTCCATGGGTGTTGGCTCCTGAGCGGTCAGAGAAGAGAGTGACTTGCGTCTCTCTACTTCATCACAGCGTAGGCGGTGTCGATTATTGAGCAGCCGTTGCGAAAGAGAAATGATACGTCGTCGTGGCCTGGGTGTTTGAACGGGCTCACTGTACCACTCGCCCTCGACAGGGTCGGTTTGTACACCGGCATCGCAGTAGACGGGACGAGGAGTGGATGATGTTCGCCCAGACTGGGAACCAACCGACTCGGCTCTGGAGGCAGGTGCCTTGAACGGATTCTGTGCCGTTGGTGACACGCCACTTGAAGGGGAATTCGACTTGCTTCGAGATGTTCCCGCATCGACGTAGTGTGTAGTGCCGCTGGATGCGTTGCTGGTTGAGCTCCGTTGTTTCGTCTTGGAAGAACCGGAAGTGGATGCCGTGCCATCGGATGTTCGCTTCTTCTTGCGCGGAGGCTGTTGCTGTTCCATCCGTCGGAATGAGTCTTCAACCATTTGAACCTTACGCTTGTCCCTGTCAGTGGGTTCTGTGAGTATACCTGGCCGATCCAATGAACCCTGGCGTACGGGCGTGCGATCACGACTAGGCGGTTTGCTGCGCTCAGAAACTGACCGACCGTCGTTGTCGGCGTCGTCTTGGTGTCCCTCGCTGGCTGCGCGACTGTTTGTAGCGTGTCCGGTGCTGGTGGGGGAGATGGTATGGGTTTTTGGCTTTCGTTGCTTCTTCTTTGCGAGAGGCCGAGACTGAACCTTCGCTTGGTGTTGTCTGTGGAAGCGAGCAAAGGCACAGTTTGCACCCAAGTCACACGCACAGCCGCCGTACTCGGACAATATCCGATGAATCCAGCCCGATAGTGTTTGGTACTCAGCCTCATCCATTTCAGACTCGTTCTGAGTATTGGTGTCGTCGTCGGCGAGACCCAGAAGATGCACTAACCGTGCCTGGAATTTCTTAGGTAGCCTGAAGTCCCAGGGAAGTGTAATTTGCTCGTTTGCCGCGATGTATCTATCGCTCATGAGCCAGAAGTGATACTCGGATTGGCCTGATAGGTAAGTATCCAGCAGGGCATTGGGCTTGCAACTTCTTCGAACGAAGCGAGCCATCGATCCTTCTTTCCTGGTATCAATGTACAAAGGAAGCATTGGGTGGAAGAAAACAAAAGGTAGCGGGGACGAGAGTTCCTCCCATAGGTTTTCGGGATCTGCGCAGTAGTCCTTTTGGAATCCGATCACGCCGTTGAGTTCAATCAAAGGGACGTCCTTCTCAATGGCGGCAGGGGTAGCGAGGTATTGCCATCGTAATGTCGTCTCTGGCGAGACAGGAATTTTCTTGCTCTCGACATGAAGCTGACGCTTGCGAGCGTCAATGTCTTTCGGCAGCTTGGCAAAGACATCGTTGAATTCCTCGCCCGTCTCTTGCCTCATACGATCTGGTTCCCGAAGCCAAACTGACAAGGTGTTGGAAACGAAGAGGCTTGCAAAGGAATTGATGCGAGTAATGGGGATGTCTGCTTCTTTGCTCATTGACAAAAAGCCGTCCGAGTAATTGTGTATTTGGAAATCGCTCGGAAGGTCCGGGGGAGTAGTTGCTGGGCTTGGGGGGTGACCGTTGGGTTGTGATCGCCCACCATTTCCGTACGAAGGACTTCGCTTTGCGTTCTGAGAACTGATCGAATGTGATGGCCGATGGGACGACTTCACCTTCTTGGTTGGGTGTGGGTGGTCGCTCGGGCTTCCGTGCTTTGCATTCTCCTGGCCCACAGGGTGGCCATTCAACTGCAAGTCCGTTGGCTTTGGCTTCTTCTTGTGGCTTTTGGATGGCGGCCGTTTGGCCTTCTTATCCGGTATGGTTTCTGTCGTGGGACCATTCTTTAGTCGCCGTGTTCGCTCGATGGCCTTTTGTCGATCTAGGGGGCGCGGCTTGCAATCAGCGCACGAGTGGGCAAAGTCTTCCCGAAGGGCCTCCTCGCGACTGTGAGGGTAAAAGCAGTCGATGTGCTGCCACGTGTCACATGTCTCGCAATAGATCGTGTTTCCATCATCGTCAGTGAAGTTGCAAATACACTTGATCGTGTACGGCTCTTCTTCCTCTACCGTCTCGGCCTTGCGTGGCACATTGTGTGTTGAGACTGGTACGCTCGGAGCGAAGAGGGTCTGACTAGGAGTCGCGGTCTGCGTCGACAGCGGCTGGGGCTTTTCGGTCATAATCTAGGTTTGCCTCGTGGTGCGAATTGAAGTCGAGGTATTGGGTGAGATGATTACTGTTGCGGCCTGGGTAGCATGACGACGCCTGTCTAGACGCACAGGAACCAGCCGTCCAATGAACCACAGAAACAGCAGTAAGCAGAGTCGTCGTCATCCGTCGGCGAAAAGTATATGATCGAGTCGAGGGTTCTCGACGAAGTTGGGGAAGGTAGGACTCGGTGGGATTGTCGAGTCTGGCTCACAAAGGACAGGTCGTCGCAGAGGCGAGGAACGGTCCAACAAATCGCTTCTTCACACACCGCGGCCGTCCCGAAACCAAGAACACACAACTCGGTTATCACAAGCGTGTGTTGTGAGCGTCGTGTGGTAGAAAAGTTTTCGAGTTGTGATCGCGAAGAGCGTGTCCACGAACCGATCGAAGCCAGAAGACGGATGAAGTCGAAGAAAGGGTTGAGCGGTTGCGCCTCGTCGACGGGGAGGGACGGAGCGTTTCGAAAAGCTGGGCCGAGTCGAGAGAACGTAGTATGAGGAAGAAATCGAGTGCTGAGGACCGGAGGTGAGGGAGAGAAGGGTGTTTTGGGTCGAGAAAATGAGGGTGGAAAAGAGATTGAAAGAGAAGAAGAGAGGGGGGCACGACACGAAGGAGAGAAAGATGGATGGGTCCCCCAAAGGAGCGTAGTAGAGACCAGCGGTGGTGGTGGCAGCAGCAGTACCTTGGTAGGAGTAAGGTAGGAGTGCCGGTGCTGGTGCGGTGCGGTGCGAGTTGAGCGAGACAGGTCCCAGTGCAGGAGCGTGCAGGCCAGAGCCCAGGCCAAGCCGAAAAGAGAGAGAGGGCGAACGAGTGATAACAGTGACTGCACTGCTTAGGTTGGGGGACTTGGACTCTGCGGGCTTGGGGACTGGCTGGCACCTTGTGCTTGGGTGCGCGGATTGCGGACTGGATAATGGGGGGGAGGGAAGGCAAGGGAAGGGGGGGCGTCTTCGAAGATGGGATTTTTGGGGGGGAGAGGGCGATGAGGACTCAGGATGGGTTGCTGGGTGCTGGGTGCTGGGATGCTTGGGGAGCATCGCACCTGCTCAGCTCGAGATGCCCTGGCACCTGGCTCATTGCCCGCTGGCTGGGGAGCACTGGCTACCACCAGCCAGCCCGCCAGCCGTCACAGCCTGGTACAGCCGGACATGCGCTGGAGGGAAGGGCGACAACATGACGGGGGAGACGAGAGACGGGAAGAGAGACGAGAAAGAGAGTGAGAGAGAACGGGAGACGAGGGCAGAAAAGCCAAAGCCCGTGTGTAGGGAAAACAGGGTACAGAGGTACCAGTACTTACTTGAAGCTAAACCCGAAAGGCGGTGGACACTCTGATATGAGTGGCTATGGCTGTCCAATCAGACCTCTAGCGCAGATCCATGATGCCTCAGGCAGAAGAGGTTTCAGGCCGCAACCAGACACAGAGAAAATGGGCAAGTGTGTGATGGTTCCCGTCTGATGAAGGACTGGTGAGTGCCTTGTTAGCCCTCCGCACCAGACACGCCTGAAAGGTCGACCAGGCAAAGAAGAAGGGTGAGAGGGGGGAAGAAAAAAAGAATCCAAATCTGAGTGATAAAAGAAGCAAAATGTTGGAGAGAAAGTGGGGAGGTGAAGGCATTATCCGCAATAAGTGTACAGAAAACAAAATGAAGGAGGTATTCGACTAGAACAGACTCTCATCATCTTGATGAGAGCAGCTGGCGGCCACGGAAGGTCGGTTTGATGCGAACAAAAACAAGAGGCAGACTCGTCTGGTGGGAGTGGAGGGACAAGAGGCGGCATGCAAAGATTTAATGAGTAATAAGAGAGAAAGAAATGGGCAGGCAGTGTGGTGTTGGTGTTTGGTGCGAGTTGGGTGATCGACCCTCTCTGGCCCTAGCAGAAACGGCGGGCGGATGTGACGGGAGGAGCGAGAGGTGGAACGACCGAGGGCGAAAGGCGACGGCAGACTGGTCGAGGACTGGTCGAAGGAGGGGTGACCCGCGCAACGGGAGTGACTCTGCGTGCGCCATACGGATGGATGGGTTCATGGATGCCTTGCTTGGCTGGTTTCTGCCTGCGAGAGAGAGAGGGCATCTGTGTGCCGTGTGCGGAGACGACTAAGATACCCGTAGAGTAGTTAGACGAGGGCGCGGGCGGAAAGTGAACGACTGTGAGCACCGAATCCCCATTGCCGTAAGCCAGGAGGGAAGAACTCGACGCCAGAGACACGGCAGAGAGTACCGTATGTGACTGGTATCTGGCCGACGGAGGACTAGGCATAAGATGAGCGTAGGTTTGACTGCTTGTGTGCTCCGTACTATGAGCGGGAGAATGTCGGCGTCGTGTTGGTCTCCTCGTTGAGTTCCAGTTGAACAAGCGTCGAATTCGATGCCTTCAAACACGGTAGCGTCTTTGGAAAACCGAACCAGCAAATTTCAAGACTGAGAATCGGGGATGACCATGGCTTTCATCCCATCCCGAGGGAGACGTGAGGCCCGTCCAATTATGCGCAATCTGGATTTTCTTAAAATAGGAGGCCTTCGGGTGACTTGTCTTTGGTGCGCTGGTTCGCATCAAATCTTTGTACCATTGCCGCCCCCCTTATTCTGCCTGACTTGGGAGTACCTAGGTGAGTTGTTGCTCGTCTCTGATTTGTGCTAGACAACTGGACAGCGTGGGCGGGTGGCAAGAGCCACTTTTCGATTGGGGGCAAGTAGGCAACCCAAGTTCAACCCACCAGGTCGCCAGGGGGAGCAGAAGCCAACGAGACTCCCTCCGCTGTCAAGTCCATCACAGAAGAAGAGAGCTTCTCATTTCTCGTCGCGGAATTGTGTGTCCAGCCGAAGAGGTACGAATACGGCAGTCGAGAGTTCATCGCGCCGAGGGCTACGGAAACGAAGCGGACGCTACACCAAAATCAGCCAGTGCATGTACGTACACACCTCAGTGAGGGCGGGAGTGACTTATAGGACAGATAGGCCGAGGTACCTTGAGGACTTCAAAGGAAGCAAAAGGAAGAAAAGGTACATCTCTGTACGTCTCTGGCTGAGCGACTCTTTTCGGCTGCAGTGGGATCGGATTGTATTGGAGTTCCATTGGCTAAAGTGGGGCTTGCCTGCGAAGGGCAGCATTTCTGATGCTCCTTCCAAAACCCAAAATGGTGAAGTCCCTCCTCCCCCAAGTCGCAAGTCTCACGGCGCAGCGTCGCGCGTCCTGCCGATTCCCACTTGTCTCAGTCTCAACTCAACATCCCGCTCGCTTCTCTCATTGGTCAGTAGATCAACCTGGGAATGGCCGACCGGGTCTTACTGCCAGGGCCTAATATTATCGTGCATGGAGCCGGTCTTTCGCTCCCTGCACCAGGTCGCCCTTCCCCCTGGTCAAGCTGGAGACTTGCAGTTTTGCATGCGACTTTGCGTTGAAGTATGGGAGTTGACAAACAGCTCTGGCTCGGATGCGCAATTATTGACTCTGGAGTGAGAATCCGTCTCTGCTCACCCACGCCTAAGGCTGACGGAAGCTTTCACTGGTTGTGTCGCAGAGGTATCTTTGCCGTAGGGTCAACCGCCCGCAGAGGCGACCCTTGATGACTGCATCTGGAGCTCTTCCACCATCACCCTTTTCGCGAAGCCTCATGCATCGCTCGTCAACTCAAGGCGACAACAGCATGCAGCTTGAAGTCATCATCACTGCAGGCTGATGCGAAGCGTCCCCTCTCGGCACTGGAACTTCAACCCACCCTTTCGTTCGACACTTCGGTACGGAGTAGCGTAGACTGACTCCCGCCTCCAGTTGCTCTCCTTTTTTCTCCAAAATCCCACGCCGTCGCCCGATGCCCCTTCAACCATCTGCGCCAGATGGCTCGACCCCTCACCAAGACAGACTAGGTTGGCCTCCAAGAGTTCGGTAAATGGCACGCTGCGTTGAACTCTACTGCGAACTGTGAGCGTGTACGCAGAAACGGAGGCATGGAGGCGGCCCTTTGGGCTGCTGGGGTGTCATCTATCTGCCTCACCAAGTCATAGTTACAGAAGTATCGGTACTTTGACCACCTTCAGTCAGTGCTCCTCAGGTCCAGCACAATTGCGCGCCTCGAAATGCGACCACGCGCGGCGCCTTTGCGAGCAGTTGTGGTCCTTGTTGCCCTTGGATTAACTTGTTGCCCAGAGCGCCCGAGTGCTCCAAGTACAGTACGACGTAAGGGGGGACATCAGTGCCCGCTACCGTCTCGACGACTCGTTGAGTCTTTGCCGTTCATAATAATGCTTCCTCGGTGATGGGATCGACGGGAGGAACTACGCTATCCTTTCGCTTTCTCGCCCCATCATCCTTCTCCTCAACTGGAAATACCGAGTAGACAAACAAAACAAAGAGTCGCGGTTTTCCGTCGTCCATCCGCACCCAGCTGGCGTAAAGGGCCCCGGCATGATTCGCGGCCGGCGTCCTTCTGGCTAGGATCTCCCTGTCCTACGATCGCGTCCTCGAGACTTGTCCAAAAGTTTGCGACACTGATAGCCGGGGCTGCAGCTGAGTTGTCGAGGTGCCCGGTACTTGTTGACCACGGTCCCCAATCATCGTCCAAGCAGGTTGGCCACACCTTCCGGTTCACTCGAGCACTTCTTTGCGCCAGCTCCCTGCACTCGACGCCGGACTGATTGGTACAAGCTGACGGACCCGTGCACCATGGTTTCTCCCACCATGAAAGACGCATGAGATAGTGTGGCTTCTGGTGTGGCTACCTTTCCCCTCAGGTCATCATCCATGCCGTAGCACGACTTCTTGAATCGCGGACGAGTTCTGTCCAATCACGAGACCTGCGCAGTCGAGAGCTTCCAGATGCTTGGATCGAAGTGCGCACCGAGCATTTCTGGCTCTGACACTGAGGAGCTTGGAAGAGTCAGCGGCTTGTGATGATGGAGAGACCCTGAACAGTTTGGCTGGCACTGGGCTTTCAATGCTTCGGTTACTGTCTGTCTGCTTCGGTTCTGTCCACGGGACCAAAGTTCCAGGGATCTTCCAACGAAAGCTGGGCGGTCGAAACAGCCCAGCTACTCTGTGTGACAAGGCTCCAGCCGTCGCATAGGAGTGAGCACAGGCAGAGGCGAAAAGTCAAGCCCATTGTTGTGGCTAGAATGCTGACAGCTTCTTCTCGCGTGGCGCTCCGTTGATTGCGCATGGACGGCTTCTACAATGCGCAAGTGGTGATATGGCACTCGCGACGCAATTCCATGGTCGCAGCTCGTAATCGAGCGACTCGGCTGTTTCAATCTCCAAAAGACGAAGGCGGGAGGTAATCTGGAGCTGGGAAGCTGATAACGAAAGTGGAATCTTTGGAGGGGAACGAAGCAGAAGAGTGGGAATTTTACGATGGCCCGTGCGTTAACGACGACAGGATTCAATGTACCTTTTGGAACATCATTGAAGAGGCTCTTCCGTTGTTCCCTAGCGATAGCATTATCCCAGATAATGCATGTGTTTATTCCGTATACAATATGACTCAATAACCATATAGCAGTACCTTTTTGTACACACGTTTTCAAAGTGCACCGCTTGTTCTACACCAAAGACATGCAGTGAAAGGTACCTCCAATGTCGCCATGGTCGCTGGGGAAGGCAAAGGCGCTTGTCCCAACCAAGGTCCACCTAGCTCCATCCAATCAGATCAATCTTTGGTTGTCCCCATGACGTTCTCCCTCCGAACCCAGCCCCGTTCGTTGCTCACCACCTACCAACGAAAGCCACTCGCAGGAACCACTTCTCTATCACCTCCCATCATCCTCACGCTAAACATCGAACCTCGGACGCCGACGATTACACACCGAGCATCATCAACGACGTCGAGACCGCCGTTGTTCGAACCGCCCATAACTCATCTCCCTAATCACCCCAAAACAACCTCAACCTCTACCCGCGATGAGGTTCGCCACAGCTGTCATCGCCTTCCTCTCCGCCGGTCTCGCACCGGCCGGTGCCAGCGTTCTGGTCCAGAGAGACCAGTCCGTCATCGTTAACGATGACCTCAAGGTCCCCGGCGACTCGCCTTTGGAGCTCTGCCCCAAATCCCACGATGAGGACATTGTCACAATCGACAGCGTAGACCTCTCTCCCAACCCTCCTCAGGCGTAAGTTTGTCTGCAGCAGCCCTCAGTCTATGACGATGCATACCGCGGTATCGTGAAACGGGAGCCAGCTAACATGGTGTTTCAGTGGCAAGGAGCTCGTCATCAAGGCTTCCGGCACCGTCAAGCAGAACATTGAGAAGGGCGCATACGTCCTCCTCCAGGTCAAGTATGGTCTCATCCGCCTTATCAGCACCAAGGCGGATCTGTGCGAGCAGATCGAGAACGTCGACCTCGAGTGCCCTATCGAGAAGGGTGTTCTCACCGTCACCAAGTCCGTTGAGCTTCCTAACGAGATTCCCTCCGTAAGTCAGCCCCATCTATGTCACTCTTATCAGATTATTGACCAGACTTGCAGGGCAAGTACACTGTCTTTGCTGACGTTTACACCGCCGATGACGTCCCCATCACTTGCTTGACCGCTCAAGTCGTTTTCTCGCGCAACACCAAGAGCTTCTTCAGCTTGGAGCTTTAAATTAATTACAAGCATACGAAGGTTTACGATGATGGGGCATGGGTTACAGTCACACGTAGCGATACATCCAGATTGCTGTTGGGGTTTCACTTCATCTCATGACACTGGTAGCATTAGGAATTTGGCATAACGCAGTTCAATTTCGCCCGCGTGATGGATTCGTTTAAGGATCCTCTTGAGTGTTCATTCTGCGTAGGAGTATCGGCATAATAATGCGTACGTACATAGGGTAGCGGTGCCAGGCATGTAGCTCGCAATTTATTCATGATAGGCCGGTATGGTCCATCAAAACTTCGAATACGCTATCGGCGTACCATGCTTTTGCCTCTTGGCCCTCACTGTCCTCATAATCTGTGGAATAACATGCTTATTCGCCAAACAACCGGCGCACTCTGCGCAAAACACTGTCCTTCTCGGGGTCGTACGGGTGGTCCTTGCTCGGAATTTCGAGAACGGTCGGGAAAGCCGCAGTGTAGGTATCGACCCGATGTCTTATGCGATCGGCAATCTGTTTCTTTCAATCAGAACATGTCCTCTTGGCACACGGCCTCCTCCCCACGATCGCTACTGACGTGTTGGTTGATGAGGATGATGCCAATGTCCTTCCTCGAAGTGAAGGCCTCAAAGGTAGACTCGATCGTAGCGGTGTCCGTCTTGCTATCCACCACCAGGAAGTTCTTTTCTTGATCGGCACCCGTGCTGACGTGCTGTGCACTTGTTAGTTATCTCGAGCCGCAATCGGAATCGTCGTGGGATCGAAAGAGCGCACCCCAATGCCAGCGAGGAGGAGGCCAGTGACCGAGTCCTAGTTTTGAAGTGTTAGCCATTTGTGATTGCTCGCAATGTCGGAATACACAGGTATCCTACCTCATCGCCGATAACGGCAAGGAACTGGCGGTCCTTCATATCTGCTTGCGAAGCCATCTTGGATGACTTGTGCGATTGTTGGAGAGCTTGCGATGGCCCAGGAGGTCGGCGGACGGATTGACGTACTTGCCTTGATTACCTGTACCCGGCGGCGGGCTGGCAGTGCTCCACTCCAGCACCTCACTGTGGCTGAAGTGTTGTTAGCGCTGTCCTGCCAGGTACTGCCTGCTGGAGCCCGAATTGCTAACAGGCTTGGATGGGGAGTGGGCGCTGCGACAGAAGCCAGTGGAGACCCCACCTGCAGCATTCCGGTACGTATTTCCCAGGTGTGCTTTCAGTTTACGGTCCTTGCACATGAGGAAGGTACCCCTGTCGAAAGCTTCTCCTGCCTAGCAGCGGGACAATGGCCCTAAAATCAATAGACCCAGACTTCTTTGTAAACAATTTCACCTAGCGACGAAATCGACAACGACACCGACGACAAACGACACCGACGCACCTCTCAATCCCATCGACCACGAAGCGATCGCCTCCCAAGACTTCCAGGATTCCATCCGCCCAGTAGTCGCCTGTGAATGGGAAGAAGCGCAATCCGACGAGATGCCGCGTCTAGTGCGAAAGAAGCCGCTCTCTGAGCGCCTGAAGGCCATGCTGAACCCCATGGACTTCTTGCTCTGGCTGTCGGAAGAATTGGAGACGAGAGATTGGGATTCTAAGGCACTGGGAACACAGCTCGGGCTCGGCTGCAACTTTATGTTTCTCCTTGCTAGAGCTAACTGTGTGGCATCGGAGGTCGAGGATGATGTGTTCAGCGATGGAAGCTCCGGGGGCATCGTCACCTACATTGTCAGTAGCATCGAGTTCTTATGGGTTGCGCATCATAGTTGCTAACAAGTCCTCAGGTGCGTCCACTCGTTTGGATTCTCGGCCTCCTCTCTGTCGCCAACGCCTTCTATACCATGTCGAGGACCAGGCAGTACCGATTATTCCAAGTCAACGTCGAAGACAAGCCGCACACCCCCTCAGCCCAACGAGTCAAAGCCAGGTCCGACCCGGCCGTCTCTTCGCCCCTAAGACTCTTGAACAACCTCCTGTCTTCCGAGACTGCCGAGTCGCGAGCCCATCCCGACAGATCACACGACGTTTGGGAGCTTAGCGTCTGGGATCCTCTTCCGGTCTCTCTGCAGCTCTTCTGCCTTTTCAGCCCTGGCCACGTCCTCGTCTATATGATGTTCCTCCCTTTGGTGCCCTTGGATCCCAGACCGAGCGTCACGGTCTTCAACTGCATTGTGCTGCAACTCATTCTTTCCGTCCAGCTGATTTTCGTCCAAACTCGGTATGCTCAGCAAATCAAGGACACGGCCATCATCCACAAGGAGGTCCTCCACGAGTACGACACCAAGTTCGTGCGGCCACGCCTTCACCCGGTTGTTCGCGATGTCGGCACACAGTGTTCGCCTGAAGAGGCTGAGGATGAAGAGTCCTTTGTCGAACTGGGAACGCCTACGACGGTCATCAAGAAGGAGTTCGTGGTTACACCTAATCCTCATGTCAAGCAGGAGGACCCGGTTCACACTCCTCCAATTAGCAGCTTCGCATCCCGTCTCTTTACTCCGACGTCTAACAGGCGATCCGAGTCCTTCACCCCTGTGCCCAGTACTCGCTCGGTCCGGCAAAGTCTCCCGCCGGCACCCATGTATCAGTCTACCTCAACGTCGACCGCGAACACCGGAGCAACGAGCTTTGGCGGAAATTTGGGTGTATTCAACCATGCGAACTCGCCCCTGAAGAAGACGTCGAGTCTGAATGAAATAAACCAAGGCTTCATGTCGCCCCGTAACTCGAGAGAAATGGCTGCTCGGGAACAGCGTCGAGGAAGCCCGCTGAAGCAGTCCGAGACTAGAAGATCGACTGGCTCAGATGCTCTCGACCATACGAGCGCTCCCGATTACAACCCCTTTGCCAGCGCGAAGAGAAATAGAAGCAATCAACAAGGGGAACGGTACCCTTCTAGATGGTCGGGTTTCCACTGAGAAGGGTTTAACTACGTGGCATGAGAGATGGGTGAAATTGCTCTGGGGAGACTTTTTGCTTGATTGCTTCAAATTTATTTACAGCAGCATATGGCGGCGTTGGGCTGGTTCGGGCGGATGGTCAATTCCTGGGCCGGCGTTCTTCTTTGTTAATCAAATACTCGAGTCTCAAGACTGAATTTGTATTCTCCTCGATCAACTTTTTCTTGGTGAAGGTGCATTGTTCCCGGCACTGTTCTCGCGAAGCACCTGTAACTTGGCGAACTGGTGACCTCGTGCCTTGCCACCCTTGAGTGTTTCTTCGAGAAACATATCTGCCTCACAATGGTGCCCCAGCTCAACTCTTTCCACGGCGATGAAGGCTAGGTAGGGTATGCTTGCGGCCCAAGGTAGTCCAGAATGATGATTGCACTCGCTTCTTATCTTAGCCCTGGTTCCCGATATTCGTTTGCCGGCCAGGCTTGGACATTGGCTGTCTATCATCACCACGACGCATGCGAGCTTCCAGATACCGGGCGTAGACGCTCTCGCGCTTGTTCAAACATACGTTTATATCGGGAGACACGAATGCGCTGCATGTCCATGTTTTGCATGAGAGCCGTCATATACTGCGAAGAGGCTTTTGAGCTGTTGGAGGGAAACGATGCGGCTCCGAGCTGCGTGGGATTGGTTCCAAGAGTGAGTGAACTTTGATCAGCATCTTCCCACGCAAAACAAACGCAATAAGACTGGAGAGTTGAACAGCAGGGTGTGTTTTCCATTAAGTATGTTATTCCTCAACGTACGATAACCTTCTGAGCACTTCGGACAATCTCAACATACAACAACCTTTCTCAAAGAACATCATGCCAACCTCCAAATCCCGTCGCTGTCAGTCACTCAGCCTCTCTGCCTTCATAGTGTTCCAAACTCCATGTCATAGCTGGCTCCACTTCCCTGAATGTTACTCTAGGAACTGATGAGAAGCGACAGGGAAGCCAGGAAAACGTTCGTAATGCTTGGACCGAGCTTCCGCAACCTCCCCGCCCGCGACTGCCACACGAGCTATATATTCAGCACTATTTGTGACAAGCTTCTTCCAGACGGAATAGTCGAATGTTGCTAAGCAACTTCCCAATAGGCCTGTGTTTCCGGCTGCGGACTTATGAAAAACTTTGACGATTGGGCCAAACCACCCAGCGCGGTATTGCAAGCGTCGTAATTTGCACCGACGTCTGGGTCTTTGAATGTTGTATGAAACGGCATCGCCGTCCTTTTTCACGAAGAGAACGACTGATAGACTGCTCAAACTCTCGAATCTCACGTCGTTAACCATGGCAGTTGCAATCGACGAGAGGAGCTTCTCGCAATATGGTATCGTCAGGTGACGCATTTGCCCAACAGGCATGCTGTCTTCGTGCCGCAGAAGTTTCAGCGTCGCCCAATTGTGGCAGTACACCGCGTCCAGCTTGGGGTCGAACTTTCTGATCGGAACGGCACACTTGGCTTCTGAAAAGCGAAACTCGATACCGCTCGCTTTGGAATTCTGGACGAAGTGGCGGGAGTCCTGGCAGACGTGCATGAGGACAGAGAAGGCAGTGTAGACTATGTCTCTTGAGAGGTATGTGACAACACATACTTCGGGCTCGTCTTCGTCAGACAGCCTGAACTTCCAGATGGTTTGCCGGAGCTCGATGGGTAGGTGGGAGAATTCTTCGAAAGAAGCCATGGTTGGTGGATATCTGACTTGAGCTGGTTGAAGTGAAGTGTTTGGACCAAGTCGACGCAGAGGTGATCAGGCTAAGTGCATGGTTTGGGTGGAGAGATGAAGGGATTGATTTTGATGCCTGGCCAAGAGAAAGGAGATGATGGTGACGATGAACATGGAGGAGAAGGGATTTCAGAGCGTAGACTGAAGACTAACAGGAACGTGATGTTGAGGTCAGATGGCGAGAGAGAAGGAAAAGAGGAAGGAAGCTGCGACTGAGAAGGAGGTTACGGAAGGAGGTCTGTCTGATAAGGCAGGAAGGCACCTTCGATGCTCAACAAAAGCCTCGAGAGAAGTCACGTACGTTGAAGACGTCGCACTTGCCAAGGTAAAGAAGGGCCAGGAAGGAGGTGCTGTAGCGTCATGAACGTGCACATCTCATGTGATTGATATGTTCGGTTTCTTGGAAGGAACTTTTAGGTAGTTTAGGCAGCGATGTCAATTGGAACCCTCTATCATTCATTGCTAACCGAATATCATTAACATGCTTGCGCTACGAGGATGTGCTTTCCAATCAGAATATACTTCCTGCTTCGTACTCGACAAATGTCTGGGTTAAGTATTGTACTCTTCTGAAAGTCTTCGATTCACGATTCCACCAGCGATGAGCCTTTCGTAACGTTCTGTCCATGTCGTTGAAACACTCTTCGATGATCTTTTCGAGTTCTTGTGTGTACTCCGTCATGGATCTCGACAGGTGGGATGGGTCCCAGGCCTTAATTCCGTCAAGATCTTTTACATCAACGTTGTATATCTGTGTGTCTCCCTCAGATATTTGGCGCAGCTTGCAGCGTGTCTTGGGTGCGTCGAAGTAGGACCCAAAGCAAGAGCCATTTGACGGGTCCCCGACAACCACTGACAGAGTCTCCAATTTCGGAAAGTAAAATGTGAGTACCCAGGCTACTAGATCCAGGTATTCCTTCTCGCCAGGGATGGCCAAATGCCTTGTTTCTTGAAGAACGTGCTCGAAATCGTCTTCGCTGGCGATGTCTTCCAAAGACGCCGAACCTTGATTCTGGCAAAACAGGGTATCCAATTCCGGCTGATAGAGTCGGAATGGCACAGAAAAGTCAATCGTGTCAATGGCCGAGTGCGGACGCATAAGATTGATTCCACTTAGTCTAGAATTCTGGACGAATTGGCGAGACTCGTGACAAACATGCATCAACACCGGGAAGGCAGTGTACACCAGCAACGACTGCGGTGTATCGCATGTCGACGTAACGACGCAAACTTCTGGCTCGACTTCGGGAAGTGACAGTTTCCAAATTTCAGCTCGAATTTCTGGAGGCAATTCGCCAAAGAGGTGGAAATCCATTGCGCAGGCGTGGGTGACGGTTGTTCTGGTAGACGTCTGACAATAGAAGGAGGAGGGCGAAGCACAAACGGAAAAGGGATGGGAAAGAGAGAAATTCAATTGAGCTGGATTAAATGCTGGGGAAGGAGTGTCGCCAACTTACAAGCAACTGCCTTGTACCTTGAGTCAGGGGTTGACAGCAGCAGCAGTTCGTCGAGTCGTTGCGCCTCTTTGACATTGGCTGCTCAAACCTGTCGTCCCTTCTTGAGCAAGGATCTCCCTTTCCAACCGCAACCCATCATTTCCGATCTCTTACATCGCCGCCGGACACACCTGGCAACGGTTCGTGAGTTCCTTTTGCCGGCATCGTTGTTTGTTTACTCTCTATCTGTCTTACCACGCAACATTTCTATCCCCGCATCTCCTCGAATTGAACTATGTCAACCCACTCAGCTCCAGCTACTGGTCGACCGCCCGATGCACCATCGTTTCTAGTCTTATCTCGACGTCCTGGACAGCAAGTCTCCGAAGGGTTTGGCCGGAAGTTAAATCTAAGCGCGCGTTTGAGGGCCGTCCTTCCAAGCCGCCGGGCTGAGAAGGGTAGCACCCATCGGAATAAAGGGTACTAGGAGACCGCCGAAAACCCTCGTTCGAGATCTAGACACTCTCCGACAAGTCCGCCTCGAGTAGGTCGAAGCTCTGACCGCATCACACGCTGGAACACGGCCAAGGAACTGGGCCGTTCTCGGAAAGCCCGATCTTCTGAACCTGAGCCTCTTGTCCGAAGAGCTAACACGATCGCCCATACACTGGCAACTAGATCTTCAAGAGAAGAACGAACACTGGAAGAACGTCGATTGATTCACCGGGAGCGCAGAACTCTGAAAGAGAGTGGAGATTACCTTGGCGTCACAGGAATCAATCCAGTCACAGGAGAACTAGACGTTGAGACACCGTCTACAACCAGCTTCAGCTCTGCTTCCTTGACTCTCGACCAAAAGCTGGAAGCTAGACACAAGTCGGAATCTCGACGTACGCGCCGCGGGGCTGAACTCCTCACAGAAGAGGTGACCAAAAAGCTCCAGCAACGAGAAGAGCAAAGATTTGCCCGGAAAGATCGGGAAAAGGAGGCCATACGACAAGCACAGCGCAAGGTTCAGTGGCAACGCCATAGACAGCAGTGGTCTTCTGCCAAAGATCCCATACTTAGCCCGATTGCGCAGTCAACCAAGAGCATATCGACTCGCGGTAAGCTAGCTTGTGTCGACATTGGGCTGATGTACTGACCAGTAAATCAGGTTCCGAAGCGAGAGACGCCCGGAATCTGTCCGAGCAAACAAACGCTCATCATTTGGGGATGCGCCATACTGATCCCAAATCTCATTTGCCCAAACATATCATCTCGGAAGAAAACGATGCTAATTCATCTGACACTGTAATACGAACCCCCCAAAGCAGACGGTCATCCTGGGCATCCACCACGGCTCAGGAATTCGGAAGAAACGGCCGCACCTTGGGCGGAGATCGAGAGCCTACGCAGTTGCCGCTCCCGTTTGGAAACTTGAACTCTCCTCAAAGCATCAGGGAAAAAAGCCGACCTGGTCACTTCGGGCTCCCAGCACCAGTCACCAAAGATCAGAGCCAGAAGGGCAAAGCCATGGAAAAGGAGCTACCACCCTTACCTCAAGGACCTCAAAAGACGGTGTCTTTTTTAGGCCAGCGACGCCCAGAGACAGAGCCGGGAGGCCGGCAAGCTCTCCGGGCCGTTTCCAACCCAATGGTTCTACGGAAAGCAGACGATCAGGATCCGCTGGGATACCACAGCAAGGAATTCTCAAGAAACCTGTCTCTAACCTCAGACAGAATCCCCATCCGCCGTTCGAGGACAGTATCAGCAAGCGCCAGCCTGACGCCTACAAACCTCTTGAGAGATCATATCCTGCGGGAAACATACCAACACCCTGCCCTGGACTACCAGCAGCAAACAACACTAAACCACTGGGAGGCAAGACAACTGATCCCACTGTTCCGAGATACGGAAGCTCTGAACGGCGAGGAGGAATTGGCAGTAGCGCCACTAGTAGTGGCTTGCCATTCATTGATCCAAACTCACGAACTCAACGACCAGCAGGCAGCCAAGACTCGTGGCCCACCAATCACAGCGAACATGTCCCCATTCGAGTCATTGTTGACATCCCAGATCGATCTGGAAAGCCCGCCGCTTCAAGAGAACCCGTTGGCCCGAGAGCATATCCAGGCGCTGGAGGACAACCTTTGCAAGGTGACCCAAGAGTCGTTAATCCTGAAAAGTCTCACCTTCGAGGACCGAGCAACACCTTCAAGAAGGTTGGAGGTTCACGAGGACTTGATATGCCAGTGGGAAGTGGGGAAGACGGAGGCTCTAAAGACAAAAGCTGCCACCACACCCATCACCACCATTATTGGCTGCGGCCAAGGTCTTTCACAATCGAGCCTATGCCAAAAACAACTCGAGAGAAGAGTCAGCGAAGGCTGGAGCATGTTGCAGAATCGACGCGTGAGTCGACAATGCGACGAACAGATGTCAACGTCAACAGAAGATATATCGACCGAAAAAGTGCGGCATCTAAGGACCGTCAAAATAAGGACCCAGGTTCTGACACCAAAAGCAAGCCAAGCGCTGACCCTCCAGCATCAAAACGATGCGATCCACAAGGAGGTCGAGAAATACTCTGCGAGAAATTTGGCAGACAGCGACAAGCAGGAGAGCCAAGCCGAGGACCCTGTCACATCACACATGTCCACGTCTACATCACCCCTAACCGTGTTGGAGCAAGCCACTCAGCAGGGCCAAAGCAAGATCGCATCGATGGGGGCGGCGCGGGCCGCATTGGCCAATTCGGGCAAAAGGACGGCGGAAACTCGGAAACAGAGCCTCTCGGCCAGCGGAACGCCCAGAATGCTGCCTATCAGCCTCAGGAAGCCTCCTCCCGACTCTGTTCCGAGTAGGAGATTGCGGAACAAGTTCAAGATGATGAGGTTCTCGAACAAGAGCCCGTCAAAGTCAGCAAACACCGTAGCGGACGGTATAGAGGCGATTAGCAGCCGCAAGAGTTCGAAGACGTTTTGCGCCATGAATGGGAGACACGACAATCTGCAGGATACACCAACGGAGAGCAAGCAGTTGTCAGCAGCCAGTCAAGCCAGGTTGAAAGCTGGCTGCAGCACGTCAACGACCCTGGTGAACAGCGACTCCGAAGGCGGCGACACCGGAGGTCGTTTGAGAAGAGACGTGTTGAGTAAGCGTGTGCTAAAGAGCGCCACCGACGGCAAGCAGATTGCGGGGAGCGTAGCTCGATGGTATTGGAAAGCAATATCACCTTGCTTTGATCCGACATCGCCAGCCAGAAAGCGACTTGATGTCAACAAGTCAACTTGGACGGACGTTGGGACATTTCTCGTTGCGCTGAGCAGCGGATTCGTGTTATTGGCGATAGCGGTCCGGATCGCGCAGGGGATTGCGTGGGTGATGCAGATGGTGCAAGGCTTGCTGGGGGGTTTGATTGCGATTCTCGGTTCCTGACAGCCGGTGGTGACGAAAAAGGGAGGTTATGGAGGAAAGCTTGGCGTTGGAGCCCGACCAACCGCCGATCGGCGCTGTAGGGACCAGGTCGGCTGGGTGAAGCGCTACGAAAGGCCGTACTCCGTATATCGGCTGGGTTGGGGGAAAGGAATGTTTGATAAGACGGAGGCCGAAAGCGCAGCGTCAAATGCACATGATACGAGTCGAACGGGCGCTGTTTGAGCTTGTGTGGGGTAGTGGCAGGCCAAGCATACAGCACGAAGGAGATCAACCCTCTTGCGATTTGATAACCTTGCTTCTCGAGTGCTTGAACAAGGTTGACAATGGCAGCACGAATGCGATGGCAGATGGCCCGGGTCGTTGATGGAGTTGAGGCAGTATTGATATACCGGTATGGCTACGGAAACAGACATTAATCAAACAGAGTTGCACTACAGAGGGAGCAGCCCGGGTATGCTTTTGCAATGCATGATGAAGTCGGCATCTCGGGCTCGGGTACGGTTACGGGCAGTGGTTATTGGGGAGGGTAGATGTTCTCCGGATGAGCCTGGGAACGCTTGTTGGGATGACCGTAGGAGGGCCGGCCGATGCGGTGAAGCTGCCTCATGCTGGACATTGCGTTTGCGACAGCAGCAGCGGCGGCGATCGAGGCCCTATCATGTTATCGCGCATTTCTGCAGCGTCATCATCGAGTAAGCCTCGGCGGGCGGATGTTGCATCCAGCTCCAGGATGGGATTTCAGGGATTGTTGATTCACGAATCACTGCCACTTTTGCTTGGGTTGAATGGACGGGCGATACTCCGTGATTCCGTAATACGGTACGTACTCCTATTCTCGGAGGTCTTGGGAGCTAACGTGGTAAGTGCCACTATTCGTAGGTATGTGAGAAGACTGGACAGGTTGGAGTCAATTTTAGTGCGCAAAAAAAAGTGCCGGGGGACTGGAATAAGATTGGGACCGTTGAGAGGCAAAGCGAGTTGAAATGCTGCAATGCAGCATCGGCATCGCGTCAATTACGTACATGAGGGGGTTACGAATGATGCCGGCGCCAGCATTCGGTGTTCTGCTACTGGTCTCGCTGGCGCATTGTACTGGACTGAACCTGGCATGTACATCCGTACTAATTACACACAAACAGTTCTAGGGTCACTGGTGACCGAGCAGGCATCAGAGTGAGGGCGAAAGAGAATGGAAGAGAAAAAAGCCAGCAACGGCAAACGACGGAACAAAACGGAGACGGTACTGGGCCCTCCAAGTAGCAGAGGGTACTTGTCGGACACATGAGAATTCAACGAGTTGCTGTTTTGGGCGGCGCTGAGCCCATTGGAGCCCATATTACTCGTCAGATTGCGGGCTCTTTGCGTCTCACGTGCGGGACGTGTAGTCAAGCGGTGGAGTATCAAGTGCCGTCGTATTCCATTATACTAAGGTAACGGGATCCTCTCCGATGGTGGGAGAGATTTTTCCAAACGTCAAAAGAGTCATACATTGATATGATCCACGGTGGATATGGGGACTCCCCTTTTTGACGTTTCCAGTTTTGCCCGTCTCGCCAAACACCCAAGACTTTTAGAAGTTCCCGTCCGAGATGGCTGAGGTATTGGGGAGTACCTAAGGTGCTAAGGCAAGGTAGTGTGGCGTGTGTTGAGGTCTCGTCCATGGAATGGCCCGAGTCCAATGTTCATGGCAGCATTTGGAAGGTTCTCAGGGCGTTCAAAGTGGGATGCGGGACCCCCGGGCCAGGGCACCTTGCGGCAACGGGCCAATCCGCGGGCGTCATTTGCAAATCAGGGCGCTGTACCCCGCGTTCACAGGTCTTCCGTCGCCAGGACCCACTGCTAGCTGGAGCTGGCGCCTCCGATCATCGGACACTTGGGAACTTTTTCGTCCCAAAGCTTCACCCACGTAGCAGTCACAGTTGATTGTTTCGTTTTCTAGGTACCAGTAGCTTGTAGCTAGATAATTGTATTTCGTGTGCTGTGTGTAGTGGGAAAAAAGGGTTCGAGGTACCTGCGGTTTGCGGGCACTTTTGCAAGAGGGGCGGGCGGGCGTAAGTGTACGTGCTTTCTCTTCCTTGTCGCCCTTGCAAGTTGGCACCTCTTTCTCGCTCCGATTTCGTACCTTTGTTCTTTTTTCGCTCTCTCTCGGTCTCTCTTATTACGGAGCAATTCGATTCAGGTGTTGCCAACTCTAAAACATAGCAAGCACCTACCTCAGACACAACAGAGGGACGAAGGCCTCCCGGTCCGGCAAATACATATTGAGCTGCTCTCCCCCCACACCCCTAACCACGCCTCTCCTCCGACTCAGGATTTTTCTACGTTTTCTACCTTTTTTCCCTCTCTTCCCTTTCCAAACGTTTCTCTTCCCGCGAACCATCTTCTCATCTCTCTCACCAAACCCTCTCCATCTCCCTCATCCACTACCTAGACTCCCAATCGCCATACAGACAGAGTCACACACACACGCACACTCGCAGACACTCGCACCCATCGGCTGCTCTCACACCAGCTTGATTTGACCAGGAAGCTTGGGAACCACCCCCCTCGCAACACCTAAACAGGCCCCCTCAATTGAGGCCGACCTGACCTGCTTTTGAAATTGCTTCCGTTTCCCCCCGTCTCCCCGAGTTGCACAAAATGCCCGTTGCCGAAGGCACCCCGCAAACTCTCTACGACAAGGTCCTCCAGGCCCACGTCGTAGACGAGAAGTTGGACGGCACGATCCTGTTGTACATTGGTGAGTTCTGCGTCATGCCTTTCCCCCCTTCCGATCTGGATCTTGGATCTACGCGGAGAAAAGGAAAGGAATTCATTTGCTAACAATGAGACGCAATGCAGACAGACATCTCGTGCATGAGGTCACCTCTCCTGTACGTTTGACGCTTGCTCCTGTTTTTTGGGGGGGTTTTTTTTTTCTCCCACTTCCCCTCGTAACCCCTTCGCTATCCGCAGCCGCCGCCTTCGCACTCCAGCTCGGATGACGTCGGTTGATCGACCCCACCATGACATCTCGCTAACAAAGGGCTGCAGCAAGCATTTGAGGGTCTGAAGAATGCAGGCCGCAAGGTCCGCCGACCGGACTGCACCCTCGCGACCACCGATCACGTAAGTCTTTTATTCCACCCAATCTCTCACATGCATGCGCATGCGAACAGCATTGCTCTCGCCTGCCCACCCTCAATTCCGCAGTAGCAGTACAATCGCTAACATTGTGGCGCGCCAGAATGTCCCCACTTCATCGCGGAAAGGCATGAAGGACATCGGCTCCTTCATCGCCGAGGATGACTCCAGAGTCCAGTGCATGACCCTCGAGGAGAATGTCAAGGACTTTGGTCTCACATACTTTGGCCTCGGCGACAAGCGTCAGGGTATCGTCCACGTTATCGGCCCCGAGCAGGGCTTCACCCTCCCCGGCACCACCGTCGTCTGCGGTGACAGTCACACCTCAACCCACGGCGCTTTCGGTGCCCTGGCTTTCGGTATCGGTACCAGTGAGGTCGAGCACGTCCTCGCCACCCAGTGCTTGATCACCAAGAGGAGCAAGAACATGCGGATACAGGTCGACGGAGAGCTTGCCCCCGGCGTCAGCTCAAAGGATGTTGTCTTGCACGCCATTGGCAAGATCGGAACGGCTGGCGGTACCGGTGCCGTTATCGAGTTCTGCGGTTCAGTCATCCGCAGCCTCAGCATGGAGGCCCGCATGTCCATCTGCAACATGTCCATCGAGGGCGGTGCGAGAGCCGGCATGGTCGCTCCCGACGACATCACCTTCGAGTACCTGAAGAACCGCCCCCTGGCGCCCAAGTACAACTCGGACGAGTGGCACAAGGCCGTCAAGTACTGGAAGTCTCTCCAGTCCGACGCCGACGCAAAGTACGACATTGATGTCTTCATTGACGGCAAGGACATCATCCCCACCATCACCTGGGGCACGAGTCCCGAGGACGTCATCCCCATCACCGGCGTCGTCCCCGATCCCGAGACCTTCTCCACCGAGAACAAGAAGGCCGCCGGCCGCAGAATGCTCGAGTACATGGGCCTGACCCCCGGAACTCCCATGGAGGACATCCCCGTCGACAAGGTCTTCATTGGTTCCTGCACAAATTCCCGTATTGAGGACTTGCGCGCCGCGGCCCACATCGTCAAGGGCAAGAAGATTGCGGCCAACATCAAGCGCGCCATGGTCGTCCCCGGCTCTGGTCTCGTCAAGACCCAGGCCGAGGCCGAGGGCTTGGACAAGATCTTCGAGGCCGCTGGCTTTGAGTGGCGTGAGGCTGGTTGCAGTATGTGCTTGGGCATGAACCCCGATATCCTTGCCGCCAAGGAGAGATGCGCATCCACCAGCAACAGAAACTTTGAGGGTCGCCAGGGTGCCGGCTCCCGCACCCATCTCATGTCCCCCGTGATGGCTGCTGCTGCTGGTATCGTCGGCAAGTTGGCTGACGTCAGAAAGCTCGAGGGTTACCAGACCAGCCCTAAGCTCCAGGCCACCATCACCCCCGACAGCGAACCCCAGGTTGACGAGCGGGTCGAGGAGAGCGACGCTGAGAAGGAGGCCATCGCCGACCAGCCCGAGGACAACGAACCCCACACCAACACCATTTCTGCTGGTAGCTCCGCTGGTCTTCCCAAGTTCACCAACCTCAAGGGTATTGCCGCTCCCCTGGAGATGTCCAACGTCGACACCGACGCCATCATCCCTAAGCAGTTCCTCAAGACCATCAAGCGTACTGGTCTCGGCAAAGCCCTCTTCTACGCCCTCCGCTTCAACGAGGACGGTTCCGAGAACCTCAACTTCGTCCTTAACAAGGACCCCTACCGCAGCTCCAAGATCCTCGTCGTCACCGGTCCCAACTTTGGCTGCGGTTCATCGAGAGAGCACGCCCCCTGGGCCCTCAACGATTTTGGCATCCGCTGCGTCCTCGCGCCCTCGTACGCCGACATCTTCTTCAACAACACCTTCAAGAACGGCATGCTGCCCATCATCATGGAGGACAAGGAGAAGCTCGAAAAGATTGCCGCCGAGGCGCGCGCCGGCCGCGAGGTCGAGATTGACCTGCCCAACCAGCTCATCAAGGACGCCGACGGCAACACCCTCGCCTCGTTCGACGTCGAAGAGTTCCGGAAACACTGCCTCATCAACGGCCTCGACGATATCGGCCTGACCATGCAGCAGAACGACAAGATTGCTGACTACGAGCGCCGCATGTCCCAGCTCACCCCCTGGCTCGACGGCACCAACTACCTCAAGAGGGATCCCAAGACCGGTCGCCTCCTCGCCAAGGCTGTCCCCGTCCCCAAGACGAACCGGGGTGAGACCAAGAAGGAGCCTCTTGAGTGGTAAGGTACTCGGAGACAGGAAATAAAAAAAGAGCAGACAATAACACAAAAAATTGGATTGGCTTTTTCAAAACTAGGAAACTAGGGAGTTTAAATCATGTAACGTGTCTACGATACGAATCTGGGTTACGGCTTTTTGGCAACGGGACAATCTTGACTTGTCCAGAGATGACATTTCTCATCATGCTGGCGGCGATTTGGGAATTATTTAAAGAATAAGGGAGGGATCTGGTTATTACGTGGCCTTTTGTTTTCTCAAAATCAAAAGCCATATGAAAAAGTTTTCAATTTAGATGCGCAGTTCGTCACAATAACGGAGCTTTCGCAACACAACATCTTCCAACCTCTTGCCATGGTGACTATTACGACTTTGTATATCTTCAATGGAGATCGTGATGTGAAGGATAGTAATGATGAATCGCTGCTGTGTTTAGAGCTACTCAGAGGAGGAGCATCTAGAAATCCCACCCAGCCTCCCTCAAAATCCCAACATGCACCACAAACCCAGCCTCGATCCTCAACCCCTCGGGGAGCAACACATCCGGCACGCGCCAGGTGCGAAAGTTGCGATGGAACGCGCCGATCCATTCCTCAAAGACGTCGGGGCTGCGGAGCTGCTGCGCCACGATGCAGACGCACGGCTCGGACCGGGCCGTTGTTGAAGAGAAGGAGGGGTTGTTATCGTCGTCGTGGTCTTGGTCTTCCTGCTGGGCACGTACACGTAACCGAGCGAGGTCGGCGGTGGTGGAGACGAGTGGCTCGACGAGGGCCTCGTTGTAGATACAGTCGCAGCACACCACGACGTCGAAGCTGTTTGCGGAAGAAGGGGGAACGCCGGTGAGGGAGGGGTCTGGGGTGTCGAGTTCCCAGTCTAGGGGGTGGAAGGAGATTGTTCCTGGTGATGATGACGAGGCAGTTGACGATGTTGTTGTTGATGAGCTTGTTGCTGCTGCTGCTTTTCGTGAACGGCGTGAGGTTGATGAGGACGAGGAGGATGACGAGGACTTTGGCAGGGGATTCGCTTCGAGGTTCTGGTGGATCATGCGCGCGACGTAGGGCTGGTCTGTGAGGACGTAGCGGGCGACGCGCGGGGCGAGGAGGAGGGCTGTTAGCGGGGAGATGCCGCAGCCTAGTTCGAGGATTGTCGAGGATGGTGTGAAGAGCGGGGTGAAGGGGGAGGATGGGGAGGAGAGGTAGGTTGCGAAGAGGGGGGTTATTTTCCAGAGGACTGTTTTTTTCTGATTCTCAGTAAGAGTTGAGAGGGGTTGGAAATAGTAAGATGAATTATGTTGAGTGGTTTGAGAGATGTTCCAAGGTGAGGGTGGGAGGGTGAAGTTGAGAGTAGGTTGTGGGACTACCTATAATGACAAGGGGGGTTCAAAATCGACATGGAGAATGATATGAGTGAGGTTGAGAGTAAGTTTTTGACTTTAATGACAAAGGGGAAATTTGATGGATGGACGGACGGGGCAACGCGAAATAGGGCTGCGACATGAGGGAGGTCTGTGATGGTTGATTCGGAGGGGGGGGGGGGAGAAATATAGAAATACTGACCGGCCCCGGTCGTGCCTCCGGCGCGGGTCGATGAGAGGACCGTGGGGGACTGGTGGATCGTGAAGTCTCTGCCCGCCAGCGTCAGGGAGAGTTCGGTGGCTTTCGGGTCGATGAAGCCCAGGTTCGAGGACGGGATGTTGTGGGAGAAGAGAAAGAATGTTTCTGTTGGCGCATACGTAGGATCTCCGTGTAAGTCGGTTGCTGCAGGGTGCCTAGTAGGTAGCAGGATGGATGGACGTACCCTCTTCGGGGTCGAGAATTTCATCCTCTAGGGTTGAGATGAGAGCTTTTACAGCCATTTTTGCCGCTGCTTCTCTGCGCGAGACGGGTGGGAGCACGAATAAGGATTAGATGAGGATATCGCCGAAGTGAGTCGATATGTTGGGACTGCTACACCTTCATCTTGGCGTGTCTGTTTAGCGAGCTGATGTGGTTGTAGTCGGGACGGCCGTAAGGATTGATTTGAGCGTGGCGGCCGGCAGGTTGCGGAGGACGGACGCACGGGCCGAACGTGGATTAGAGAATTTTGGGGGCAGTTTTTCTGTCGGCGGAGAAAACGTCGGGGCTCAAATCCGACGACATGTCTTCGGGCCGGGGTCCCCAGCTCAATCGGAAACCCGCATCAGACCGTTCAACCCGATCTGCTAAACCTCTTTAAGGAAATATTCTAAAACAGAAACAAGCTTGACAAGGAAGCATTAATGCTTCCCGAGATACGCCTATATGTCGGATTCATCGCATTGAGCCCGGTTTCGTTGTAAGTGTGGCTTTCCAATGTTCGAGACTCAACTTCTTGCACTAGGAAATTGAAAGGCAGTTGGAAACAGTGGATGCAGGTCTTTGATAATTCACATTGCTTTCTACCGCTCTCACTCTAACAAGTTGTGGAATACAGTAACAGAAATAGCAGCTCTACTCAGAGATTCCAGGTGCACGTCAATCCTTCGAATAGGCCAAAGTCTTCTGCAGAGCCTCTAGCAGACTGTCGGACTAGCTTGCTTCCCGTCATCCCGAGACAAGAGAAATTCCGTCCCAAGACTGCCGTGTACGTACTTTTTGACAAAGAAAAGCTTAGGGATCCGTTAGCTACGTTTTCACAACTCGGAAAAAGGACCCAAGCTCTTACAGTACACCGTCTAAGCAACCCATCCCCAAATGTTCTTGATGCTCTTGCAGACATCAATGGGCGCCTCGTTCTGCTCAAACACGAGATCGCAGACCTGGTTCTTGGCGGGGGTGACCCAGCAGGCGTAGTTGCCGTCAAAGTCGATGCAGATGGTGGCGGCGAAGGGGCCGCCACCGCCGCCCTGGTGGATCTGGCAGTTCTGGTTGAGGGTGGTGACGACCTGGAGGTCGCGGGACTGCCACTTCCAGTGGGCGTTGTCGACGCTCTCGAAGCGGAAGCCCGTGTTGGACTTGCGGCCCTCCGGGTCGAGGGCCTGGGTGCAGTAGTCTGCGGCGACGAAGGAGGCGCCGAGGAGGATGGTGGGGAAGAGGGTGGAGAATTGCATCTGTGGAAGATGGGATGGTCAGTTTTCGTGTCTGAAGGGGGGACGGTCGGGATGAGGGTTTTATCCTACCTTTGCGGTGTTGAGTTGAAGAAGTTGGGATGTAAGTGATTGGACTGGGTGTCAGAGACTGCAAAAGAAAGTGATGGTGAGATAGTGACTGTGGTAGTGAGAGACTGTAAGATGCAGAGTGAACTGTGTGGTGAAGGAGTTTTCGATCGAGTTACGGCGGCGATCTTGTCAATACTTATACTCATGGAATGAAGGCATCTCGACCATATACATCTTGGCATCGCGGCATCACGTCGTGTAAGTCATTTGCGAATCCGACAATGTCATTGTCCCCAAAATAACACTCTGTTTTGGGTTGAGTGAGATTGCAGCTTCGAGTCTTGGACCGAGATCTCCGACCTCCGAGTCACTTGTTCACTGCCTCAATCAAAAAGAAGAGAGCAAACTACAGTTTTGGATATTTCGTCGTCTTCACCGAGTCAGGCAAAGGCTTGGAGTGTCCTGAGAGGCGCAAAAGTCAAATTGATTATAGTATTTGAGTTGAGAGGATTACTGAACAACCAGTTTGGATAGCGTAAGGTACCCTCGCCCGCAAAATAGATTCCGCATAATGAATCACCCGCCAGACGCAAGCCGCGGAGCCGGGCTTTTACCCCACTATTTCATAACGGACGGGAGACGGACTTTTAGATACTCGGCGGTGATGGAACGTGCTCGGATCCATAGGTAAGGCAGTGAGGGTGCACGATCGGGGGCGAAAAAATGATTAGAAGAGTTGTACGTGAAAGAGAACCTCCTAATTCATAGTTTAGTTGCGAGAGAAGATGCCGTGCCAAGATTTTACTACCCTGATACTCATGTGTCCCACTCTAAGAGATTCAAGCCGCCTGCTCTAATTTACACCCCATCACCCGACGAAAAATCATAGTCACCATGTCTTTAGCCTCCTGCTCGCCGACCTGTACAGGACCTTCACCCCGATCCCACATAATCTCCGTAATGTCCGCCCCGACGTCAGCCCCCTCTCCCGCCGCGTCCGCGGGCCCGGGCCCATCCGAAACTGCTCGGGTCGATGCCCTGATCTGAAACTGCTCGTGGCCGGTCCAACTCCGATACACATGGACCACCATGGTGCCCTGCGCGTCTGGTCCGTCCGAACGACTCATCCAGCGATCGTCCATCGACGTCGGCTGGTAGCCGAGGAGGAGCTTGGCGGCGTCTGTGCCTGAGATGCAGAGGTGCCAGGTCGCCGTGGCGGGATTGCCGATGGGATGGAGGTCGCCCCAGTTGGAGCCGGTGACGCGTTTGGATGTTGACTCGCTGGGTGGCGGAGGAGCGGAAACGGAAGTTGAGGAGTTGCCCATGGTTATCGCGTGTTTTGTCAAAGAGGTAGAGCTGAGAGAGAAAGATAGGATACGCCGGGGACGTTCTGGATGAATTGGTGGATTGAAGGAAATTGGGATCGTGCAATGAAGTTACTTGATTTTGTATCGATGTAATGTGAGAGTTTGGAGCTATTTGGAATGGGGATATTATAAAGATGAACGTGTATTAGGCCCAGTCTTTGTCTGCTGTTCGGCCCGATGCATACGAGGTCCTTGCAAACTGGCGATCCCAGCATCAGCCTCAGGAGGCTCCTGAATTATCTCATTTGGGCATTGTAAGACTCCATCTGGGATGGACATGTGTAGCCTTAAACCCTATTTTCTCTTTGTACGGGCCATTCGGGCTTCATCGGAGACCTGGACAATATCAGATGAATTATCGGGGTCTTGGCAATGTACCACGAACAGGATATGATCGTCACATTGTCAAGGTTGGCCTGTCATGACACTGGGAGGCCATTGTTCTAGAAGGTAATTGTTCCTTTGTTCTTTCAGCAGTACCTGAAATTGTCTGCTCCCTCAACTTGGGTCTTGCCATTATAGATTATATTGTTCTTTCTCCAACTTTGTCGGGATGGACAAGTGCGGTTTTACAAATCACTCCGACTCCGTCTAATAACAGACTCCGGCTCCGTCGGTTTCGGATTCCATCGCCCGCAGAATAGTTCAAGCCGACAACCAGTTAGAATAGTCTTGGCAAAATTGTAAAGTGTATTGTAAGAATACGAATATCCGTAAAGCCTCTGAACTCTTTGTATACAACCAATCTATTTGTTTTTTCATGCGCCTGGATTCATACTAGACTAGTCTCGACATGACTCTCCAAAGTTGAAGCCATCGTGTAAGTGTCAGCTGTTTTACGCGAAACAGCACTTCATTGAACGCTTTGCGGAAAGACCGGATTCCGCGGCCTGTATCTACTATATTTCTCTTCAAGCAGGTTTGACTTGTAATATCAAGACTCAAGATATAAATCAGTCAAAATCCGTAGTCATGTTCAAATCGGAATCAGTACACAACCAGTCCTCTGACCTCACACTCTCTTACAATACAATCTTTTGAATAACAACTTCACATTCTTTTGAACCGTCTATCTTTATCATTGAACAATGGCTAGACAACCTCTCATGCTTGGGCTGACGCTCATTGCTTTCTGGGCCTTCCTCTGCAACGGTCTTGACCTCTACCGCGCAGATTCCAGAAACTACGCCACCATCCAGGCTTCCAAGGGCTTCTTGCCAAAGGGCCAATCCACCTTTGGCGTCGCCGCCCCAGACACCAGCTTGTGGAACCATGTCAAAGGAGCCCCCAGCGGCGCCAGTAAGGACGAGGACGGCTACGTCTCCACGACCTCGGACCCCAAGCTGGCTGAGAGCTGGGTCAGCCGCTTCCTAGGCGGCAACGGCTTCATCTATCGCATCCACTCGGCTCCCAACATGATTGACTGCCAGGCCACCCTCCAAAAGTACAACCCGTACCCCGAAGAGGCTGAGTTCGCCGCCCTCGGAGGCATCAAGGACAACCAGATCATCGGCTGGACCCCCGTCCGCGGCGGCGTCAAGGGCAAGGAGGAGCTGAACCCCTTTTACCAGGGCAACATCTACAGCAACATGGGCACCGGCGGCGCGCAGTACAAGCTCGCCGCCTTCCCGCCCAACCACCAGGCCTGGGGCGAGGCCCCTTGGTCGCAATTCGCTTCGTGCACGCGCAGACGCTCCGCCAGGGACCTCTTCCAGATCGAGAAGCGGGCTTGCTCCGCGTCCAAGAGCAACGTCGACTACGCCAAGGAGTACCTCGAGTACGTCGAGGCCGTCTGCCCTGGCTGCCAGTAGTGTTATCAGTCACTACGATGGATTCTCTCGGCTGGTTCAAAGCACGAAATCGACTTGGAATTGGAAATGGACATATTCGTCGTCTGCTTCTGGCCAACGCTCTTTGAAGAATAAGCCTTCCATGACTGTTAAGATTGATTCTCTATTCGTGTATTCCTCAGACAGCTTGTTACGCGTAGAATGTTGTTAGACCAAGTAGGCGACATGTCTTGACAATCAAATATACACACAATGCAAACGTACCTTTCATGTTTTTCATCCTAGATTTGGTAGAAACGACCCGAAACCATTCCTTCTACGATCTATCTTCGAATGACAGTTCCCCCGAGTCGTGCAAGTTGATAGTATTCTAGAAGGTATAGTCATCTAACAAGTTTGAGAGCTTATAGAACTGGTTCAATATGCGATTTGATTCGCGTTTCTTGACACATGCTACTGCTCATTTTTCTGCTGTAATAAAAAAGAATTAGTGGACTTAAAGTGCTGCACGGGGGTTGCTATTGATTCACCAGAAGTAAAACATGAGACATGAGGTCGAGAAGTTCAAAACGCTGGATACTTGGAAATAAGAATATAGCCTGAATGACTTAGTGGACAGAGCTTTGAGTAAGCCACATTGTTAGCAAGCTTTCATCGCGACTTAAGATTCCACTTTTCAAGAAATACTTATGTCTCTCTCTCTTTCTCTCTCTCTCTCTCTCTCTCTCTTCCAATGGTGGTCCTGCGATCTGGTCTGTTCTGTGATTCTGATACTAGGTTGCAATCAAGAATGCCTAGTTGACTACCATTGCCTTTTCTTTCTTTTGATAGTCGGTGCTGCGACTTGGAGCTCGCTTGTATGTGGTCCCCGACGGTTATGCGGCTTAGTAGATCCACTAAAGGGATCTACAATGCAGTAGCAAAATGCGCAAGCAAAAGCTTCAACAAGAAACTTGAGAGCAATCACCTCCCTATTACGTATCAAATTGACAGCTCAGTCTGTTCGCTAAAAAAGAACTATACCCAAATTATTAAGCGATACATTAGTGAAATTGCCTATCGAGTAGTTGCCGAAGCCTTTGCCGGGGGACCATGACTCACTTGCGAATAGAAGCGAAGAGTTGTGGGGCTCTACAATGTCTCATTCTTTTAACCCATTTTTGATGTAGAACACGTCAGACTAGCGAAGGGCGCATCTTGAAATATTTCAAGCATTTGGATTGCTTTTTGATCTCAATGTCATTTGTTGATTATGCGTATAAATTTTGCTGTCAATTGGCTCTTGGTATGTGAGCTGCGATAACCGTTGGAGAGAGCTTCTAGTTGGTCGACTTTTTCCCTAAATGCCGCCGACTGGACCCCCGCCGAAATCACACTCTCCTCCTCTAGACAACGATGGCGTCGAATAAGAACGAGTCAATATCAGACAACCGTTTGGAAGATGGTTCGTCGGAACAAATTGACACAGAACATGACCATGGCAAAGGGTAGGCTGAAGGTCATTGCTCCCTGTTGCGATCACCACACCAATCCCACCTTGATCCAAGCATAGATGCTGACCTTATCTAGCCGTTACATCAGCGTGGTGCTTGCTGCATTCATGATCAGTTTCATGACGGGAGGCTTGCAGTTCGGCTTCGGCATCTACCAGGCGCACTACGAGACGATGGCTCTACAAGACAACACCCCATTCACCGGTGCTACGGCCGCCCGGCTCGATCTCATCGGAACCCTCGCGATCTCAATGATGACCATATGCGCACCTGTCGTCGTGGCATGGTCGAAAACAATTGGCCCCCAGAAAGTTATGTGTGCAGGCGGCCTGCTTGTGGGGGTGGCCAATATCCTGGCAAGCTTCGGTCGGGAGCTGTGGCACTACCAGATCACGCAGGGGTTCCTGATGGGCGTGGGATCCTGCCTCTCCTTCGTGCCCTCAATGGTCGTCGTACCGACTTGGTTTGATAAGCATAGGGCACTGGCCATGGGCATCGTCTCTGCGGGAAGCGGTGTTGGCGGTCTGGTATGGGCCCCGGTGCTCGTGGCTTGTATCGAGAAGCTGGGTTACCAAAACACTCTTCGCATGACTGGTGCCCTCGGTGCTGCGGTTGTTTGCACAGGTGGAGCAGTCCTCACATGGGAACCTGCAATGGCGGCCAAGATACAAAGTGAGAATGCGACGACGTCTAGACTGAAGAAGATGTTCAAGGTTCCGCTGCCTCCCTTGAAGACTGTCAGGCAACGAAAGTTCATTGCGCAGAGTCTCAGCATGTTCTGCCAGAGCGCGGCGTACTACACACCGGCGTTCTTCTTTGCGTCGTACGCCAAGACCTTGGGATACTCTGACAGCGATGGTGCCAATCTGACTGCCGTCAACAACGCCTGCAACGCCGTGGGAAAGATTGCCATTGGGCTCGTGGCAGATCGCATCGGAAGGCTCAACGCGTTGTTTCTCACGACTGTGATCTGTGCCGCCGTTACTCTTGGGCTATGGGTTCCTAGCATAGCCATAGGAATGAGCCACGAGTCTGTAGCAAGGTCACTGCTTATCAGCTTTACAGTCCTGTACGGCATTTTCGCGAGCGCATATGTCAGCCTGTTCCCACCAGCTCTGGTTGAGCTGTTCGGTATGAAATTGATGCCGCAGGTTACGGGGATTATGTACATGATCATGGGAGTTGCTTCCATGATTGGTACGCCAGTAGCTGGTGCCCTGGTCAGGGGGCACGGCGAGATCAAGGAATCGGGTGACTACATGGGAATGGGTATTATGGTGGGCACTTTAATGGCTGCAGCAGCCATCTTTGTGGCTTGGATGAGATTAGAGGCGACTGCAGACCGAGCTCAAGGGGGGAGGAAATGGGTCTGGAAGCTGTAGGCATCGGTGACTTGAGGGTGGTGTTGGTGTGGCTTTGAGCAGATACTCCATACCTGTAAGGTGCTCGTCTCCTCATGACAAGAGTTACTCACTGTTTCAAAAGCAAGAACGATGTTCATTGAAATCAAATGGCCTCCATGGCATGATATATGACAATGAATGCAGCCCTTAGCTTGACGGGTGACTTAGTTCAACTATCCTGATTCTCAGATAGCAGAATATCATCAAAGACTACACTCGCATGTCTAGACTCCATAAGGTTGAGCTCAAACGTCAATGAACCCTCACTCTTGTTGACGGAAAGCGTTTGTAGTCAAGTTGTTCCCCCGCTCGAAATATTAACCGTGCAGAGTATTACCTAGGCAGCCATCTCGGAGTCTTCCTAGGCGAGCTGAGCAGATATCCGTGGAGCATAATTGTGGCTGGCATTGCACTTGCATAGTCGTTCATAGAGCTTTTGTCCTCTGACGCCTGCGTTTGTTCCCAGCCGGTTGGAATATGCCCGAGGCAGTTCTCTCTCGCGAAGCAACTTATGGAAGACCTTGGGCGAGACTGACGGAAGGCAAACGAAGAAGGAACTTCCTGAAAACCCTTTCCCAGTCCCCAGGAACTTCCCCTCCTTCTCTCCTTCTCATACAACGTCTCCAGTCTCAAGATACACGGCAAGAACTCTGATAGCATCTTTGACCGCCATCTTCCTCCCATTCCGACGCCATGGCACCTGCTCATTCCAAGACGCAGGCCACTGGCTTGGGAAATCGAAATCTCTTGGACAAGATCGACAAGTTGAGAGAACTTGGAATTTCCAGGCAAATTGCCCTCCCTCAGGTACCTGATCTCATGCTTCCGATGACGCCTCATGCTGACATGTGCCGCACGCCAACAGCTCGTCGTCGTCGGAGACCAGTCCTCTGGAAAGTCCAGCGTTCTCGAGAGTCTCACTGGATACTATTTCCCCCGATCGGTCGGACTCTGTACACGTCATGCTACGGAGATCGTCTGTCGTCGAGAACACACACCCAGCATCGTCGTTACCATCCAGCCTGCCGATGACACCTCGGCAAGAGCCGATCTTGCTAGGTCATTCCAACGTGAGCTGAAGGAACTCAAGGGCCAGGCGTTTGCGGATGTTCTCCGCGAGGTATGTTGTTTGTCTGTCTTATCGTTTATTCTTTACCTCATCTTTGGTCCATCCTATAAACTGCCTGTGTCATCGGCTCTAAGTCGCAGCCAGTTGTAGCTAACTGTTGCCACAGGCTGCCGAATTGATGGGCTTGAAGAGTGCCAAGAACTCTGAAGGTATTGCCTTCAGCAAGGATGTTCTTCGCGTTGAGATTTGCGGCCCCAACGAGGAGCACTTGACAATCATTGACGTCCCTGGTAAGGCCAAACATCACAGCTTCTGGCGCTCACAGCTAACATCGGTCCCAAGGAATCTTTGAGAATGCTCAAGATGGTATGAGATTACCTGTGATGTCTCTCGCCTCTCTCCTTCTCTAACCTCGTGGACAGGCGTTTCGACAGCCATAGACGTTGCCCTGACCAAGTCTATGGTGAAAGATTACATCAAGGATTCCAGAACAATGTGAGTCCCTTCTCTTCGCAGGTCTGGGCGATTGCTAACAGAAGTCACCTAGCATCCTCGCAGTCATCCCTTGTAACGTGGATGTCGCAACTCAGACCATTCTGACCTACGCCGCTGAAGCTAATCCTGATGGCAAGCGTACTCTGGGTGTCCTCACAAAGCCGGATCTCGTGAGCGAGAACGCCACCCGCGAGGCAGCGATGGATCTGGTCCGCGGTAAGAGACGAGACATCCAGTTGGGCTACTACGTCGTCAAGAACCGAGGCGCCGACGACTCTTCTTCAAGCAAAGAGGATCGTGATGCCTACGAAAAGACGTTCTTTGCTGAGGAGCCCTGGTCTCGACTCGACAAGTCCCGCTTGGGAATCCCAGCGTTGCGCATGCGGCTGCGTGAACTGCTCATGGACCGGACCAAGAGCGAGTTTCCCAAGGTCAGACGAGAGATCAATGAGCGTCTAGCCGAGGCGAAGACCAAGCTTAAGGACCTCGGACAGCCCCGAAGCACCGCCGATGAGCAGCGAGCTTATCTCGGCAAGATTGTGAGTCGCTTCACCGAGTTGAAGAACTTTGGTCTCGATGCATACTACACTGGCGATCCCGTCTTCGACACGCGTCCGGAACTCCGCCTCGCCACTCGAATTCGTGAAATGAACACGGCTTTCGCTTCCATGTTCTTCAAGAAAGCGCACACTCGCGATTTCGATGACCTTGTTGAGAAAAAGTCGGACGACACCGAAGACTGGCAGTCCCACGATAACGATGATGATGACGACTCTCCACTCAAGGTCTCTTCAGACGACGACGAAGATGACAGCAAGGAGGATGAGGATGCCACAAGAGATGATCTCTACAGAATCGCATTCCCAGTGCCATCTGATGAGTACGGTGAACTCGATGCAATTCTGTCGGACCCTTGCAGATGCCCTGCGCCCCTGAAACACAGCATTCTGAAGCATCTCGAGCAGCTGTATCTTAGGTCCCGTGGCTTTGAGATGGGCACTGTGAGTAAACCGTGGCATCTGTTGAGTTGTCTCATGCGTAATCAACTAACAGATCAATAGTTTGGCAGTCACATGTTGCCCACAGCCTTCAAGGAGCAATCCAAGAAGTGGGAGTCCATCACCTTGGCCCATGTCAGCAACGCCATTCTCGTCGTTCACCACTTCATTCACGGTGTGGTCAAAGAGTCTTGCAGTGATGAGCAGGTCTTTGACGCGCTCTGGTCCTCAATCCTGGAGAATCTGATTGGCAGATATCAGGTGGCGATGGATCAGGCGAAGTTGTTGATCCATGTGGAGAGGGAGGGTCGCTCCATCACCTACAATCCGGCCTTTGACAGAGCTCTGAACAAGATCAAGGCTGCCAGATCTGCCAAGAAATTCGAAAATCTCAAAGTCTCCCTAAATCTCGAATACGCGCCGGCCGATTATGTCCGATACGAAGACTTGAAGAAGCAAATCACCCACGAGAAGGGCACCAGCGCGACGAGTTGCGTCATCCATGATGTCTTGCAGAGCTATTACGAGGTTGCGAGTGCCCGCTTCTCGGATATGATCTGTGCTCAGGTTGTCGATTACTTCCTTCTCGGCGCGGAGGACGGCCCTCTCAGTGTTCTTTCTGCAAACCGTATCTTCAAGATGACGGCCGAGCAGTTGGAGATGGTCGCGGGCGAAGACGCCTTGAGCAAGTCTGCTCGTGAGATTTTGAAGAACGACATCATGCTCTTCGAGCAGGGGCGAAAGGTTCTCCGCACTTGAATGCAGGGTATTAGGTTGAGTGTGGGGTTCAAGCTGGATTCGTTCTGATTCCTTAAGGGGCTCATCTTCATGTCGGGTAGTTGGCTCTGTAGGTAGTTCTGGTGTGGACTGTCATCACAGTATCTCGGTTTGTCTTTCCTGCTGTCCTTTCACCTTCGTGGTTGACTCGACCCCGAGACCATGTATCGCAGTGTCTGTCAAATGAGTTGATCTCAGGCCTGCAGACGAGGCCATGTTCCTACCTTAGTCAAGAGGATAAGTACTGGCATGCACTGTCTAGACGTGGTGAACAAAGAAGGAAGGCGCTCATGAGACAAAGTCGTGAAATCCACCTCAGTCTGATGAGCTGCATTTTATCGTAGCATTGATGCAGTGTTTGAGTAAGGATGATTGAATGTCACTGTGTCAGGCGGGCTGATCCGCCATCGACATACTTGTCTTACCTGGTGTCGATCAACGAGCTCGCTCTCGTTTCTTGAGAGGTCGGTTGAAACATCGAAGTTGGGACAAGCTGCATAGCTAGGTAACCAAACATCCCGACCTTGGGCAGTTGAAGCAAATGAGTCTTGCACGAATCATCCTAGCTTTCAGACTCCACGTGGTCAGAGAAGCAGAAAAGGTCCATCGTCGGTAAGTGGGTTCTGTCCCGGGCTGCACAGCTGCAGACGGGGTTTTCCCTCCGGCACCGGGCTACTAAATCATATCAGATTATCAATCAGTGGATTCAGACCGAGGCTGCCGGCGAATATGTGCCTCTTACGTTCTCATAAAGGCCCAGTCCCTGATCTTAGCTGTAAGTTAACCTTACTGGGAATAGACAAGTCAACCTGGAAGGTCGCAACACCGAGTCAATACAAAACACGTATTATTCATTCAACCACCATTTCGCCCACCTCCTTCGGCCCCTCCAGCTCGGGGTGGCCCCTCTCTCCCTGCCGATAAGATGCGGCGAGTAAGACAACCTTGAACATCTTCAAGGAAAGGGAAGGGATCCGCCGTGCGGTATTTTGGGGGTGGAGCCGGCAGGGAAGAGAAGCTCGACAAGGAGGAGATCAAAAAAAGCTTATGGAAGCTTGTTCCAATTCCAACGTCGCAACGACCCACGTGACTGCGCTACGATCCTGCGAGCCAGTGACAGGAGGGCCAAGAGGGGCAGTGGCACCGCTGTGGTCCGCTCCACGTTTGGGGCTAATGTCCGCCCGACATGCCGCACCCGAGAGGAGCACGCCGTGGCCCCGACTGGGCAGTGTTGAAACGTCCTCTCTTCGCTTAAGCCAGCACAGCAAACGCAATCCCGTACCTTATTCCTCTCGTTTTTACGGATACAACGTGGGCAACGGAGAAAAGCCCAGCCAGCAGCTGTATTACTCCGTGCTGTACCCGCAGACATAAAGAAGAGGTCTGATATACCAAGGTTCTCACGGACCATTTCCCCTGAAGAAACCAGGAGCGTACATCTGCCGTTGTTTCCAAACTACCTTCTTGCATACAACGGGACCAGTCATCCAGGCCACACGAGACGAAAGCACATCCCTTTTCGACAGCTCCTCATTTACCCGTACCTTGCAGATACCTCACATCAACATCACATCCCCATACCACTCACCCAGACCAGACCCCTGGAACCTGAGAAAGAGGGGGGGAGGAACAAGGGTGTGTAGTGCTGCAGCGGGCGGACCCTTTTCGCCGTTACATACGCAAGTACGCAAGCTCACTCATTGACCCGCGGAACCACTTGGCGGACCTTGGATCCCTTTTCCTCTGGTCTTCGTCTCCTGCCAGGCTAGGCTGGTTTACCTGTCTTCCGCCGTGGAACTGCCGCGATGGGTCGACTCGCCGACGTCGCTACGTCGGCCTACGAGTCCGTGAGGGGCCTGCTGATGGGCAAGGCATATAAATACAACGCCATCCCTGACGAGGAGGGTGAGAGGGATGAAGTCGATGAGTATCGTGAGAGCCACGCTCCAGACCCGAAACGTCGACTTTGCTACCTCACAATCGCCGCCATGGCTTTTGCTATTTTCCTCTCATTAGCCTTGGGCTTCAGGTAAGCTCCCATGTCACGTTGACTGCGTGAAACCATCCCAAGTAACAGACTTTTCGAAACTGACACTACAAACAGTCTCGTCAGCGGCCAGGCACCGCGCAACGGGCTCGAGTCCATCTCGCAGTTCTGGGGCCAGTACTCGCCCTTCTTCCCCGTGCCGTCCGACATCGACATCGCCACCCCGCAGGGCTGCGAGGTCACCTTCGCGCAGGTACTCTCCCGCCACGGCGCCCGGGACCCCACCGCCGGCAAGACGGCCACCTACAAGGCGCTCGTCGACCGCATCCACGCCAACGTCACAAACTACGGCAAGGGCTTCGAGTTCATCAAGACGTACCAGTACACCCTCGGCGCCGACGAGCTAACCCCTTTCGGCCAGCGCGAGCTCGTCGACTCGGGCGAGGCGTTCTACAAGCGCTACCAGCCCCTCGCGGCCGCCAACGACATCTTCATCCGCGCCTCGGGCCAGAACCGCGTCGTCGAGTCCGGGCTGAACTGGACCGAGGGTTTCTTCGGCGCCAAGCTCGCTGACGGTCACAGCGGGCCCGACGGCGGCATCGTCAGCCTTATCACAATCATCCCCGAGGAGAAGGGCATCAACAACACGCTGGATCACGGCCTCTGCACCGCTTTCGAGGACGGCGCCTTCTCCAAGGTTGGCGACGAGGCGCAGGTGCCATGGCGCGAGGTGTTCACGCCGGCCATCACGGCCCGCCTCAACGAGAACCTGCCCGGCGCGAACCTCACGGCCGAGGACACCATCGCCTTTATGCAGCTGTGCCCCTTCAACACGGTCGTCAACGGCACGCAGTCGGCCTTCTGCGACCTGTTCACGCTGGAAGAGTGGAAGGACCTAGAGTACTACGAGACGCTGGGCAAATACTACGGCTTCAACGCGGGCAACCCGCTCGGCCCGACCCAGGGCGTCGGCTTCACCAACGAGCTCCTCGCGCGGCTGACGGGCCAACCCGTGGTGGACCGCACGTCGACCAACGCGACGCTGGACGCCGACCCGGCCACATTCCCGCTCGACAAGAAGCTCTACGCGGATTTCAGCCACGACAACGACATGATGGCGATTTACGGGGCGCTGGGCCTGTACAACGAGACGGCGGCGCTGTCCAAGACGAACCGGACGTCGGTGACGGAGGCCAAGGGGTTCACGGCCAGCTGGACGGTGCCGTTTGCCGCGCGCATGTACGTGGAGAAGATGAAGTGCGGTGGTTCGGACGAAGAGCTGGTCCGGATTTTGGTGAATGACCGGGTGGTTCCGCTTGTTGGCTGCGGCGCGGACGGGCTCGGGCGGTGTAAGCTCGGGGCGTTTGTGGATAGCATGGGGTTCGCCAAGAGCGGAGGGCTCTGGGACCAGTGTTTTGTGTGATTTGTTTGATTTAATACCCAGGAGTGTAAGGTTCCTTAGACAAAGGTAGACTTTGCCTTGCAGTACGGAGTGGAATTCTACAGCGGTCGCATACCTCAGTAAAGTCGGAGAGTGCTCCGTACATGACTTGTTGCCCACTATACCTACAAACTTCGCTGTGAAAGGGTTGCCAAAAAGCTTGGGATCAAAACGTGCCGAGTGTCAGTGTCAAGTCAAGTGTCGGGCTTAGGGTGGTGGCACCAAAGTTTCAGTTGACAGGGGCGCCTCAGGGTCCCGGCCCCCGGGTCCGGGTCCGGGTCTGGCAGATGGTGCGGCGGGAACGTTCGTTGCTTGGGGTGCGTGAGCTCGAGCCATGTGGTGGTAGAGCCTCTAGAGAGTCCCATCATATTCATCTGTACGGAGGACTGAAGACTGAGGACTCAAGATGCATTAGTCAACCTACGCAGATAAGGCGAGGGAGAATTGCTAGTAACAAGGCCTCGTACAGCCGCAGCTGAAATCGTTCACCTGGTCCATCTGTCCACGTTGTAGCCTCTCCCAGGTTGAGCGTGGCATCTGCGATAAGGACTCGGCCGGAGAGATATTTTGCTGTCTCAGCTACCAAGATGCAAGGGGGTAATGGTCACGTCCAGATACAGTCTGCGCTATGAATAGCGCCGGGGGGTCGCACGAATGCCACGTTTGGATCTCGAATTTGGCGCCAGCAAGGAAGGAGAGGAGGAAAAAGCAGGGGTTTTCTGTATCCGCAAAGCTGGTTTCGTTTCCGGTAGCTCTCTCCAAAGGACGTCATTGGATCCTCGCCTCCGTGGTTGAATGGAATGCAGCACCTCAAACTCCTGCGTCCGGTGGCAGGTCTGTAAATTTGGGGTCTCTCGCTGCTGCTGTTTATATGTGTATGAATCAAACGTTGACTCGGAGGGCCCCCAAGTTGTCTTTCTTGAATAAGTACTCTACGAGCCCCTGCGAAATGTGTCACACTCTTGTTGAATGGAATGCGCGCACGCATCCTAGCACCCAAGCCCGCGCGCAGTCTCTCCTTGCGTTGCCTAGTCTTAAAACCGGACCTCGAGGTGACCAAGTCGGAGGAATCAAGGTGTAGATGATTGGGCAGCAACAGCAGATGTCGAATGGCCTTAGGTAATCTACCTGAAGAGGGCACCAAGCTGCCGGGATTCCTTGGATTTGCCAGCAGCAAGGTAAAGAAGTGGAGGATGAGCTGGAGATTGGAGATGAAGAAGGAAGAATGGAGACTGCGGTGCGGGCGGGACGCTGACGGAGCCCGCGGAGCTAAAGAGGATTGGGGGCCGTAGGTACTGCGTGAGGGCCGCTTTCATTGGCGGGTGTTCCATTGGAAGCTGCAACCAAGAGCAAGTTGGGTGCACCTTCTTCATCCTTTTGCGCCAACTTTGTTGCATTTTCGTACAGAAAACGGAGTACCTAAGGTACTTGCCTAGCTGCCTTGCATTTGTCCTGCCCCAATCCTCCACCAAGGAAACAAGCCGCTCTGCCGAATTAGCTCTGGTCAACCATTGTTGGAGTTGGTCATTCTTGCCAGGCTACCGAATACCTTGCCCGAGTATCCGTACACTACCTTACTTACCTTGCCTTCAGGTAAAGCTGAAAGCTTGGGGGCTACCTACTGCTTTGCTGACCTCACCTGCCTGGTCTTGCGCGATACCTGCACCTGCACCTGCACCACCACCGGACCACACTGCGTGCGCTGCCTCATCAAACAAGGTTTCGACGGGCCTGGTCTGTCTGCTTTCCTCTCAATCCACCTTCACCTCACCTCATCTCAACATACTTTGGGCACGAAGGTTACCGGTACTTTTTCTCCCTCCCGTCTCTTTTTCTCCCTCTCCCGCTCTGCTCTCCTCGCCCTGTGTCGTCCATCTTCTACCCATCCTCTCCCGGGCCGGGCTTTCACTCAGTAAAGTACCCGATCGACGTCTTTGTTTCCCAGCGGGCGTCCGTGTCCGTGTCGCACACACAGCCCAGAACCAAAGCTTCCGGCAACCAAACGAACAGGCGGCTCAGCGAAGCACACCAATTACCAACACCACCACTGCTAACGGTTGGTCCATCTCACACGTCAGCCTTCCCATGAGCCGGACCTCCATCATTCGTCGCACGCCTTCAACCAACACCACCTACTCCTCCATTGTCATCGCTGAATCGACGTCTTGCCGCTGAGAAACGCTTCAGTTTCCCCCGCAACGCCAAGCGCACTTTCCTTGCACCGTCGCAATTGAATCGCAATCATGGTGTCAGCCGCCGGAGGTATCGTCATCGCCATCCTGGTCCTCGCCATTGTTGGCGGCGCCGGCTGGGTCATCTTTACCCAACTGCGCGCCCGGAGACTAGGTGTACGTAACAAGGCTCACCCATTCCCCGGCATCCTATTCCGGTCATGCTCTGTTCTGCGACTAACCTGCGTTGCACGCTCAGCTTCCACCCCCATCCCTCTCCTCCTACATACCTTTCCGAAAATCCGATCCGCCGCCGTCATACGGGCCCCCGCGCCCGGCGCCGAGCGGCATCGCCGGCTGGTTCAACGACAAGATCACCTCCTTCAAGAACCGCAACAACCGCTCTGCCGCCGGAGCCTACGAGCAGCCCTCGGGCGGTGCTGGTGCCCCTCGCCGGGGCTTCGGACCGCTCGATCCAGATGAGGCGTGGGATGCGCGCGTGGGCCACGAGGCCGAGACTTACGGCCCTTACGGAAACTACGAGGAGCAGGAGCTGGGGTACCGCGGCGGCGGCCAGAATGACAACAGCTACAGCATGAACCTTGCCTCAACTCCCAACCCGCACGACGAGCCAGCACGAGGCCGCAGCCTCAGCAGGGATGACGACGGCGGTCTAGGCGTCCACAAGGCTGGCGGCAGGAACCCGTTCGAGGACGACGCCGAGCCCAGCAACATCAGCTTGCGCGGCGTCAGCCCCCGGCCGATTGTCGACACGGGTGCGTCGCAACAGCAGCAACAACAACAGAAAAAGGACAGCGGCGAGAGCCCGACAGAACGGAGGTCGATCTTCCGGGAGAACGTATGATACGGCAACGCAGGCTCGAAAACCCGATTGTGAAATCTTCCCGTCAATGAGACCGCAAAGCACAAAGATGAGAAACTAGACAGGAGACTTGAAGGAAGCAGAGGATGGAAGTTAAAGATGAAGAAGGCAAATTGTCTGTTCCCTTCAGGAGGGCAATGCGTAACGAGCATCCGTACGGAAAGCGGGCCGGGAAAGTGGGAGGAACTGGGTCTCTGGGACATGTCACGATTGGGAAATGTGCAAGATATGGTTGTCTTGTGAGATATTCAACGGCGTTGGGCTCTGCTTTATTACCTCTATTCACCATGTTCTTCTCGCCTGATTCCAGTTTTTTTGCGCGGTAGAATATATGAACCGAATGAACCGCCAAAAAGCCTCCTAATGTGTACTAACCGTTGGAGAGAAAAGTTAGCATGCCGTTTCCCAGTATCCCGCCGGAGCCGTCGGCCAAGAACTCTGATAACAAAAAACCCTCTGGGGGAAATGATGAGTCGACCGGGTCTCCACCAGTTGATCGGGCGACGACGTTGCGAATCACGCCCAATACTGAGGAAATCCCTCATATAAGGTAAAGTACCATATGGACGGTATGCGCGTATAGTATCGGACGAGTCGCCTGATGTGAGCCTCCCGACCGCATACTTCCGTCGACGATGCGCCATTTGCCCCCCGCTGCGGCACATCCACCCCTCGCTCACCGGCGCGTTGTCCCGCCGAGGATGTCCGCTCGGTGGGAGACCGCCTCCCGAGCTTCATGGGAGCCGGAGTGGGTCGGGAACATCGGTGACCGCTCCCTCGTCCAGCCAGGTGAGGAACCTTTAGTGTGCGCTCCAATCGCTGAGAGCTGAAGAACACATGGGAGTGGGCAGAGGGTGAGATCCGCCCGCTCTCCCCACAGTGAACCGTTGGAACTCGGACCAACCTTTTGTGACCTCATTCCTTTCTTCCCCTCCAAACTGGTACCTCACCCCGCCATCTATTCCGATTTCCCCCCTCCTCCCATCTTCTGCCCCTCCAAAAAAAGATCTCCCCATTTGGAGCTTGCTACAACATTGATCGGCGACCTCTACCTTATCCCATCCATCTTTTCTTCCTCAAGCATATCATATAACTACAAGATCTCCCATAGATTATTATATCTCAATTGGATTTCTTTTCACATTCCGAGTGCCATTCATTAGACGATTATAGCTAGCTGGCTGTAACTGCGGATCCGTAAACTCACCACCAACGACACATCACCATGGCGGACCTCAACCTGCAAGAAATCCACGACACCCTCCTCGAGATCGCGACCGAGGCGGGCAAGATGATCATGTCCGCGAACCCGGCCTCGATTGACCAGGACACCAAGCTCAACTGTACGCACTCTCTCCCCCTCCATACCTCCATCCATTGAAAGCGCATCTCCCCCGATCCTCAGCTCTCTCTCTCTCTCTCTCTCTCTCAGCCAATCCGCAACACCTTAACTAACTTCTCCCACCACCTCCCAAACAGCCGTCGACATCGTAACCGAAACAGACCAAGCCGTCGAGAAAATGGTCTCCACCCGCCTCTCCGAACGCTACCCCTCCATCGCCTTCATGGGCGAAGAAACCTACACAAAAGGAACCCGCCTCGGCCCGGAACCGACCTTCGTCGTCGACCCCATCGACGGCACAACAAACTTTGTCCACTCCTTCCCGGACGCTTGCATCTCCCTAGGCCTAGCCGTCAACCATGTCCCCGTCGTCGGCGTCATCTACAACCCCTTCCAGGATCTTCTCTTCACGGGCATCAAGGGAAAGGGAAGCTACATGCGCCGCGCCGGTGGTCCAGCACAGAAACTGCCCCTCGCCAAGAACCCTATCCCCTTGAAGGGTCTGGATTCCGCGCTGCTGGCGTGCGAGTGGGGATCTACCCGCGACGGACCCAACTTTGACCTCAAGGCCGAGACGTTCAAGAAGTTGGCGGCGACCAAGGAGACGGGCGGTGCGATGGTGCATAGCATGCGCGCCCTCGGCTCCGCGGCGCTGAATCTCGCTGCCGTGGCGGCGGGACAGCTGGATGCGTATTGGGAGGGCGGGTGCTGGGCGTGGGACGTGTGTGCGGGTTGGTGTATCCTGACCGAGGCGGGTGGGATCATGGCGGGCGGGAATCCGGGGGTGTGGGAGCCTGCTGTTGATGAGAGGGTGTATCTTGCTGTCAGGGGCGCTCCGGGCGGGCAGAAGGAGCTTGTGGAGGAGTTTTGGGGGGTGATGGGGGATAAGAAGTTGGATTACTCTGTTTGAGAGGAGAAAGATTAGAGGGGAGCTTGATTATGGGCGAAGGAATGAATGTGAATGCGAATGAGGTTTGGATAAGGTACCTAGATGAGGAGGAAACAGGCCATAGATTTGATGTGTAGATCTATAATATAGACCATGTCTTGGAGTCTCAAATACCAAACGTCAATCCCCTTACACCACTTGACTACAATCTCGATATAAGATACCGTATGACCATGCTAACACCGAGGCAAAGTAAGTTCATTAGCCACAACTAGTAAAAAGAGTTCACCCCCCGGTGGCGATTGGGGGCTACATCTCTTGGTGCTCATTCCGGGACTCGAACTCGATCGCTAAGCCTGTCGTCGAGTAGGCTGGTTGGCGTTTAGATTGTTGACCATAAACCACTCCACCACCCAGCCAGTTTGACCTGACCCGTCGACCTAGACGGGCGCCTGCTGGCTGGTGACAGGAATGGGTTTGAGGGGGGGTATATACCCTTTCAGCCTCGTGGCGGGCGGTAAGGTGGTGTGTCACGTGAGGAAGACACCTTGTGGTTGATGACAGGTGCGTAGGTACTGTTGATGATGAGGGAAGGTACGTCCAGCCCCTACCTTAGCCGAGGAAGATTTAGGCGGCCGCCATGAGTGTGTGGAAGATACCTACGGTTGACGACACACACTTGGTTCGTCCGGCCCCATTCATGTGCAACTAAGGTAATTGGCTTTGCCTCACTTCCCACGCGGATGAGGAAATAAAACGGCAATGAGGGTTGGTGGTTGCGGCGTAGTGGATGAAGTCCGCACCGATTTCCCATATCTACTTGACAAACTTGGTGTGTGTGTGTTCGTCCGAAGGCTTTTTTCATCTCCCATTCACCAGGGAGTGTTGCCGCATGAACGACTTCAAAGAGGTGGCATTATTTTCATCTTCAGACGATTGAACCCATTTACTATAAGACGTACCATTCCTCTTTACTAAGAAGTCCTATATGGACCCGGGCCAAAGCCGGCAACCCAACAGCTCCTTAGCGCCACGTGGGGGTGCCGTAACCGAACGCCGTTAGTGGTCAATGCTGGATGCGAACCCCCAAACACAAAAGGCCAAGCAACCCCCGTTACCGCGCTAAAGACTACGTCCTCCATTGTCGTGGACAGAGACCAGCATATTTGTGACTGCGGCGGTCTGGCTACTGACCAGACATGAAAACCAAACAGCCTACAGTCTGCGACGAGTGCAGAAGACGAAAACTTGGCGTAAGTGTCCCGCAAAGCATGAGAAAGACCTGACTAACGCTTCGTTTTGGCAGTGCGACGGAAAGCAGCCATGCTGCTCTCAGTGTGTCTTCTCTGGCCTCAGTTGTCCAGGGTTCAGGAAACACATTGTATTCCGTCAACCCTCATCACCTGGCTCGGTCGCTTCAGGTCAGCGGAAGAAGCGGACACGTCAACAAAGCAGGACAACCAATCCCGCAAGTCAGAGGCCGAGACCTCCGACTCGGGCCTTGACATGGCCACTCAGCGACGTACTCTCGCTGTGCATACAAAACTTTGTCCCTGCCAACGAGTTAGGGTCGATGTCCAGTACTTCAAAGCCTTCACAGTCTCGAATATGCGGAGCCTGGGTGGAAGTTCTGCCGGGACTTGTCGGGACAGATGGGAGGAGACACGACGGACCTTTATCCTCCGCCATCAAAGCTCTGGGAATCTCACTGATGGCCAGAGGCCCCAAAGGGCGAGCCCCTGTTCATGAAGCCATCGCAGCGCACTCCTCAGCGCTCAAGGTTGTAGGGTGCCTCATCCCACACGCCAATGATGATCCGAAGAACTATACCGAAATATCTGCAGCCATCATGTGCTTATTTCTGTCAGAGGTAGGAGATTCTTGTTCTCCATTCGGCCTCTTGTAGGTACTCACATATGACTGTCCCAGAAATTCTTTCCCACATCGAGCTATGCAGCGACGGTCCACGCAAGGGGCATCGGTGAGCTAATTCAACTCCGCCCGCCGCAATTCTACGCATCTGGAACACCCCACAAACTCTTCGTTGGATTCAGACCAATTTTAGTACGACAGCCTGTATTCATCATCATCACCTTACCTGTGCTGATATATCTCAGATTCTCCATGCGTTTGAAACTCGGAAATCGACCTTTCTCGGGACGCCTGAGTGGAAAGAAGAGCCGTTTCGGCGTGTAGTCCAAGACCCCCTCCAGGCCCTCTTGAGTGAGGCCTGCGCCATACCCGCTATTTTCGAAATGCTTGATCACTGTAACGACGATAGTGAATCTGCCGCCCGCAAAGCCGTGATCCAGTTTGTGGAAGCTATCAATCGCCTGGACTCTTGGCACAAGTCAACAAACATGACTATGGGAGACTTTACATGTTTACATAAGGTCTCACCAGCAGATACCAGCCTCGAATTCCCAAATATCACCGTAGCTAATTCATTGAGTCACTACTGGGCGTTCTGGATTATCTGCGCCACCCAGATACAGCGATTAAGAGTACATCACCTAAATATCTCACAAGATTGTCTTCTGATAGACGGCGAATACCCCGCAAGCAAAGCGGTGACCCAAAAGGTTCTTCAGCTCGCAACTTTTATCCTTGAAAGTACAGGCTATTTGATGCGGGAGGACATGAAACTCTATGGCCTAGCATCTGCGTTCTTTCCTTTGCACATTGCGAGGGGTGCGTTGGAAATGTTTGGAGGCGGTGATGAGGCCATTTGTGAGCAGTTGGCAAGAAACGCTGAGATTATACGCCAACAGGGATATGAGGATGTGTTGTTGCATAGACGGACAATACTTCTGAGTTGAAATCTGGTCTACAATAGACCTCGTCAGCTCATGTTGGAGCAGACGTAATTGTGGTTGCACAGCAAGGACGACAATGGCAGCACGGACGACGAGGACAACGACGACAGTAACGGTTGAAGTGATATTAATTGATAGAAATGAACAACGCGCTGCTCGCCCTACCAGAAATATCTAGCCTAATGGCAAAGCCTTATGCAATATCTTGGCTCTTCACCACAGTACCGAATGCATCCGCTATTTCAGCCAACGCGACCTTCGTCAACTCCTGGGCATTTGCCCCAGGAATGTCGCGGTCACCGACGGCATCTTCAACAACGATCACGTCCCACCCCTTTTCACTCGCCTGTCGAGCAGTCGTCGAGATGCAAACGTGCGCCTGCCGAAGAAGAAGGGAAAAGGTTAGTCTCTGGTAACACGTCTCCGCCAAGCCTTTCATTCTTGTCTACAATTCATATCGTACCATGTATCCAGTCAAAACCACCTTGTTCCTTCCTGTAGCCTTTAGCAAATCTTCCAGGTTCGTACCCGTGAAGGAGCCCGGAAAATTCTTGGTGACCACACTTTCCTCCTCGAGCGGCTTCAGCTCGGAAAATTCCTCGGCGAGCTCGGTGCCGGGAGTAAAGAGGGGGGCACCGGCGGGCACTTCGTGGACGACGTGGATGACCGGAGCCTTTGCAACGCGATATTTCTCAAGCAGGGAAGCGATTTTTGCTCGGGATGCTTCGACGTCGGAGACTGCTAGCTTGCCAGTTGCATACTCGTTTTGAGCGTCGATGATGACGAGGATGCTGTCGCTCGTAGAGGTTGTAGATGCTGGCACGCCAAGCATGGAACGCATCGAGACTGCTGCAGACGCCATGGTGATTATTTTGTTCGCCGAAAACTTCGAGAAAAATCTGAAGAAGGTTTTTATACGAGTGATAATGTGAGCGGAAAATACTGGTAAATCGTCTGGCGGCTTGTATCATTATCGCTGGCTCCTGGGTCATGTATTCATACAGAAACGATCCCGGCTTTCGATGGGCGTGTTAGTGTGTAAGGGTTGCCCAGTAGTGGATGGCGCTAGTCCAAGTTAGGCATCATAATCCGCCAAGACAAGTGATCCCCAGATGATGGAGAACGATCAAGGAGCCCCGAACGTGTAAGAAGTGACCAATCGGAAGCCACTAAAGTCTGCAATGACGCCGGATTAGAGATGTCTTGGCGAATTATGAATCCTATTCTGGTCAAGCGCAGAGGTCTCATGGAGATGGAGGAACGCCCCGTTTACTACTCGTCCTGCAAATAATATGACAGTCAAGCTCGTGACTCAACATCGGCCCATCAGCCATGAATGATTGTTGTTTCTAAGCTTGATAATCTCTAGGCTTCTACAAATGACAAATCCTTCCTGCTGATTAGTGATGGAATGTAATCATGATTCCCAGTTGAGGTTATCCTCCCGTAGCATCTCGAGACCCGGTGAGATCAAGATCAAGGACGCTATCAGTGCCATAACATTTGATCCCGAGGATTCTATGCCGAAGGCAACCTTCGGGACAGCTTGGAACGGGTCCAGCCCCTTGCTTATCACTTATAGTAAAAACCATAAATTTCTCGTCGTGTTAGTGAAGTTAACCATTGCTCAATCATGGCGATCTTTTATAGTGGAGACAAAGTCTATTCACGATAACAGTGAATTGATGGGAGTGCAAACCACACTTCTCAAGTTCAATAAGGCCAATAATACGGAAAATTGGGATTATCAATGGTAGCAAAGAGCTTCTCGAGTTTAGTTCCTTCGTTGATTACATGCAGCCAGTATCGCATTTCCCGGAGTGCATAAACGTACTACCCTGGCAAGACGAATTCTCACAAAATTGTAGTAACAGTGAAAGCTCATCGTAGCAACGCAACTTGTCAAAATACTTGACACACAATCTTAGGGCTGACGGATGGTTTAAAACGACGTCAAGGGGTAAATTCATTGTCGATGACCTAATGTTAATGAAAGGCATTCGACTTTAACGTTGTTATTTGTGTCAAGTCCACATACTAACCCATGTCAAAAGTGCGATCTACACAGTACCTCTGGTGGGACTATCTTACCAACCATTGTAAGCTTTTGGGTTGGTAATCGGCGTCTTACATGGATCTGTCAAAGCGTCCACTGCTGAATCATGTTTGCCGTTGTAAGTCGTGGGTTGGTCAGACGTGAGATAGCCTTCTTTCAAATCCCCGAGAGGCATCAGGGCTTATACAGCATATACCTATCACATATAAGGCAGACTCTGAAGCATGCATTCCCAACGAACATGAATGACAACGGCACTACGCAATAGCTTCTACCTTCAGTCGCATCATCTGCCAACAGCCCCTCTCAAGACCAACGACCGAGATCTCCATTAAACCTTTCTACAATGTCTTCCAAAATCAGCTTCAAGCCTAAAGTGAGCATCACTCACATTGGAACTGCGACGGCCATCCTTGATATCGATGGCGTGCGCTTCTTGACCGACCCTTTCTTTTCCCCAGCAGGTACCACTTGGGACGTGGGTGTCACCATCCTCCAGAACACCGAAGATCCTGCTCTCAAGCTCGATCAGCTTCCTCCCATCGATGCAGTGCTGTTGAGCCACGAAGACCACCCCGATAATCTCGACGAGCTGGGCCGCCGGCTCCTCGACGGCCGCCACGTCTTCACGACCGTGGACGGAGCCAAGAACCTCGCTCCTCGTCCGGCGGTCGTTGGCATGGAGCCATGGACCACCGTTGAGAGACGTATCGGCGGAAAGGTCTTCCGCATCACGGCCACCCCGTGCCAGCACCTACCCGGCGGTGAATGCATTGGATTCTTGCTATCGTCGGACGACTTCGGGATTGGACCGAACAAGCTGCCGAACGCCATTTACTTCACAGGCGACACGGTATACATGGACGAATTGACCACGATTACCGACAAGTTTCACGTTCCCATTGCCATGATGAATCTCGGTTCCGCCCATGTGCAGTTTCCGGACAGGGACGCGCCGCTGCAAATCACCATGGACGGCAAGCAGGCGGCTCGTCTATTCCGAGAGATCAAGGCAGACCATTTGGTGCCCATGCATTACGACAAGTCGTGGGGTCATTTCACTCAGTTTGAGGAAGGACTGGCCAAGGATTTTAGAGATGAGGGTGTTGATGACAAGGTCAGGTGGTTGAAGCCAGGAGTTGCAGTTGAAATTATTTGACTAGCAACAAGGAATTCCTCGAGGGAGTAGCTTAGTCTGGATAGTTCAACAAATTTCGATCAATGAGAATGATTGAACAGAACCTGCAACAAGAATTTAATCATTTCTCGGTCTCGACAGGTGTTGACGAAGCTATGAGTTCATGTTCGAAACGCCGGTGTACATCATGAGGCAAAAACACCAGTAATTTAGAAAAGAAAAAGACGTACGTAAGTAACCAATCTAAATGTGTCACCAAATCTTTCACTCGCCTACATGCTCCTCTGAGCATGCTAGATAGGGCTTCCAGGATTACGCGAACCTATTGTTGAACCATGTCCGCCTAAGATGAGTGATTTGTTCAAGTTCATAAAATCTCTCAACGATTCTATCTTTAGCAAGAACTTCTTATCCCTATGTACGACTTTGTATGATCCATCAAGGGATTACAAAGGTTGCATAATTGCCGAGGGGATAGCGTTTGGTTTCGATGTAGGAGTTATTAATTAACAATCAGAAAGAACATCTGCAATACGCACCATCCTTCGTAGCATTAAGAAAACATCATTTTTCAGTCACACCACTTGCATGGCCCGTCAGATTCACATCTGTAACTTCATGTCGTTATGAAGAATGATCGTTTCAATTGTATGCAAAAAGAGATGACTAGCATAATCGTTTCGTCGTCACTAGCCAAACGAGAAAAGCAATGAGTTCAAAGTTTTGCTTTCCTCTAATATCACTTCTTTTGCTCCCTTGAGAAAACCCCGCCAACACTACAAACCACCGACCCATGACCGTTCATCACCCCACTGTCGGACTTGGCCTGGTTTTCTGAAGAACGAGTTATAACTTTACAAAAACCCCATCAGGGCTGCATGGACGCTCGTGATCCGCCTCCTTAGCAAGGTTTGCTGCCACTAACCTGAAAGGGGAAGCATATTCCGTCGGTCAAACTTCAAAAGTCGAGGCTGTCATATTTATCAGCTTGTGGGTGTTTGTTTGGTTGTTCAGCTTGTGGATATCTCGATTCGATTTGCCAACGTTAGCAGTCTTAGAAATCAAAATGAACATTGACCTGCAAGTCGTCCTCAATCGAGTCAGTTCATATTTGGGCTTCAAATCTAGCTCGTATACAAAGGGTCCCTGATCCTACTAACAATCACGTGGAACATAATGCAATCCGTCTTTTACTTATTATCAAAACTTTCGTCAGGCAGCACTGAGTATCGTTCATCGGCAACCGATTTCAATCCTACTCTTCCGTCCCGGTCGTTCGCACAATTTTGGGGAAACCGTGTTGGTTGTTAGGTGCTACGAAACATGGGGCCAACAGATCGCATCCACGAACCGGGTCGACAAAGTCCGGTGCATGAACTCGACCTACACGAGACAGCCACGGATCCCGCCTTGGGGGTTACTCCCTATGCCACCAACACCAACACGACACCGCCGTTCAACCAGTGTGTACCCAACCTCGATCGAGCTCCCGAATTCGAAGTGAAATGGGACAGTGAGTATGTGCAGGACCCTCGCTCATGGCCTACATGGTACAAGGTCTTCACCGTCACTACAGTCAGCCTCGGTGCCACCGTAGTCAGCCTGTTCAGCACTCTTTATACCTCTGGGATCCCCGGGCTGCAAGCAGAGTTTCACGTCTCCAAGCTCGTCGCGCTCCTGGGTCTCACCACATACCTGCTCGGAATGGCTGCAGGCAGCCTGATCGTCGCGCCCATGAGCGAATCACTCGGCCGACGGCCGCTCTACATCGCATCCATGGCAGCATTTCTGGTGCTGGTCTTGCCGAGCGCCCTGGCTGAGAGCATCACGACCATCATCGCCACTCGTTTTTTCGGAGGGTTCTTTGGTAGCACCATGATGTCGAACTCGCCCGCCACCGTCAACGACATCGTTTCAGACAAGCACCGCGCACTTGCTTTAGGATTTTGGTCCATAGGCCCGGCGAATGGGCCCGTCTACGGGCCGTTGATCGGTGGCTTCGTCTATCAATACATGGGCTGGAGATGGACGAACTGGATCGTCTTGATCGTTGGAGGCGTGGTCTTTGTCTTGTTAGCCTCTGTGAAAGAGACGTACGCTCCCGTGTTGCTGAGGAGACGAGCCGCCGAAAGGTCCAAGGCAACCAGAGACAATAGATGGTGGACGCGCTACGATCATGGTCAAGGGCTCTGGCCATTGCTGAAGATCAATCTATACCGCCCACTCAAGATGATGTGCACCGAGCCGATCTGGTAAGTCGACCCATCCCGACTTCTCAGCGATTGGGAAATTTGACCTACGTCTTGATTGGCTTACTGTCAATAGCATGTTTTGGAATACATACATCGGCATTGTTTACGCGACTCTCTATCTCTGCTTCGTCGCTTATCCGATTGCATTCCAGCAGGAACGGGGCTGGGCGCCAGGGATCGGCGGGCTGGCGTTTCTGGGGATTGGATGTGGCACTCTCATTCCCATTGCGGCAGAGCCTCTTCTTCGCCGCATCGTCAACCTTCATCAGAAAGACCCGGCCACGGGCAATGTCAAGCCCGAAGCCAGAGTCAGCGTCGTATGTATAGGTGCCGTCCTGTTAGCAGTTGGCCAATTATGGTTCGCCTGGACATGCCGACCTGGAACACACTGGATCGTTCCCATCCTTGCTGGTGTTCCATACGGTGCCGGAAACGCTTGCACTTTCATCTACGCAAACAACTACATGGCTCAGTCCTATGGCATCTACGCAGCATCAGCGTTAGCAGGGAATATGGTGGTCAGAAGCATAATGGGCGCGTGTCTGCCGCTTGCTGGGCCATCAATGTATGGGACGCTGGGATTGAACTGGGCTGGGACACTGCTGGGTCTTGTTGAAATGTTATGCGTCTCTGTTCCGGTAGCCTTCTACTTTTATGGCTATAAGATCCGTCAGGGGAGTCCTATGATACAAGAAATTACTAAGCTTTAGACAAATTGAATTGTACAATAACTCAGGAAACAAAGTACATTTTAACGCAGTTAATCACTAAGTCAGCCATATTACCTACCCGGCCACTCTGATCCTTTATCCATATGGAATAAAAGTATGAAATAGTGGTGAAGTCTCGGTGAGCAGCTCATCGCAGTCGGGGCCGTCTGGGCTATGTCTTTGGCGAATTAGACATGAACACGAGATACCACGCATGGGGAGCTGAAAAAGCTGGAGACGTTGTAATTACTCAATTGGATCACGTTGCAGTCGGCGCGTATATGCATATGCAATAGCTCCCATGAACGGCAAGAATGACAGGGATGAGCCCCATTTCGTGCTGCAATAAGACTGTTCGGTGATCTGTTGGACTGCAACAAAATTATGTCTGGAACAGTGGTCGAGATTGAATTTTTCGGGGGACTTAACGCCTCCCCGCAGGCAGCTTGGTATTCTTTGACTTTCCCTACCAAACTGCAACTGCCATCAACAAGTATCACCGTCTTCAATTTTGGTTCACGCCATATTTTGGCCAACAGAGATCGCCAGCCGTCATGTGTCTCGCTTGTTTCAAGTTCTGGCACAAGGACAAAAAAAGGGATGTCTCCTCAACTCATTCGGCTCAGTCGTCCAATTCACTGTCGGTATCCAATTCTCTGTCGGCAGACAGCCTACGGGAGCGCCTGTGGACTGAGGCATATCATGCCCTTGAGGCCGGGGAAAAAAGTATAGTGGAAGCATACGAAGAACTCCTTGCCCACAGGCTTAAGAATATCAGCCGCGATTCCGGGTCCTTGGGAAGCCCCGAAATCACTCCTGAAACACTGAAAACGCCAGACCAGTTGAAGAGATTTATCGACGCCGGGCTCGAAGAGTCGAAGAAGATTGCAGCCGTCAAGAGGAACATTGAAAAATTCAATCAAATCTTTTTGCCAGTAAAAGAAGTGATGAGCGTTGTCGTTCTGGCGGCTCCGCAGGCCGCTATCCCATGGTCTTGCGTCTCTTTCTCGCTCCAGGTCGGTCGACCTGGCTATTTGAAACTTGACCTATGATCACTAACTTCACCAGATCCTTGCAAACCCTCTGACGGAGTCCAGTATCAACCGTGAAGGCATTACGTACGTTTTGTCGACGATGGACTGGTATTGTGAACTTGTCGGTCTTCTTATCGACGATGAGAATCGGTCGAAGATGCTCAGAGACGAACTCGAGAAACAAATTGTCGAGCTGTACAAAAGGCTTCTCCTGTACCAAATGAAGAGCGTCTGTCGTTACTACAGGTCTCAGATCCTAGTCTTACTTGGAGATGTCTTCAAGATCGATGACTGGACGGGAGAACTCACTGGTGTTAAGGAAGCCGAGGATCAGGTGCGGGCCAGGCTAGGTCAGTATCAGAGCTCGTCGATTTGTGACTCGCTCAAAACCCTGGCTCGTGCCATGCAGGATCAAACCAACCAAATTCAAGACCTATCATCTTTGATTCAGAAGCAGTATCAAGCGCAACAAGACAGAGACAAGCACCGGGATAGGGAAAACTGCTTGATTGACTTTCGTCAGACGGTCGACCCCCATCACGAAAAGGACCGTATACAGATCGACAAAGGGGGGCTTCTTCGAGATGCTTACTCCTGGGTTCTGAATCACGATACTTACCGGAGATGGCATGAGGAAACTCATCACGAGATACTCTGGATCAAGGGCGATCCGGGTAAGGGGAAAACCATGCTCATATGTGGCATCATTGACGAACTAGAGACGGACCCTATCCACACCCTATCATATTTCTTCTGTCAAGCCACCGAGACGACACTCAACAATGCCACTGCTGTGCTACGAGGGCTTATCTATGGACTTACAAAGAGATATCCGCAGGTCGATCGGCATATCTACGACAAATACAAAGATGGCGGCGGAAAGGCGGCATTCGAAGGAGACAGCGCGTGGGGAGTGATGTGCGGTATTATGAACGCCATACTAGGTGATCCAATGATGAATGGTGTGCTGTTGATTGTGGATGCTCTCGACGAATGCGTGGAAGGTCGCCAGAAGCTTTTGGATTTCATTTGCGAGAGATCAAAGGACTCTCGTGCCAGGTGGATAGTGTCCAGCCGCAATTGGCGGGAAATCGAGACAAATCTCGAGAGGATCACGGAACGCACGTCGGCGCTGTCCCTGGAGCTGAACAGCGATCTTGTTTCCCATGCTGTTCGCATGTACATTCGAAGAAAGGTTGACAAGCTCGCTGAGAAACAACCTTATCATGACGACCTAAAACTCCGCAACCACGTCGAGAAGCACCTCAACGACAATTCGAGCGACACATTTCTATGGGTGGCATTGGTCTGCAATGCGCTTCGTCAAGATAACATTATAAGGCGAGACCACGTCATCGGACCGAAAGGGGTTCTACAAAAATTCCCTAAAGGGCTCGACAAGCTATACAAGCGCATGTTCCAGTACATTTCTGGTACGATGGATGCAGATCTATGCAAAGACGTTTTGGCCGTCACATCGATACTGGAACGCTCTGTCACATCTCTTGAACTTTGCTCCATCATGGGGCTGTCGCAGCATTTCGACGGTAAAGTTGAGACTTTACAAGATGCCGTGCGATGTTGTGGTTCTTTCTTGAGTCTTCGAGATGGAACTGTCTATTTCGTGCACCAGTCAGCCCGAGATTTTCTACTCAACGAGAAAGAGGACACTTTTGACAACCTTTTCCCGGGCGGAGTCGAGGATTTGCATTGGGCAGTGTGTTCTAGATCCCTAGGTGCCATGTCCAAGGTCATACGTCGTAACATCTATGAGCTACAAGATATCAGCATTGCGCGAAAGGATATCATCATGCCTAAACCGAGTCTCTTGGCATCTGTTGCATATTCTTGCACTTTTTGGATGAAGCATCTGGGAGAATCAAACCCTGCGAGCTACATCAAAGACTATGAGGTTGTCAATAGGTTTCTTCGAATCAAGTTTCTTTACTGGCTTGAGGCCCTTGCTCTTCTCGGTGAGCTGCCGCAGGCAGTGCAAGGCATACAGAAGCTCCAAAATATGATTGTAAGTCAAATTATAATTCTCAAGAAGGTTCATTACGATCGTAAGCTAACTACGGTTCAGAGAGCAAAGCCAAGCTCGAAAGACGAAAGTATAGCAGACCTAGTCGATGACGCAAACCGATTTCTACTAGAACACAAAGAGATGATTGCCGAGTATCCCTTACAGATCTATGAGTCAGCCTTACTATTCAGTCCTGAAGAGAGTGTTATCAGAAAGCACTTCTTCGAGGATCACGCACCCGAGTGGATATCGATAATGCCAGGCTTAGACATGACGTGGGATACGCGCTTGCAGTCTCTTACCGGGGATGAATCCCATATCTATACTGTGATATACTCACCAGATGGCCAATGGATTCTTTCTGGCTATGCAAATGGAACTGTGAAGCTCTGGCAAGCAGAGAGTGGAAATTTGGTACACACATACGATGGTTTTGGCGAAGAACAGCCCGCATGGTCCGAATCAAAAGTAAGGGCCGGTGTGCAGTCAGTGGCCTTTTCAGGAGACAGCCAAACATTTACCGCCGCGTCCAGTAACGGAGTCATTAAGGTCTGGGATCTGAAAACCAATCAAGGCGAGAGTTTCAGAGGCCACGAAGAGGCGTTGGTGGTCACGACGATGGCCATCTCGCCAGACGGTCGCACTCTTGCATACGACCTGGGGAAGAAAGGGGTTCATATATGGAGCATGGACAAGGAAATCTCTACGCGCACAATCATGGCTGATATCGCTGATACATTCTCGCTAAGCTTCACAACAGACGGTCGATGCCTTGCTTCGTCATCTAGAAGCGACAAAATCAAGATCTGGGACACTTTGACTGGAGACTGCAAGCAAGAAATTGACCATGAGGCTCGTAGGGGGGTGGAGATCTCGGGCGACGGACAATTGATCGCGGCATGGAGTTCTGCCGTTCACAATTGGGGAATAAAAACTAGTCCTGCCATTTACATTTTGGAAACAAAAACTGGCCGGCTGGTTCGGAAACTCGAACACAGCGGCATGCGATTTACTTTGTCTATCAATTTCTCGAAAAATGGAAGGCTTTTGGCTGCCTCGACCGATAAAGACATTTACATATACAACACGGCAACGGGCGATCTTACCTGGAAGACCTCAATTGGTGAGAGTTATAGCACATCGTTGGCATTCTCCCCGGACCACGAAAGACTTACGACGGCATGTGTGGATATGACTATCAAGATATGGGATCTAGCAAAAGGCAACAAAAGCATGGCTACTGGTGGTTCTGCGAGAAGCCTTTGCTACTCTGATGAACTTCTCTTCGCAGCCTACTACCCCGACTGTCAGGAGATCACAGCTTGGGGCAGGTTGACCGAACATGATGTGGAAGTACAGAGATTTCATGCGGACAATGTGGATATTCTTGCCATGTCCAAGTATCATCAAAAAGTTGCGTCAGCTTCTTCTAGCGGTCAGGTTACTGTGTGGGAGACGAAAACCGGTGCTCATACACAGCTATTTGGCGCAAACTCAGTGGATGCCAAAGGAGATAACATCAATGACGACATAGATGACGAAACTGGCGGCCTTGTGGAAAAGATCACGTCCTTGGCCTTTCGAAACAGCTTTCAGCTTGCCTGTGGCGGCTGGGAGACGATCAGAATTTTGAACATATCTGATGGTACCATCGCGCAAGAACACTACGAAGCTGATGGATATGTTGAGCTCATGGAATTTTCGGCAGATGGCCAATGGCTCGCCTACAAGTCTCGTGATCGATACAGGCATTATAGCCTCAGAATTTGGAACACAGCGACTGGAAAACGTTTCTTATTATCCGTTGCCGAACCGTTTCGTAGAAACACCGATTCACTGAGCTTTTCCATGGATGGCCAGCTGCTTGTGTCGAGTTCGTATGACGGTATATATCTGTGGGACGTGACAACTGGCCACTGTATACGTCATTTGGAAATCTGCGTGAATAGAGTTATTCAGGCATCTTTCGATGTAGGCATCAAAAGACGATTGAACACTCAATTTGGCTTCCTAACCATCGAAGATCCGGGGCCAAGCTTCCTGGGCCCAAGCAACTTGGATGCAAACATCTGCGGGGATGCTGGAGCAGCGGCCCAGGGCCTTGAAATAGCACCATGTGCAGAAGGTTCAAGAAAAAGTTCACTGCCACACTTTTGCGGGTATGGTCTCAGTATCGAGCTCGACTGGCTGGTGCTAAATGGACTTCGATTGCTTCGGATTCCGCTGGAATACAGAGCGGAGTATTTTTCAGAAGAAAAGACACCAATCATAAACCAGTCAACACTCATATGGATAACCAGGTCAGGAAGATTAGTACGACTGTACTTTCCATCACGACACTAGACTTCGAAAGCACTGTGGCGAGGCAACATACGGTCACGATATGGATTTGAAGCCAATCAAAAATGAAAAGAACGAATGATTCCGTAGAATCGTGATAGTGAATGATAGTGTAGACATTGCAATTTTATCCAGTGCCGCGTGTCTCTCAAGGATTATGGCGCCATTGAGTCATGAACCACATCTCGTACGGCAAAGTACATGTTTTCTCCTCTTTCTTCTTTCAATTAATGAGTTTCTCAAGTAAGAACCCTGGCTGACATCGAAATCGACACTACATCAGGCAGCATGGCAACACTATTAGGTAGCTTCGGCGCAGCTTGCCGGTGGCGCCTGTGAGACAACATGAAGTGACACCGTAACACGACAACCGCTTGGCGACGATCCGTACTACCTATTCACATGATTTCACTGACCGAGAAGTAGTAAACATCCCACTCAAGGTCGTGAATTTCCAACCTGGAGCCAATTTGCCAGCGGACGAGACCAAAATCGAGATCCAAGTTGCGCCGTGCTGAGCTACAGAAAGCCGCGTACTCACCATCGCGTGTCACACGACACAAGATCAACGAATATCACTCATCCATACTGGAAACTATCAAACGGTATCAACCGTGTCATTCACAGCGAAAACAAGAGACGTCGTCAAAGGCGGCTCTGTTCACGACGTCGAACGGGCGTGGGGGTTGATGAGAACGTCAGCGCCCTATAGGATGGCGTGCGCGGGGTGGGTGGGGCACGCCGCCAGGGACCATGGCACACCCTTGTCTCTGGCCGTTGAAGAGTCTCTTTTTGAGAATTAAACATTTGATATCGGGAAATGCCAATGTAAAGTGCCGCTAAATCACAATCCCATCGAGTTTCGAGTGGCAAATGTCCAGGCGGCCACCTTGTTGGACAGCGCAAAGTATCACGTTGATAGGCAATCATGGCGGTGTGTGGTTGCCACCTCGTGATGTGATAGGCGGAGATCAGCGCCGTTGGACGTTTCCCATAGCGGAAAACTCCTGGAACCCGGAGGGAAAACACAACAAAACACAACAGAGATAACTGGGTGGCTAACTCTTCTAGCGTTCGCCACAAGCGTTTCCCTCCACGTAGCCCGCTTGGGACTCAAGACTGTTGATCTCTACACGTGTAAAAGGCAACGATAGTCAAAGAGCGTTGTTAGCGACCGAGTGCCACCCACCCCACTCCCCACGGCTTCACACCCCTCCAAGGATTCCAAACGGGAACTAGCGCAAGTTCCCATGAGGAACCCTGTCGTGGGGCCAGCCGGAAGACGATGCCTGCAGATGGGGATGCGGGGCGGCGAAGAACAGATTCAACGTCGCTGAAAGGGGGGTTATTTGATGATATTTTGGGTTGAAGCGTCGGTGTAAGAGAAGGAGAAGGAGGAGGGAGCTGTGATGAAGCAGTCATCGAGGTGGGAGCGACACACTTGGTGGGAGGACAGGTTGGTCGGAAAAGTCGGTGGAGTTGGATGGCGGCCCAGCACTCGTGTTGGGACTTGGGAAGAGGATGGAGGTTCGGCGAGCTTGTTACCGAGGACTGTCCGTACGAAGAAGGATAAGCGGTAAATGCATTTAAGCCGTGTTCCGGGATTCTCTAGCGGCGTTGCATGTGGGCGGTGGAGATCTAAACACGGAGCGTAGCGGTGGGTACGGGCTTGCGGGCGGCGCTAACGATGGTGGTGGTGCGTGTCACTCGAGGTAAGTTGCGAAAAGCATAATTTCATGCTGGCGTGAGAATGAGATACCTTAGCTCAGATGTGAGATAAGCTTGCAGGCAATGCCATCAAGGCGCGAGGGTGAGGAGCGTTATCTCGCAGCCGGGTAAAAGGACGACATACCACCTACGACCTGAAGTGAGGCCATAACAACCTTGGGTTGGCCTCTCTGTCTCTGCCACCGGGCAGGACGCATGCAGGCACGCAGGCACGCAGGGTGCACTGCAGCCGTTGTTGATGAAAGAGGTGCAGCTTGGGAGATTTGACGAGCGTCGCGTCGCACCGGCCTCGAAACGATGTGCGGCGAGCAGTTGTCAAACCTGACCTTCCGTAGTGTATGGATAAAAGGGAACGTTGATGCGGAGAGCAGAACAAGGCAGGGCAGCTACGTGGTGCTTCCTTGCCTGTCAACAAATGCATCGACGGGGACTGGGGACCACCGAGGTCGGCGCTGGGGTTGATTGCGCTAAGAGGGCCTGCAAGGTGGATGAACGGGCTTGCGAGTTGCGACCTTGTGCTGGCCCTGGTTCGACTGCCACTCGTCCACTTTCTCTGTTGCTATTTGCTCTATCCGTACGGAGTATGTATCCGTAGTGTGCGATTGTTTTGAAGCCGGGGCCAGGCTTGACTGGGGATGGCTTCTTTTCAAGATCTGCTACGTTTTGAACCGATCGCTTCACTTGTGAGCCCTTGGCCTCGGGCGACCTGAACCATGAAAGGTTCCACAACATCGTCATAGCTATGGCCCTCGCACACCGCATCTTGTCAGAAAACGGCTGTAGAAAGGCTACTCAGAGTCACAGTCCTTGGAACGGGAAATTGGTTTAGTCTGAAGGGGTGGCTCTGCTCGTCCCCAGCCATAAAGTCAAGCAGTAGGCGAGAAGTAAATGGTGGGTGGCATAGCGCTTTAGACTCGTAAAAAACGACAAAAATGGAATTGGTGGTTGTCAGGCGACGTGGTCTTGTTCGATGCTCCATGTGGGTTCGCAACAATGGTCCGGTGTCGTCTGAAGTGCGCACATGCTGAGTCGCAGTAGCGCATAGCAGACTCCAGAATTGGTTGTCGAGGTTGCTGCCCAGGAAATTTGGACGATGCAGTCAATGGTGGCGGAGAAGAAGTAGGAGGAAGAGGACTGCGAAAGAGGGCCAAGGTGGGAACTTTGAGAGTCAACGGGAGTCGGGACGTGCTGGTGCAGCGAGCCTTGATCCAATGAAGAGGTCCAATGACTAACGAACTCGCATACAAGGATGCGGCGCACGCTAGGCGATGAGAATAGCTGGGGCTTTACACAGTGCAGAGAACTTCGTCCCAATCAGCCGTCCCAAGTGCGTCGGAGCCGCCAGCCAATGGCACCAGCACCCATGGCAGAATTGGGCCATGAATTGGAGCAAGGAGCAAGGAGCAAGGAGCATGGAAAGTCGTGAGAAAGTGGGCGACAACGGGCAGGCATCGGCAGGGTATGTAATTTCGCTGCGCAGACGAAGCCGCTCTTGGTGCTTCAATAGACACTCTGGACCGGCCCAAAACTGATGATCCGTGGAGCTCTCAAGGCTTTTGTCGGTCGATGCTGGTCGTGTCATGCAGTATCTTGTGTGCCAATTGCAATCCTTGCGGTGAAATCGTTACATTCAGCCAGGGGGACTGGAAACCAGGCCCGGCACTCGCGTGGGACAATCGGTAGTCGTCCGCTGGTGACGGATTTCGGTGACGTTGACCAAAATCTTTTGACTACGAATGATGACCGCCGCGGACTGACATGAAGAGAGGAGAGAGGAGGCGAGGTGTACGTTGGGGCTGGTTGTTGGAGGACGAGCCGGCTTGTTTTTCGGTGAAGATGAATTTCCTTTTTGAGTGAGGCTATCTTGGTTTAAAGAACTAACAACTCATCACCCAATGTTTGGAAGAAGGGAGGGGTGCAATGTCAATGACTGGCGGCCGGCAATAGTATGCGGAGTGCCAATAAGGTAGGCGCAGATTGCTTCGTTAGTTGCAGGCGGCAGTAGGTTTGGAAGATCCTTGGAGCGAGCGTGCGTGTGATGTGGTGGTGGTGGTGGTGGTGCTGCTGATGGTGCTGCTGCTGATGGTGGTCAGTTGGGTTCGAGACAAGGAAATGGAAAGGAAGCCGTCGCAAGTGTCTAGTTCGCGCTACTTCCATCCGAGGAGCCGAAGACCGATAGCCGGTCTTCTTTCCTCCACCTTGATGCATCGTACTTCACCTTGACCAGCCGCCATCAAGTCAGAAAGAGCAAGAAAACCCACCACACACGACACACTCCCGTCTGGGTCTCTCACACGACACGACAATTGACGGACGAGCTACTGCATCGACAAGGAATCGTAGCGCAAGTTGTAAGCGGATATTCCTCTAGAGCCCGTGCGCTCAGCATCCTGGACTCTGGAGCAGTGTGGTGGAGAGAACATGATAACTTGGGTGCTTGGGAACCGTGGGAACTTGCAACGAGAAAGTGACGGGAGCACAGAAAGAAAGACAGAAAAAAAAAGAAAAAAAAAGGTCGCTAAACTAGCGCAAGATCCCTCCCCCGTCACCTGCATGGAGCACCCGTAGTCCTCAGCGGCAGCGCCACTTATGCAACTATCCCAGGCCGAAATCCGCTCTCTTCCCGCATATCTACATACCCTAAACTGCGGTGCCCTGGCGCATGAGCTGCGTGAGCTGCGCGAGGTGCATCGTTCAGTCCGTGCAGGCGCAGTCCATCAGTCGAAGCTTCCCCCTCCATGGCTCCTTCCCTGTCGTCGCGCGGCCAGACTTGCTGCTTTCCTCGGATGCCGTCGGTCTGGAAACCGCAATTCCCCTGTTCTCTCCACCTGGCTGTCTCTAGCAGTCTTGCGATCCTTGCAACCCGGAGCACACAGGATGCACTCCATCCATCCCACTTGAGCAGAGAGCCCCGCCACACTGTGTCACTGTGTGCTGAAGGACGGGACGGTGTAAGTCGGTCGTATCAGACGAGGAAAGAGAGCGAGACGGGACGAAGAAAAAAAAAACATCTCGCTCACGCCGCCCGTCATATGCATTCCTCCCACCAGTGACCAAACCCGACCGAACACTCCCGCAACTCTCTTCCATCCCACCGTGCAACTCTACTGCATCCGCCGGCTTCCTCTCCCGCTTGCATCCGCCAGTCTTCTTTTCTTCTAGCTCCATCTGGCACTCCGGGTTGCTGCAAGCGCTTGTTTCCACCCTCCCACCCTGCGAGACTCGGGAGAAGGCCGTTATCGTACACGGATCCACGTCCAAGAACCAATATTTACCTCCCCTCCTCTCCTGCTTCCGCTCTTTGCCAACATTCCTCTTCTCTCTCCCTCGACAATATCTCTTCTGAAGACGGACGAAACATCTTTTCGTGTAGTCGCATCCTACAAGACGTCACCGCCGCCGGCCAGGACAGGAGGAAACGTGTATAAGCGTACACGCATCCCGACATTTCATTCTTCAAGTTTCCTACGTTCCAGTAGATTCTTCGTCGAGTGTTCTGTCGCATCGTAAGACTTGAACCAAGTCGAGAGACAATGGCCCTAACCATGCAGAAAAGCCCTCGCAACCCAGACGACTTTCCCACCATCCAGCTCTTCCTCCTTGGTACGTCCATCCACCACTGCATTCCCTACCACAGCCACATTCCTTCACCTGGCATTCCCTGTCTTGCCGCGTTCCAACCAGACACATACACACCCGACACCATCTCTTCTCTCCAGCCACGCATACTAACGCCACATTTTCAGCGATTGTTCGTCTCGCCGAGCCCATCGCACTCACCTCCATCTTCCCCTACGCCTGGGCCCTCGTCAAGAGATTCGAAATCGGCAACGCTGAAGATGCATCCTTCTACGCCGGCCTCCTCATCTCTTCCTTCTCCCTCGCGGAGGCCCTGATGGGCATGTACTGGGGCGGTCTCTCTGACCGTATCGGAAGAAAACCCGTACTTCTCCTGGGATGCGTCGGCACCATGTTCAGCATGGTCATGGTCGGCTTCGCCTCCAACATCTGGATTGCTCTGGCTGGCAGAGCTATCGGCGGTCTCCTTAACGGCAACATCGGCGTCATCCAGACCATGGTTGGTGAATTGGTCACCAAGCCTGAGCATGAGCGTAAGACTCCCCTCTCCTGACCACCAACCTTCGCAATGTGCTAATCTTGTAGCCCGCGCTTTCTCGGTTATGCCCTTCGTATGGTCCATTGGCACAATCATCGGTCCCTTTATTGGCGGTACCTTTGCCGACCCTCACGACGCCTTTCCCAGCATCTTCCCCGTCGACGGCATATTCTACCGCTACCCGTACCTCCTGCCCAACCTCGTCTGCGCCGGACTCCTGTTCGTCAGCATCATCCTAGGTTACTTCCTCCTTGAGGAGACTCACCCCGACATGCAGCCTCGCGTCTTCATGCCTGACGACACGTACGCTTCCGAGGAGACTCCCCTTCTGGAGACCTCGGATGCCATGAAGAGACCTGCCGTTGACCTGAGAGATGACAACTACGGAACTGTCCGCGGTCGCAGCGCCCAGACCCCCGCGAAGAAGGCCGATCAGTCCTACAATATCTACACCAAGCCCATCATGTCGCTGATTCTCGCCCTCTGCATCTTCACCTACCACTCAATGACCTACGACCATCTCTTGCCCATCTTCTTCGAGGACGACCGCGCCACTTCCCCGATCACCGTTCTGACAGACGCTTCGAGCCCCTTCTACACCCCTGGTGGCTTGGGTCTCTCACTCCGCGCAGTGGGCATGATCATGGCAGTGAACGGTGTCATTGCGCTCTTCGTGCAGGCCGTCATCTTCCCATTCGCCGCTGAGAAGTTTGGTGTCTACCGACTCTTCATCATCGTCACCGTCCTCCACCCGATCGCCTACGTCATGGTCCCGAGCCTGCTGTTCCTCCCCGAGTCGCTTGTGTACGCCGGAATCTACTTCTGCTTGGCTGTTCGCAACGTCCTTTCCATCATCTTGTACCCTCTGCTGCTCATCTTGATCAAGGAGGTTACTCCCACTCCCAAGGCCCTGGGCAAGGTCAACGGTCTCGCCGCTAGCGCTGCCGCTGGCTTCCGCATGATCGCCCCGCCCGTTGCCGGATGGCTATACACTTTCGGAAGCAAGGTCGATTGTACGGCTCTGGCATGGTATGGCAGTGCCGTCGTTGCAGTCATTGGTGCTATTCAGTGCTTCTCTGTGAAGCGTGAGCGCAAGTTGGATGTGAGCGAGGAGGATGCCCAGCCTTGCTTGCAGAAGAAGGAGTCCCGAGTCAGCATCAGGGAGGTGTTTTCGGACGAGGAATGAATGTGTTGTCAGATGAATGTGACGAATATGGTCCGAGCGGGGAGATTTCACGAAACGGAGTTCAAAAAAGATTTCACGACCCAACCAAAGCATGAGAAAGGGCTATAGAAGGGGAGTTTGTTTGCTTTCTTCGGTCGAAACAGTACGGCGTCACGGGATACGGGCTCAAATTTTGGTGTTGGTGTCATCCATGAGTATCGGATAGACTAGAGACGCTTCTTGGTCTTTGGCGAGCATGGAGTTTTGTTGCATTTATTCGGCGTTCGGAGCGGCTGCTACTTGGTCATTTACCATAACTAGTTAATCGCTCTAATAGAATTGAAGTCATTTTGATGAACTTGGCATTTCCGCTTGAATGTGAATTGGCTGGGTGATGCCTACAACTTCAAATCAAAGAGATCGTGTTGTGTGATCACTCAAATTAATCACTAGATGCGATTAATTATTTAGAGCCATTTGTCCTATCCTTAAGTGAGGTTGAAGAGTCAGAATTCCACGAGGTTCGCAGCTCCTCCATGAACTCCAGAATTTGAAAGATCTGCCCAATGAAAATCGCCACCGCAAAAACCACACACACAAACTCAACTCACCTCCAAATTTTTCGCTCAATCACAGGCTTACACACAACAAGCGACAAATCTCATGTGAGACTCATTAAACTCATATCACAACCTGCAACTCGTTCAGCTGAGACCAACCATTTTAATTCGTTCTCTCAGACAGTTTGCGACTTGAACATTGCAGACAAACCAAGAGACAAATACACATCCTCTACAGCAAACCCACCTCCCAGAAAAAGCGGGGACCGCATCCGCAATCAGCAACAATGGTCCAAATGGAAGAAATCACGGATCAAATGGCCGACGCCATGATCGCCGAAGTCCAGCGCCGCGACGCAGAGCAAGCAGCGGCAGCGCAACAAGCTGCTGCCGCCATCCCAGGCGCAGCAAAGGGCGCGGCCCTGCCCCCCGGCCACGCCCTGCTCAGCGGCAAGACGGCCGACGAGGTCCTGGCCGACCTGAACAAGTCCCCGCTCTTCATGACCTCGCTCGAGGAGAACGACGACGTTGCCGCGCTGCAGGCGCTCGCGTACGAGGGGACGGCAAGGGAGAATGGAGAAGAGTTTAAAGAGCGCGGGAACGAGTGTTTTAAAGCCAAGATGTATGCTGATGCGAAGGAGTTTTATGGAAAGGGGATTGAGATTTTGGCGGTGGAGGAGAAGAGGCGGGCGAAGGGGGAGAAGACTTTCCATACGGAGAAGGCGAAAGTTGAGGGCGAGAGCGCAACGGCGGAAGAAGAAGAAGAAAGAGATATCGAGGTTGAGGACGACGAGGAGGAAATCGCCAAGCAGAAATCCGTCCTGGAGTCGTTGTACGTCAACCGCGCGGCGTGCCACCTCGAGCTCGGCAATTTTAGGTCCTGTTGGACGGACTGCGGTCTCGCGCTGCGGCTGAACCCGAAGAACCTGAAAGCCTACTACCGCTCCGCGCGTGCTCTGCTCAAAGTCGAGCGCATCGCGGAAGCCGACGACGCGTGCGCGAGAGGTCTGGCGCTGGATGAGGGGAATAAACCACTCCAAGCCGTGGCGCGGGACATCATCAAGGCCGCGGAGCGCGCAGACGCCAAGACCAAGCGGGAGCAGGAGCGCAAGGCGGGCGAGAGGAGGAGGGAGATGTTGTTGAAGGCTGCGCTTGCTGCACGAGGAATCAAGCACAGAGTGACGGAGCAGCCGCCCGAGATGGAGGACGCGCGGATGAGGCTTGTGCCTGATGAGGAGGATCCGGCGAGTAGTCTGAGTTTCCCCGCGGTGCTGTTGTACCCCCTGCAGATGGAGAGCGATTTCATCAAGGCGTGGAATGAGACGGAGTGTGTGGGGGATCACTTGGGGTATATCCTGCCGCTGCCGTGGGATCAGAAGGGGGAGTATGCTAGCCCGGCGGGGGTGGAGTGTTATATGGAGACTGCGGCGGGCGGGTTGGTGAAAGTCGGCAAGAAGGCTTCGCTGTTGAAGATTTTGAGCGGCGGGAATGTGGAGGTTGTGGATGGGATCGTGAGGGTGTATGTCGTTCCTGTGGCGAGGGCCAAGGGGTGGGTTGAGGAGTTTAAGGTGAAGAAGGCTGCGGAGAAGAGGTAGTCATTCCGGCTTGGGGTTGAACTTGACTGAATGATGATTACAATGTTTAGAAGAGAGCTATTTGCTACGATTGCGAACAAGGAAGTCTTGATGATCAGACATGTTGACTACTTTATTAAATGCTTTTGAAATTCCACCAAACACCGGACCTAACCCTCGACTTTTTAGACACGAAGTTGGAAAGCAGAGACAAGAGACTTGACAAGTTGGTCCTGTTCCATCCGCAAACATTATCTGAGCACCCAAAAAACAGAAATGCAAACTGAGTGCGCGAGCAAAGAACATGGAAATCTAGAATACGTTCAAGTCGTCCGAGTCATCTATCCTCTCCCTCTCACCCCTCCCTATCTTCCCCGCTCAACTCCTTTCAAGCGGACGTGGCCCGCCGTCGCTTGCTGCGGTGTAGATCGGAGCTGTCCAAGTCGCTTTGGTAGCCAGACTCCTTGCGAGACGCCGTCTTGAGCGTCATGAGGCCCAGCGCGGCATTCTGCTCGGCAATCTCAGCGTCAGACTCTTCTTCCCTTCGCCGAGTGTCAGACTGGAAGCTCAGAGCGGGGCTGCTAGCGTGGAGACTCTCGCCGGCGCTACTGTTACGACCGCCATCGCTGTCGTCGTGATCGACGGGACGCTTTTGTGACCACTGTGGACGACGAGGGGTCGGCGTGTGTCTGCTGTTCAGGGGCGTGAAGCGGGGGACGGCGCTGAGGTACGGATGAGGTGTATGGGCTGTGCGGTAGATGTCGTCGACCAAGCGGTACGGCTCTGGGTGATTTGCAGCCACCCATCCAGAAGTCGGCGGCTGCGAGTGTCGTGCCGGAGTCTGGTGATATCCGTAGCTATAGCCGACGCCGTCTGAGCCGTTACTGGACGCCGAGTCCGGGCACGAGCGGGTGCCACCCTCCCCATCGGTATCGCTGTACGGACTCATGAGACGAGTCGTGTTAAGTCGGAGTCTTCTGTCGTCACGAAGAGGTCGCATGGGCCGTCGTTCAATGTTGGGCATATGCCCGAGGGTGATGGGAGGGAGAGCGCGATGCTGTACTTTTCGTAACCTGCCGGCGTCTTTGACAGCGTCTTCGACGATTCGATGGTCAATCACCATGCGCTGGTACTCTGGCGAGCCAGGCGAGACGCACATGGACGGAAACGACGGGCCAAAGATGGGAATAAGGGCTCCGGCAATGCTGTAGCAGAACGTAGCACATACTGCCTTGGCACATTCATACGGCATCCAGTACCCTGAAATGATTAGCTTCCAGAGTTCATAATTGGAGGCACTTCAACTAACCTTGAGCTGCTATAGCGCCTCCCGTGATGCTGTGCGTGATGTCCTTGAGTCCAGGGTTCAGGCTTAACATCTTTGCCGGAACAGTCTGCACTTGTCAGTATAGGTCCCATCATAGAGTTACGAAGCCCTACCTTGGAATATTTGCAACACTTGAAAAAGGGAGTCATCCGAACAAGACCGACGTTGTAGTCCCACATGACAGTGAAGTCGTTGTCCTCTCCAGGCACCTTGAACTCGTACTTGAAAACTGGACAGGTCGATCAGCAAAGGCAGCCAGCCTATCTCGAGGTTAGAATCACGAACCTTCAAAGCTCTCCCGCCCTGTCTTCTCGAAGAAGTCCTTCTTGCCGCTGTTGTATGGAATGTGGGCACATGACTCCTGGATACGACCAAATGGCGAGACACGAAAGCGGTGGACCTCGCGGCGGGATATATCGTCCAAGTTCTCAAATGGGTAGTATTGGATGACTCCACGAGGCTTGTATTTGGATACCGGAGACGGATCCTTGGACATCTTGAGCTTCGGAACGACGGGTCGGTCAAGATATGGTGACGGAGCTCTGTCTGAGTAGCAGGTTCCCGGCGAGGACATTGCAGGACTTGGGAGGAACCGAGGGGCAGGAAGCGACCCTGGAGGCGACGGGTTAAGAAGAGAAGATACGGAAAGCATCTCGCCGGCTGTTTGTCGGTGGCCGATGTCTCGAAGGCAGTGCTATGCTGCGATGCGGACAGGACCTTGGTGAACCGGCGTAGGCGAACCTATTCCTAAAAAGAGGGGGGAACGATGGGAGACTTAAGACAAGTCCTGCAGCAATAGCGAGACCAGGTGTAGAGGTAATGGCTAGCTAGGTATTTGGCAGTCGGCAAACACTTGATGTCTTCGTTCCGGGGGTTGGCGACTCAACATCCACGGGCTTGCAGCACGCTGGCAAAGTTTTCCAGGACAAGGGGGTTCGAGATTGTCCCTTTTCTTGAAGACACGGTCAATTCTGCAACGGATCCTGCACTCCAGTACGGGGCTCGGGGATTCTCCTTGAGTTTCGGCGCTCTCTGTGCAGAATTCTTTGTTGCGGTGTCTTGGAATCGACCTCTCAGCATTGAGGTCTCCGTTTGTGACCGGCCACCGCTCTTTCTTTTGCCTTATCGAGGTGAGGCTACAAAGTGATAGATGACTGGTAGGATGGTGGAAGTAGGAGACACCGAGAGTACAGACTGAAGGCGGTCTAATATGTTTCCGCCACGAGAGAACTCACGAGACCAAGTCTAATGAAGTGAGGTTACTGCTGATGCTTGTGTGGTGGTCGCAAGTTACCGCATGTGTCGTCTCGATGTTGAAGAATCGGGTAAGCCAAACGGCTCCGGGGAAGCTTCCATGCAGGAGGATCCGCAAATCCACCCAACTTGGAGAAAGCTCACAAAAGCAGCCAAGCTGTGGGCCTGTCGTGTGCTAACATTAGAGGTATCTGAGCTACTGAGCCATGCTGAGGAGGCCTACTTGGGGGCGGCCAGAGATCGAAGCTAGGCAGGTTTCATCAGATATCACCAGCTCAAACATTTGGTCCGTTGAAGGGCTTCACAGAAGAGTGTGGAGCTCATCCGTCAAAGGCCTAGAGTCATTGGACAAGTTTGCAAGCGCAAATACAGCAGACGCTCCCGCAAAGACCAAACAGGTATGGGTATCGTTTTGCTGGAGGCGCACAGGGGTGGGATTTGCAGAGCGGGTTCGCGGATAGGTGCATAGAGTGCCATCTGGCCGCTGACTCTAACAGCTTGTTCGAGATGGTGGAACCAGGCTGGCCATCCTGCAGCGTTGAAGATCTCAGGACTACGTTAAGCTGACTCGGCACGCGCGGCCGCGGCCCTGGAGAACAGAGAAGAACCAGGGTACATACCAAAGACGTCCAGTTGCGATTTGCCATAACCGATAGCCTTCGCGGTAGCGGACCATCGTGGGTACTAGACGATTTCTCTTCAGATGACACGTTATCCTATGAGCGAGCGTGGATGTTGGCCTCTCGTCAGACCGCTAAAGCCGGGTCATCTTCTTTGTGACCTGGCTATGTGCATATCCGTAGGCAGGCCAGTGATTTGCTAAGATGATCTTATTTCTTCGAGAGAAGCATGATCCGTATCATGCTTTTATGTGGCTCCTGTTGGAGGGGGTGGCTGCAGCTGTCACCAGAAAGCTCCTTGTTCCCCCACGAGCTTGTCTGCGTACAAGCACGAAGAAAATGTCCGATGGGAAGCACAAGAGTCCGGTCTATCTTGGAGTACTGCCCCTAGGCTGGCGTCGCAGGTCCATCGGCAGAAGTCTTCCTCCTGACAGTGGCATTGACCAGACCGCGGAAACCTCTGTTCGAACAGGTCATGGATCAAGCGCGATCGCCCTCGTGGGATCAGTCGTGGACAGATCCGACTTGTCTTGACAACTCTCGCTGCGTCGCTGAAGTGATGCTACGAATGACAGTAATCACGAATCCACAGCATGTCGAGAATACGGAGAACGGCATTGGTCATAGTCGAGTCAATGGCCCCCCCCTGTTTAGTGCTTCGTTGATATGGTAGCTAGGCATTGGCTTTCTGCGGCTTACCGCGCACCGCTACTTTCGGCAAGCATTAAGTCTGGCGTGGCCGTGGCCCACAGGCTGGGCATTCTTGCAAACGGACCAGATGATGAGCTGGACGGGGTTATGGACCCTCAAAGACAACTCAATTACGTTGCAAGGGTAGCAAGAGAAGTGAACGACAGCGCTTTTCTGATCCTTGCTGCAAGCTGATGAACCGATATCCAGGCGTTTGTTCATATGTTTCGCAGCGTTAGGCGATGCCGGAAAGAGAGACGGCAACCCCGCCAGATCCTGACAACGACCAGCCTTGAATCGTGGCTTTTAGGTCCATATTTTCAGAGGCCCAATAGAATACCAAATCCGGCACTGTTGAGGCTTCTGAGGGAAGTGTTGGCGAAGATTCCATCGTGGTTTCAGATGGCCATTCTCTGTCTCGGTGACACCACAGTGAGTGACAGGAGAGGGGTGGCGACGTCGCCATGCGTAGTGCGACTCAAGAATAGCAGCGGTGACGGATGTGCGCATCGTCTTCGGGATATTCTGCTCTTTTGCCATGCAGAATTCGGGAGTTAGTCGTACACAGCGTGGATGGAAAGCATGATTGTGTAGCTCGACCGACGGGTGGGCAGCTCCACCTTACGCGGCGGCCAAGAGTAAGGCCATCCGTAGTCCATCAGGCCATGGAGTCAACAAGCAATGTTGTGAAATACTGATTTCCTCAAGATTATCTTCTGCTTAGGAGGGTGCAGCGAATCCTTGGTGTTTGGGTTATCTGGGCTATCGTCATGCCTGAATACCGAAGATCAGTTCTATCTAAAGCAGTACTCAACGTTTCCAAGTAAGAGAAAACGCTATGAAGCCTCTAAATCCATTTGAAACCAATCGGAGTGATGAAGATTCCGCTAGGCTTAAGTCGCACGTAGTAGAGGACTGAAATGTTTCTGTGATACTAGCCTGAGGAGGTGACGGCGTCGCCTCTCACAGTGCGACCCGATACCTCGTGGTTCTACGGCTCGCCCTCGATGCAAACTCGTCGTGGCCGGCGCTGCACCACTGCTGCGTTGCACGACGTCGGAAGGAGAATAAATGTGTGGAGAAGGGAGATACTTTTGTGCAATGTCTGATGATATCTCCGAGAAGTGATGAATTGAGAGGAGGCTGGCAAGGGACGCTCTGATGTTGAGGATGATGTAGAACGAGGGGTTGTGTCACACAACATCGGCTCGAGGACACAAGTATAGCATCCACACAATTGCCGTAGCAGCGAGTAGGTACCTTAGATGCTAAACTGCCTTGAGATATTCTCTTGGCCCATCAAAAGAGGAAGCGTCGACATGAGCGGCCCGCCTTCCCTGGAGTCTCGGAGGCGGAGAGCGCCTTAGCTAAGCACCCGGGCCCGTCTTCTTCCCCAACGGCCCAAAGACGCCAGCTTTTTGGTTGCACACCCTCTCTCATCTCCCGAACCATCTCATGAACAGGTCCGTTCATCCCGTTTCGTCGGCCCGAGTTTAATTAACTCTTTTCCCGAAGAGGCTTTCCATTTTCAACACAACCGGCCGTCGACAGATGCTACTCGAGAACCCCACAAAGAGCCTCCTCGACCACACCTAAACCTAAATCACCAAAGTTGCTGCGTCGGGTATCGAGTGCCATGATGGTTCGAAGTACTGTTCCCCAGTGCTCTGCTACATCTTCCGAACGGGATTCGTGCACGAAAGCCCTTGCCATTCCATCATCACCAGCTAAACTTATCGCCAGGGAGAAGTGGTACGAAGCATTGCGGTGGCAATCTAGCCTGCCAGCAACGCAACGCGAGATATTGGTCTTACACGTTTGAGAACAAGACACTCGAAAGATTCTAGGACTCTAATACAGCTCTGGCATACTTTGGTGAAGATACTCTGGGTGCAGCAGCGTTGTGTCTCTGCACTTGGCATGGAGGCGCCATAGTGTACGCGTTTCGCCGGATGTGTGTATGGTGTGTCTCACTACCTCTCACTACCTCCGAGGCGGACTGAATTCCACGCATCATCCCTTTATCGTGGCCAACATTCCTCGAAATCCCCTCAAAAAGATGGCAATGTCCTCCGAATGGGGGGATTTGTTTGTTCGTTCGCGTCAAGTGTTGCTTTTCACAGCGGCCTTGATTCACTGACAAAATGGGCGCCCTTCCACCTACAATGCAGCCCATGTACGCTTATCACAACCATGCCAGGGCATTACACGCGGTAACGTTTTTGCTTGTCCTTCTTTTCATATTGATCCAGGTTGCGAAAAGTCGACAGGATGCTTACGAGGTCATCGACGTCGATCCCCTTGTGCCGGTGGTCAAGACCAGCCAAAAAGAGACTTCTATACACGGCAGCGATTACCTGAGGGAATTTGCGGAGCGGCACAGTCTTACACAAAACATATCTTGGTACTCTCAGAGGATCAGGGTCGTACCAGAAGCCCCTCAGAGGTTCCCAGTGACAAACATCAAGCGCGCGTTTGCGGATAAGGAGTTTCGAAACATTCGTTGGGATGACGAGAGTTTCGACATGTACCCCAAAGGCGATGCAAACGACCTTCCCGTAACCACAAGCATACTACCAGGCGCCGTCGATGCTTCCGATTTGCTGTTAGGCATCTCAACGACCTACAAGCGCCTCACAAACGCCAATGACTCTCTCATCATGGACTGGCAGCGGTGGCTCACGAACGGCCACGGCAAATCGAACGGGGCGACTGTCATCGTGACGCTTTACCGAGCCACAAGCGGAGAGGCGTGGGAAATATACGAGAAGCTGCAAGCTTTTGGCATAGACGCTACAGTGGTGCCTCTGGAAAAGAAACGGGACAAGCCCTCGAGATACCTTGACTTGGTCACCATTCTTATGGATGTCAACGAGGCCTTGACCGAGCAGGAACACGGCAAGAAATATTTTGGCCTCCTGGACGACGACATCTTTCTTCCCACTCCAGGACAGCTCACCCAAAAGCTTTCCAAGTTTGACGCCTCGAGCCCTTATTACATCGGGCTTCCCAGCGAGCGACCAGACTGGTCCGTCGAGAATGACACGGCAGTCACGCACGGCGGCGGTGCCATTTTCCTCACCCCGCCCGGTGCCCTCCTCGTCTCTCACCTCCCGTGCCGGCCCGAAGAGGGGTTCACCGGAAACCACACCAAATGGGACAGCATCCTCCACGACTGCGTGACGACCCACACCGACCTCTCCTTCCACGTCCTCCCGAGCTTCTACTCCCCCACAGACGCCCTCTACAACATCCAAGCAGCAGCCTACGACCTAGGCGTCTCCCCGCTTACCCTCCGCCACTACAAGTCCCGCCACCGCTTCGACCCCAGTCAGGGCCACGCGGTGACGTCCGTCTGCGGCGAGGCCTGCTTCCTGCAGCGCTTCCGGTTCGCTGACGACTGGGTGCTGGTGAACGGGTACTCGCTCACGCACTACTGCGCCGGGTCCGAGGTTGTGCCCATGGAAGCCGACGCGGATCTCCAGGGGGCTATGCAATATGGTCAGGAGGCTGAGATGCCGCTGGGAGAGGGTATCGTGCTGCACGACTCTACGGAGGATAAAGAAGTCGTGACGTGGAGGGGCACGAGGAACGTGTGGCTGTTGCTGGATTCTGTTGTTGGAGAGAAGGGAGAGGTTTGGCAGGTGTATGTGAAGAGGCGAGGCGGTTCGGGCTTCATGGATGGAGAGGAGGAGGGCGAGGATGGTGATGGCGACCATCTTGATTCTGTTATTGTGCTCATTTGGGAATCTTGAGCTTTGCTTAGGATGCAAGTAAACGACTGACGTTCAACTTCACTTCAGAAACAGACGTGCTCGATGTGATTTATATGTTTGTGACCGTGCTCTTTCTCCGTTATCCGCTTCATATCCTCTCAGACCCCGCCTGCAGATGTACAGACATGAACTTACAGGTCCGAGGTTCTGGGAGACCTCGAAACCAAACCACCATAGACGCGTTCCGGTCTTCGAGTGATTGTACTACAAGATACCCCTGGTCTGGCCATGCTGCCCCCAGAAAAAGACACAGGACCATTAGTTTCAGGTGGGCATTCAATCCTGTGATAAGTAAGGAGACATTTCGGACTGATCACTACCGCTACTTCGTTATCTTTTGGTATCTCCCAACTCAGAGGCAATGCCATCTTCTCGTTTTGTATACCTCGAGGAAGAAAGACACTGGACGTGAGCCGCCACTCACTCAAGACGGAAAACACCAAAGGCAAAATGGAACCAAAACCAGATCTCCAACCGCTCTTGAACAAATTCAAGATACCTTTCCCAGTTCAACCTCCATTCACTTCCTCCACGTCGCCCCCGTAACCTCAAAAAACACCTCCCCATCCCCCTCCTCCTTTCCAGGCTTCACAACCCCAGTCCACCCAAACCTCTTCTCAACCAACCCCCTCATCGGCACATTCCTCTCGCTCATCGTGGCACTCACCCTCTCAAGCTGCAGCCCGCCCTCGGCAACCTTCCGGAACCCCCACTCGACAGCCGACCGCACCGCCTCAGCCGCGAACCCGCGGCCCCGAAACTCCGGGTTAATCATGACGCCCACGTCGCCGACTCTGACCTTCTGCCCGTCCTCTTCGTGCTCGTTGATGCCGCCGTACCCGCCGAACCCGATGATTGTGCCCTCTTCGTCCTGCTCCTTCTCCCCTGACGATTGCTTGTTGTCATCATCACCACCAACATAAACAACAACTAAATTCACCCTCCCCGGCCCACTCACAACCTTCCCACTCGCCTCATCAACAACACTAGGCACAGCAGCGCTCTCCCTCATCCTCGCAATCACAATCTTGGCCACCTCGGGGGAAATAGCCGAGGCGTGCGGGTCGTATTTCGTATTTTCCGGGTCCGAGAGCACGGCCGAGACGGCGGCGAAATCGGATTCTTCCAGGGTGCGGAGGAGGATTGGGTGGGTTGGTGAGCGGAGGGTTGTGGGGAGGTGTGTTGCTTGTGTCGGTGCCATGATTGCGAAGTTTTAGGAGGGGATTTGTGTCAGAGGGTTTTTGGTGGGTAGTTGATTTGCTTTGTTTGAGCTGGTGTTGATGGCGGGTTTGTGAATGTTATCTTTGGTTTGATCTCTTGAGATGAACTGACGTTGGAGAAGTTGGAGCGGATTGAGTTTCTGGGGGTTTGCGATGCACGGCGTCCAATTGTAGCGCTTCAAGAGCTTGAACTCGAGTCGAGTGAGATGAGTGGGATGAAAGGTGTCTGTCTCTTCTCAGAATCTCCCGAAATCGCCGTCCTATAGAGCCGTCTTAAATCCTCAACTCCAATGCCCCTCACCCCGCGAATCTCCAACTCCAATCTCGACACAAACATTCCCGATACTCCAAGTCCCCTGCAAATCGCAATCCTCTAAACCAAATTCTCAATGTGCTGACGGCCGTCAGAATAGAGGACAGAAATTCCCACTCGCTCCCGTGGAACGTCGCAATCGGCAGCGGCCCCAACAGCATCCCATCAGCCAATGCGAGAGTAGCGTCAGCCGCAAAGATCAATCCACCTGATTTTGGCCTCACTTTATAACCCCACAGAAATTGTCTAGCTTGGCTCATTCTCTCCTAGCAATCTCACGCAGTCAGATCCTGCCTATCGTTCTTGCGCCCACGAGGGAAGGATTCAGATGCCGGTCCGGCCACCCGAATCCGTTTCGAGAAGGTCGGTGGTAGACCCGGCACGGTCCTGCGGCACCACCAGAACGGCTCTGGAGCCGCGCTGATGGACTTGATCTCCGTATGAAAGCTTACGGGCGGGGAATAAGAGTCATTGGCCTCTATTTGCACTCTGTGACTCACTCTTCATTTCAGAATGGGTTCAACAACACGACTTGAGGCATGGGTAAATCACGACCCAAAGTGGTCTTGATTCAAATTTCGCAATGCAGCATCTCTCTATGACGTGCTTCTAAGTGCGTGAACAATCATCCCGAGGGCTTGAATTAACCCCGGCCAATGGCAAAACTCCATCTCTTGCATCTTAATCCAAAATTATGCCATCCCTATACCTGCTTGCCATGCCGAAAAACGTATCAAATAGTTTCCATAAAGTCGTTTCGTGTCGTGTCATCGGAAAGAATCACCACTTGTCGGGGCCGAAATGCTCTCCCTCAGGCACCGTATTGTACGAGCACGCCTGCCAGTCGCATCCTTGCTTGTACACTTCTGTACCCCACCATTTGAAGCCCTTCATGTGCCCGGGGTAGACGAAGCCAAAGAACACCACGACGATGCCAAACGCCAGACTCGAGTCCAACGCCGCGCTCATGGTCATGGTGTACTTTGCCCACCACGCGCTCTTTCTCCTCTTGACCAGGTAGTTGAACACGTAGCACACCACTGCCCATACCGAGAAGTTGAGCCCCGTCGCCGGTGGAATCCACGCCATGGAACCGAAAACGACCGGTAGGTTAATCTTTCGGAGAATGCTGTGCCTGTTTTTGCGCGCGTAGAGCCACAGGGGAATCGGCGCGATGGCTCCAATGAAGAAGCACCACACAAGTCCGCGGTAAGTTGCGTTCGGTCCGAAAAACTCGCCCGGTCCAACCACACCCCAGAGAATGGAGCCGTTGAAGTGCACACGCGCGATCGGGCACGTGAAGCCATTAACAGCCTCTGGCGTGCAGATGCCCTTAACATTGGCAAACATCCAGTTGAGAACGCCAATCTGGGTTAGGGACGACACAATCGTGGCCACCATCTGCACCGAAAACATGATACGGGGCGGAATCTTCATGTAGTGGCCGAGCTTGAGATCAGAGGCAAACTTGATGCCTTGGGCTGACGAGATGTAGCCATAGGTGACAAACACCATGTTTGCGATTGGGCGACCAGGGAACACAGCGCCGCAGATGAGCTGGCAGATCAGGTAGATGCTGCTGTGCTGATTGGTCACTGCCATGATGATGCCATTAGGGATGAAGAATATGGCGCAGATCCCCAGTGACATGAGCAAGCCGTACCACGGGAGGTGGATGGGGTAGCTATACTGTTAGCCTATAATCGTTTCAATTTATAAGGGAAGTCTTACTATTCGACGACAAAGATGCCCACCGCCAGCATCGTGACAAACGTTGCTAGATACCAGGAAAGAGGAGCATCTTTGTACCGCTTCATCAGCCGGCAGTGAACATCTTCTCGGAACATCATGCCCTCGAGGTTGGAAGAAGATCTTGAGAGACCTCCGTGACTGCTGAATGATCGCTGAGGTCTGATGTGCTCGGAGCTGCCCGAAACAGGCTGGTAGACCGCCTGTCCTTCATTGCGAGCTTCCGCCATGGCCGTCTTCCACGTATTCCACATGTCCTTGCCATGCCAGCAAACCGTATGTGTCAGAAGCGCCGCAAGAGCAGCGAACTGAACACCATAGCTGAGCACATAGGTGATGGGCAGAAAAACTCGGCTGTATTTGCTGTATGCTTCTCTGTCGAAAAGGAACTCGGATGTCAGGATCTTGCTCACATCGTAGACCTTGCCCTTGTTGTCGAATACTGCAGAAGACAAGATTGGCATATACGATGAATAGAACACATTGGCGTAGTAGGCGATGGGCGCAATGAGCCACATGACGATGACGAGACCGCCAATGACGTTCATCGCAGCCCAGAAAGGGACCAAAAGGGGAGACCCGATGTACGTGACCTGAGCCCAGTCGAAGGTCAGGGGAAATAGTCCCAGACCAGAAACGGTGCCAAATAGGTTGGCAACCACCACGTTCTTCGGCGCAAACCACGTAATGACGTTGAAGTAGCTGAGGCATGGCATCAGGAGGCCGGGAAGGAAGTAAAAGACGAACCCTCCGAACCACACGAGGTAGAAAAACTTCCACCTCGAAATCCTCCAGCCGTCCGCAATCCTGTTCTCCTCCTTATGGAGCGTCCCGAACATGGCCGCAGACATCAACGTTCCAGGCCAAATCATGCCGCTGGGTCGAACCAGGAATCGACGCGTAAGGCCGGCAAATGCGTAGCCGAGGATTTGAGTCGACAAAATCAGGAGGATTTGGTAGGTTATTGTGGCTTCTTGGTGATAAAACCTGGACTGCTCAACAATGACGTCGGTAGCAAAAGCGAAGCCGAACGAGACGTTGCTGCTCACGTAGACGCAAGTATGCTCCTTTTCGTTCCACCGCCCTTGCGCGAGCCATCTGCGAAATCGGGTTACGGACCGTTTCGCCGGCGGCCGGTTCTCGGCATCAGTCTGGAGGACACCATCCAGAAACTCCTCCGCAGGGTCGCTGTGATATTTGAGAAGGTAGTCCCACATAAGGCCAAGTGGGTGGACGAGTAACAAGGCAATGACGGGCGTAATAGCAACACTGGGGTATCGTAGCGAGAAGAACAAGTTGGTAGAAGAACCAAGCACTGAAAACAAAAACGACAGCGTCCACATCCTCGGAGTGTTGATGGACAGGGTGATGTTATCCGTTGGTGGCACCGAGGCGCGGACGACTTCATGTGGCGAGTTGTCAGCTGGATCCTCATCGGCTTCGCTGCCTGTGTAGTCGTCGTAGTCCACCTCATCCTCGGCCACGTCTGACTTTGCATCCTCGAGCATGTTTGTCGTCACGGGAGCTTGGGTCACGCCAAAGCGCCCCTCAAGCCCGGTTGTAAGGGCGGCAGCATCCAACTCCTCAGAGAGACGAGAGCTCTCCCTTCTTGAGGCAGTGGAGAACCTCGAGGAAGCTGACCTTGTGGTGTCGGATACATATCGCATCGGGTGTGCGTTCCCCGTCCTTGAATCACTCCCGGTAGGTGAAACATTGCGGCTGGGATCTTGGGATACGGCGCCGTAGGAAGGGGCGTCGTCGCGCGAAGAGCGCAAAAGAGAAGGTTTCGAAGGCATTGTGCCGTCGTCTAGATGCGGGACGGGAGACTGAGGGTTCGATTTGATCGTATCGTCACCATGTTCGCCGGCGCTGGAAGCGTGGGAAAGGGTAGAGGGTCGGCTTCGCAAAGTGGAAGGGCGAGATCGAGGGTGGCGTGCCGTGTTATATGGGTCAGAGGCGGTTTGTACGGATGACGAGGTAGTCGAAGGATTCGCAGCATCAGCTTCAGCAGCGGCAGAGCTGTCGTTCGTAGGACCGTCTACAGGTGCAAGAAGAGGCAAAGGTTCTAGAGCCAAAGCAACCGTATCGGCGTCGGGGTCGGGAGGGAAAAGTGCCTTGGGCTTGCTTTTGTGGCCGGATGCCCTTCTTTGGCTCATGGCTCCTCACCAGTCGAGTGCCAGTGGCAGTAGCCTGGACAGGCAAGAAGAAGCAACAAGTGACGGGTCAGAAACAGAGACGACAGGGAAGCGCGAGTAGTGTGAGTGGACTGTGGACCATGGACCTTGACCGTGGGCTCTGGATGGAGGGATGGAGGGGGGCACCGCGGCGGACTGGTCTGGAGGGAGTGGGCGTGGGCGTGGGAATGGTAGCTTGGTGGGGGTGGCTATCGTCGGGGGTGTGGATGATAGAGGAGGAGAGAGAGAGACTGAAAAGTGTACGGATAGGTAGTCTGTTTGTGTGCTGATTCAATGTGTGATGTGGCCCAGCTGCGTTAACGGAACGGCACGGAACCTTGACTGGCCAAAGTTGGCACAACTCGGACGGTTGAATGGAAGCCTGGACGTTGACAGCAATGTGAGGTCCTGTTCCTGTGAACTGGCCTGCCCTGCCCTACCTTGATGCTGCTCCCTCTCCCTTTCGTGAGCTGAGGCGTGGTACCGCGTTTTGTTTGGCAGTATTAGGCCGCTTGTCTCGGTTGGCAGACGGGGGAAAGCTGCTTGGTGGCCAAGAAGGGAACACTAGCGGGTTTAGAGTGGAATCAGATCGGTGGGAACCCCAAGAAGCTGGAGCGGCAAGTTGCAACTAGGTACTGCGAAGGTAGGGAACCACACCGGTGTCGAATTGTTGACCGGCGGCAGTTTCGCGGATGTCTAGGAATGACGGACGTTGTGTGAATGGGCTGAAAGATGATGCGACGTAAGAGGTGCAGATGGGATTTCGCTGGCGCGGGTTGAAAGCGAGAGAAAAAACGAGTTACGGATTGGTGGACGAATGACAGTTGTCCGTGGGGGTTTAGCCTTGCCCAGAAAGGCCAGTGACCCGGGCGCAGCTCCAAGTTCCTCCAACCCATGGCCCTAATCCTGGCTGTTCAGTCCATGCTTGGGAGGCCTGGAGCCTGGAGGTGAGGATGCCAGTCAGTGCTCGGATGCGATGCTTGTCAAGGACTCAAGGGGCCTAGGATGAGGGATGAGGGATCAAGGGTGCCGCCTGTGCCCTGTATCCGATTCTTGTGCGTCTGTGTGTTTGCGGAGGGGTTCCCGTCACTCTCTTCTCTGTTCGTGCCCTTCTGGGACCGTGCCGTACGAAATGGAGCAACATTCCTGACTCGACTCCGCAGTCGGCGGTGTTTTGACCGTGAATAAACTGTGATCCAAGGTGCTTTTGGAGGGGAAGCGAAGCATAGCAGGAAGCTTGGTAGAGCAGGAGGCATGCAATCTCCTTCTCCCAGGTCAAGTCTGCGGCCAGCCTACCTCATCTCATTCCAGGTTCTATAGGTACTGCGTATGCCGCCCGCCGGCTGTCAATGTCATGTACAATATCAACAACCTTGCGGTGTGTTCAGCACAGCGGATTGTGAGAAATGATAGTCATTACAAATGCAAAGACGGTGAGTGGTTCCTCGAGAGCCGGGCTTGTGTGCAACTAGAGCAAGGCACAGCAGAAGTTCCTCTAGACCCCGGTCTCATTGGAAGAGCTGTAACAGTAAGGGTGTGCTGCTGCCGCCTTAGCGATGGGTAAGATGGGCTTTTCAAGGGGGAAATGTCGATTTGCGGCGATCCCAGGCTGCTGCGACTTGCAGCTCGCCTCGCACTGCAGGCTGCAGGACGACGATCCAACGAGCAGCCTGGTCCAACAACACGGCATGCAGGCAGACTGGCAGCCCCAGAGGAGAGGTTTGGAGGCCGCAGGACGAGACGCAGGCGTGGCAGGTAAGCTGAATGGGGCCATGGGCAACACTTCTGTGAGGGTCGAGCCAAGACCCGATCAGAGTTGGGATTGTCGAAGCTATCGACGGCTCGGGCGGGAAGCGAAGCCCATGTCCTTGGTCCCTAGGTCTCTCAGGATCGGTACGGATACGCCTCTCCCATTAGTAGCTCGTGGGTCTCTAGCGGGTAGAATGGGGGCATCAGGCGGACATGGCGGGATGACACCACTCTAACGAGCCGATTCGCATCTGCCATGGCATGCCGCATGGCCTATCCAGAAGAGAGCATGGTACAGAGTATTTGGGCCTATTGGCGTTTGGCTAATAAGCCGATTCAAAGTAGTCGTTCCGGGCAGCCCTGTCAAATGATGGAACCCCCAAAGGCCGTGCGCAACAAGGGGACTGCGGCGTCAGCAGCGGGTAATAAACCATAAGCAAAAGGTTGGAGTTGACATACTACTGTGTATGTACGAAGTAACGGACAAATATTGGACAAACGTGAGGAGGCTGAGCTTCCCGTCTGAGGCGACCGGCTGCTGGAAAAGGGCAAGATGAGGCGCCTCCCGTTTGAGCCTGAACAAAAAAGGTGCAACGCTTCCCGATGGATAAAAAAAGACAAAGGCAAAGAGGAAGTCCGGATGGTTACACAGCTCAGGACAGCAAGATCAGATTAGATAAGCGTCCCTTATTGTACTTCACTGGGTGCTTACTTAAGAAAAGGTACCTTAAGGTGAGGTGAGGAAGGTGAGTGTTTGGCAGTTGCATTCTCGTGCCGGTCCGCGCCTTCCATTGAGTGGGCAGATCAAACACAAACAGCAAGAGCCATGCCAAGACCCCTCCATGCCTTCCTTTTGCTGCTCAACCTGCTGCTCATGTTGCTTCGGTGCAAGGCACCGGCAGGCACGACATCAGACCGACCGAGCTGCAGTTGCCAGTTATGTTACCATCCCGAATCTGCCATGTTCCTGTATGGTGGCCGTGCCTGCCTGCCCGGAGTGAAGCGCCGATATACGGAACCAGAAAGTTCCACTCGCCGACCTAGAAACTTCAGACTTTCAAAGTCGGGTGTCTTCGCAAACCCTCAGTCATCATCCATGGGCTTTCTTAAGTGTACGGCCTTGTTTACTTTGTCAAAAGGACCGACCACTGAACCCACTGACGACGGCTCAGTTGCCCAACGGATTCCCTGCATTAGACCGCCCTCCATACATCGAGTCTACTTGCAAATGGCCATCCCTACTCAACTGCATAGGAGCCCGAAGCCAACAAGCGCCAACGCACTTTACGATCCGCCTTTAACCCAGGGAACCGGACGCCAAAAACGCTGCGGGCTTGGCCGGTGGTCACACGTCCGCCGCCAAACCACGACATGTGCACAAGAATGAGATCCGTCCCCACTGCGCATGATGATGCCGCCTGCTGCACGCATAAACCCTATTTCGCAGCCCCGAGTTATTTCTCTCCCTCGACCGTGAGAGAGCCTGCCATTCTCAGCCTGTTTCACGTCGTGGCTCTTGTTGGCGTTCAGAGTTACTGCCTTGTCCCCGTGCAAATTTGTTGCTTATTAACTTCCAAGGCAGCGAGTGTCACTCCAAATAAACACGCCCATCGCTTGCAAGTTGCGCATGCGCTTAGAGCGGATATCCAATCTGTTGGCCAAATCTGCCATCACAATGCCGACAAGTCAAACCATGAACCCTGCCCGCACTTTCTCTACCGTTTGTTTCTTTGCTTTTTTTTGTCTCCCTTTCCCGCATCCCACAGATGTTGGCTGGAGCAACAACAACCCTGCCTTACCTTTACCGGCTTACACACCGATCCGGCCCGGCGGTGACTGGTCGCTGGACTGAAACCATGTCCATCGTGGAACTTACCCAACCACGAAAGTCAGCCTCCATGGTACATCTAGGCCAAAATCACGATCCCGATGAATGCAATCCGTCCTCCCGGCTCCATGTCATATCCGCACCTTGACCGCTCACGTGGTCAGCTCGACGTGCCAGGCTCTTGCATGTTGTTGGTTTGAGTTAGTACACTCTACCGCGACTATGCCACACTTTTGTCGCCACCCAGCCTCACTTCTCGCATCACGACGCCTCATCCTTTCTCTCACCGCTCAGCACATGACGTCTGCAGTCATGGCCTGCACGACATTGGCATCCTAGCATTGACTCGCGTGGCAGCTGGCAAGGATGTTTACCTCCTTGTTTGCTTCGATACACATACCATCAAGACAGGACGCAAACACTTGATTGTCACCGTACACCCTGTCTCCTCGTGGGTTGTAGTCGATCCGAGAGTTCGAGGACACAAGCTGGTCCTCCGGGCTCCATGTGGCTGGTTCACATCGCTGTCTTCCGAATTTTGGTGGCTGGGCTCCTGCGGGGCCGTTCACCGTTGACAACAATCCACGGTGGATCCGGAGCAAGTCCCGTCTTTTCGGCGGGGCGGTAAGATTTTGTTTTGGTAATGCTCGTCTCTGGATTGGGCAATGCAAACCTCGAAGTGCGAGGATTATTGTTGCAAAGACGTCATCAGCTGTAGGTAGGTCTATTCCGATATAGCCAATGAGTGAGGTTGGAGAATGTGTGAATCGTGATTCGCTGTTCAACCCAACATGTTCAGTAACTACCACGGAGTACCTAGCACTGGCAAGGTACATTTGGTGAATCAACTTTGATGTATCTTCCCTCGTAGGGAATGTAAACACTTCCAGCATACCTCGCATCTTGGATCGCACAAGATGCTACCAAGTCGAAACGATCCGACAATTTCAATGTGCTGAGGCTCGTAACGGCTATGCATTCCCCTTTCCCAGTCGAGCCGCCATGCTGGATAGGAAGTGAGCCTGCGTAAGATACTGACCAGATTTCTCGTCTCAAGAGGTGTGTCTGGCTACGGTGCCTACACCTCAGGAAGTTTTAAGCGATAACGAAAGAAATGAAGAGAGGTCGAGTCTCAGAGGATCCGTCATAACCCTCGTCTCATATTTCTCATGGGCGCATCCTCTGACGCATGAATTACAATGAGGTAATCATAACACCGATGGTTGTCACTTCACAATGAATATAGATACGAATGCAATGGATTTTGGACAAGCAATTGTAGTCTCTTGTAATCATGTTTCCGTAACCGATTGGTCACCTCTTCTAGTCATGCACTCGAGTGGCAGACCTCGGCACGTTGTAAGTCTTTTTGCAGTAGAACCACCTCAGAGCGAGCGGAAATGAGAAGGCCAGTGAAGCAACCAAGCTTTGGTTACTTTGGTGACTCCATCGTACTCAAAAGCGAAGCAAAGCAAGCAAAATCCCAAGCCAAACTTCAACCCCTTTGCGTTATCGTCGGTGTTGAATCCTCATCTCCCCAAAAAGGCCGTCATCAACCAGTAATGACGAGAAAGAAAGTCGTCCTTTGCCTCAGCCCGCAGGTGTTGAACGTGCCAGCTAGGCCCCATCACACGTGCTCAACACCTGCCCCTTAGGCCTCGGTTCGGATCTTCTTTCCCAACATTGTCAGGGCAGCGACGATGACTGGCATCACGCTGACCATCTCGCCCAATCCCGCGTATGCGGGAGGTATCTTGAAGTTGACGGGCTCGAACGCGCCTCCGGCGAGCAAGATCGCGAGCACGTTGTACACGGCCGACCAGACAAAGTTGAACACCATGCGGTGGAAGCTGGCACGGCTGACCTCAAGCACGAAGGGGATACCCTCGAGACCTGCAAGGAGGACCACATCTGCGGCTCCCCGGGTGACGTCGCTGGCCGAAGCTGCACTGCCAAGTTGAACGCCTACATCAGCCTGGGTGACTGCCACCGCATCGTTGGTTCCGTCGCCGACAAACATGACGATCTTGCCCTCTGACATTAACGAGGCAACATAATCACGCTTCTGCGACGGGGTGCGTCGAGATGCCACATTGTGAATGCCAACTTGAGCGGCAACAGATTCAACGGCCCGAGTTTGGTCACCGGAGACCAAGTGAACGACAATGTTTTGGCGGGTAAGCTGACCAACAACTTTCTTTGCTTCCGGACGAAGACGTGTGCGCAATCCAAATATGGCGATAGGGGTAGAATCACTGGTGATGACGAGGATCGTCATGTTCGACTCTTGGAAACGGATGACGGAAGGCAGAGCATTGGCGTCAGTCCACGAGGGGTTTCCGGCGCAGACTTTGTGGCCATTATAGCTTGCTTCAACACCTGCGCCAGGGATAACTCGAGGGTCAGTAACCTGGACCTCACGGGTTGCCCGTGAGGCAAGATATTTCGCCAGGGCCGTAGATACGGGGTGATTATTGCCTGCCACGAGGGCTTTGGTGATGGCACGAGCCTCGTCATGGTCGGCAAGCAGGATCTCTTCCTCGAGAACGTCGAGGTCTCCCTCAGTTATGGTCCCAGTCTTGTCGAACACGACATCGCTGACCTTTCGAGCCCTCTCGGTGCACTCGGCCGATTTGATGATGACACCTCCTCTAGCGGCAATGCCACCGGCTACAACCAGGACCATTGGTACCGCGAGGCCGAGTGCGCAAGGACAAGAGACAGCGAGGACAGCAATAGCGTAGGTGATGGCAGTGGAGATTGACTTTCCAGTCGATTCGCCTTGAACTTTGACACCGATGACGGTCCAGACAATAATGACAACAATAGCAACGGCCGTGACGACGGGGACGAACCAGCCTGCGACACGATCTGCAATGTCCTGGATCCTCGGTTTGGAATTCGCTGCTTCTTCGACGAGCTCGGCAATATCGGTAACGGTATTCTTCCCAGGGAGGCGAGTAAGTTGGGCAACCAGAGTGCCGGATCCATTGATGGTGCCAGCGATCACAGTGTCACGCGATTTTTTGAAGACCGGGACGCTCTCACCAGTCAGCATGGACTCGTCTACCTCACTGGATCCAGTGACCACAAGACCGTCTGTAGGTACAACCGAGTGAGGAAGAACTTTGAACCTGTCGCCGTACTGAAGGAGACGGGCGTCGATTTCAACATCCTTCCCATCTTCAATGATAACAGCGGTAGACGTCTGAAGCGAACGCAGTGACACGGCAGCAACAGCGCGAATGCGTGCGTAAGCAGCAGTCAAGCGGCCAAGAAGCACAAGTGTAATCAGGAGGGTGCTCGTTTCGAAGAATTCGCGGGGATCGAGTGGCCGGTCAGCCATGTGAAATCCAAATCCTACAACCGAGTAGACGTAGGCAGCCGTGATGCTGATGACAACCAGCATGTCCATCTCAATAGCACCACTGTGCACCAGAGATGATATAGCTGGCTTGTAAAAGTCTGGCACCGCTATGAGCTGGACGAACGTCGCCAACACTATCGAAATAATCGAGCGTGTCTTGGGTTCAAGCTTCTCGCCCCAGGCCAGAACAACGACGGGAATGGTGAGAGTCGCGGCGGCGGCCGTCTTGATTAGTTGATCATACATCCTCTTTCTTCCACTCGCAATAGATGGGTCATCGCGAGGAGGAGCGAGTCCCGTCGAATGCGGTTGTATTTTGCTGAAAAGCGTTCGAGCTCCGATGACAGCTGGCTCATAGGTGACCCTCGCAGTTTTTTTGTCAACCAAGCTCACTTCGTTTACACCAATGATCGCCAGGTCGGCCAGCGCCTTAGCAGAGGGGCCTGAGGCGAGAATGTCAAGCGTCTGATCATCGCTCGACATTCGAGTACAATGGAAGCCTGTCGCCCGCTCGGTGTTGCGAATGATGTCTTCGGCCTTTCCTGCAGCACCGTCAAGAGTAAACTCGGCGTTGCCCATGACAAAATTGACTCGTACACCAGACACTCCAGGTATCCCTTTGAGGGTTCGTTCGAGTTTGTTCCCGCATCCAGAACAGGTCATGCCGTCGACAACGAGGGCAACGTGCTCAGATCCAGCATCCTTCTCGATATCCTTGTCCACATTGCCATCAATGGCAAGGTTTCCTTTCTCGTAAGCGGATCTAGGAGCTTTAACATCGTGGCCGCTGCAGCAGTCGGACTGACCATCGCGAACAGGCTTGATGTCCATGTCATGGTCGTGGGCGGCTTGCGATTTATTGCCACGTCGCTTAATTCCGTGATGGTGATGATGCTTGTGTTGGCCATGGGCATGCGCGGTGGTGTGCGCCTCGGCAGGCTCGCTTCGCTTCTTCCCGGCGGAAGACTTCACAGGAGCGGCTGCGGCTGTGACGACGGGTTTTTGCTCGCTGCAGCAGGCGGTTGGGAGACCGCGATCGAGAATACTGCGGCAGATGCAACGGGCCGATTCGAGATAGGCGCTGTACTGCTCGAAAGCCTTGGAGAGATGGGTGCTGCAAGCAGAGGCTGGATGGCGACCGTCCTTGTCATGGGAATGCTCGTGGGCACCTACTTTCGTGAGCTATAAGCACGCTTGATGATGGTCAGGGTTTCATGGGATACCATCGTGGGCGGCGTCGTCTTCGCATG